TATTTTATTTTATTTTATTTTTATTTAATTTCAATAGGAACAGAGACTCATCAGCAATTATAATCAACATGACTTTGTTATAGATTGAGTTTACAGACGTGATGAGCTCCAAGATATATACAAAGTCTGTAGCCCAAGCTTGTCAACGTCTATCTCATCCCCTCCCATTGGACGGAGGCCTTTCCTTTTCCTTAACCTTTTCCCTTACCACACAAAACAGTAGAGCAGTATCTCCTGTGTTCTGTAAATCGTGCCACCCCAGGCACCTCTCCTGAAGCCTTGAAACGCCGGGTGTTGTGTCAAATCAGTGGTATCTAATTGCAAAATGCATTCTTGTCAAGCTCAAGTTAGCACCTCCGTCTCCAAAACGCCTTGCCTAACTATAAAACACCGTAAAATCTCATCCTTCCACGAAAACATTAAGCAAAGGTTACGCCAGAAATCTGTTAATCGTCGTCCAGGATCTCAATCACGGTTGCTGCCGCCGCCATGGATGACGTTCTTGACTGCCTCCCAGCATTACCGTTGACCACGTTCCTGTGCTGTAATACAGGCGTGGATTCATCATCTGAGTCATCCACATCCAAAACTGGAGCCCATTTGCCATCAGAAGCCACCGTGATACTTTTTGTTCGCATATCACCGCCGCTGAGCAAGGACTGACGAACCCCTGCGAGATAATCATCCACCCAGAGACTTGTAGGACGCGCATCTAGCGAACATATAGGGCATTTCCAGACATCCACCATTGAAGGTTCGCTGCCCTGTTGCTGCGGACCACCTCCGTTCTGTGGCGGTTTCGGAGGTCGAGTCTGGAGCCACGTCTCTAAATCGAAACATTCAAGATGTTCGCACTGGCTGCCTCTGACGGGCTCTGAGAATCTTGTCGCGCTGAATGGGTCGGCCAAAGAGATCGTTAAAGTCTCATCCTCGATGATGATATCATCAGAGTCTGATGGTTGCAAGCGGCGCTGTATTTTGGCCTCTGTCTTATCCTTGGACATGTGCCGCAATGACTGGACCAAATTAAGGACAGCACCATGACTAATCGTTTGTACTATTTCGATAGCCATGAAATACTTATAGCCTCGTATCGTGTTCTGATCGACGGCAGGAAAACTGATCTTGAGAACATTTTCGCCCTCGTGCAAATGATCAGTTAGTTCCACTGGCTGGTCTTTGTTGAAGTGCTGTTTACGGCGCAGTTCCAAATGTTGCATGTTCAGGTCAATGAAGATATGACCTGGCCAGGATGTTGCAGCAACCACCCAGTCAGACTCGGTGGGTGTCGCTTGCGTCTCGGGCTGTGAGCATATGCGCAAACGATATCGATAAGACCCTTCAGAATAATAGCAGAACGGAAGGCCATTTCCCTCGATTTTCTTGGAGAGGCCTTGAATGTGGCGCTCCGGCACTGTAAAAGACAGGGTCCGCAGACCTGTCTGGGGCTCCAAGGCGGTAGGTTCATATACAAGCGATCGGACAAATTGGTAAAATCGGCCTTTCCCAGGATGTGATGGAACGCGTCGAGGGCTACGTACTTCAACCTGGTGAAGACCAACTTGGAGCGAGTCATTCCCGTACGGGCCCCGGGGATAATCCGATACGGGTATTTGCTGTACTGGCGGCCTTTGCCGAATTTGATTGCTTGCCACTGGTCCTTGGAATGTCGGAGTTCGAGGGACTGTTGGTTGCGCCGCATAGTTGTGGCTTTGCAATACAGATGCATGGCCCGGCGGGTTTGGTTGCGTGTAGACTGGCGGATACTGTGGAGATTGCATTGCCTGGGCATAATGGGGATTCATCATCTGCGCTGGACTTCTAACTTGCGGCATTCCTGCTGAATAAACATGTACTGGCGAATTGCTGGCGTTTGCTTCGTGGGCAGCGGCAAGCCCCTGAGGTGGAAGAGTAAAGGAGCTGGCACGACCTTGTGATAGCACGTTATTCGAAGGCAGCACGGGAGTCCGAATCTGGCCATTCAATGGCAATGCACGATTTTGCGACGACAATGGTGATCCAGCGCCTGATGGCCTCCGCAAGAGCTGCTGTTCAAAAGGAGACTGGTTGACCGGCGCTGAGAGAGGCCGAGCTTCTGGATTTGCCGTCTGGATATGGAGCTGGTTCTGTCGTCGTACGCTTTGAAACCCTCTGCTACTATGTTGATAGGCCTCGTTGACAGAAGTCGGACTTGCTGCACCAAAGCCACCTGTAGGTACCCTGGCAGCGAGGGCATCAAAATGAGGCAAGGAGAGAGGCGGGGTTGTTGTGTTAGTAGCCGAAGACGAAACGGATGCTGCAAGAGGTGGCTGAACGACTTGTTGTGCATTTTGTCCAGCCCTATATGGAGTCTGCCCAACAACAGGAGATGTTATTGTATCTATCGAGAGCGTTAGCAAGTTACTTAGATCGGGCATGTCTTGGTATCATACTAGCTGGGGCTTGCTGTTGTGACAAAACCAACTGTCTATAGTTTTTTGCCACCACCTCTCGGGCACTCTTCACAACCTCAGGGGCATCACCGCGTGTCTCATATACGCGTTCGTTATGCTCGTCCTGCTCAAAAAGTTTGTTGATTGCCTTTACTGCAGGCCCCTCATCTGAGTAAATGGTCCTGCGGCTCTTCGTAAATAGCATAGACCGCAACTTCAAGGACCGACAATGTAGAATGTGTGACAGTTCGTGTACGAGCAACGGGTACTTCCGGGTCTGGACATTCCGCAAGAGCATACCCCAATGTGTCGTCATCGAAACAAGAAATATAGAAATCTCTCTAGATAGATTTGTGCGTGGAAATACCCGGGAGAAAGCCGCCATACCATGAGGAAAGTTAGCGAACCACTGAAGATGAGACTTTGACATGGACTCATTTTTCCTCAAAATGGTTTGCATTATCTCGAAAGCAACATCAATGACTGCAGGCTCCGCTGAGCCTCTGTAGAGACGGTGAACAGGTTCTCTGTTCAAGGACCAAGCGCATAGAGTCTGGTGGAGAGCAATGTAGAAGTATTCATCATTCCGACATGCCTCGCTCAAAATATCGTATCTAGGCCCTTCGACCTCATTGAGTTCCCTAGCCTGTTCAGACTCCGCTTTGCGACTTTGGACCTGGTTGAGCCATTCCTGACACTCTGGCCTTGATTCTTCCTGTACACGAGGGCGCTTGGCCCGGTGTTCGCTAGTACTGGATGGTCTTGAGTGAATTATTGGACTTCCTGTTGAAGAGTTGTGCTGCGTGCTATTAACCCTGGACGGCACGTCTCCTGTTTGGCGAGCTTGCCCAGTTGTAGCCGGGTTGGTCACCGTAGCCAAAGTTGCTGCTTCTGCGATACGGGCATGCTGAGGAATAGAATGTCGAACTTGTGTCGAGCTGGCGACTACTGGGTTCGGTTGGTGGGTGTTGGTCGCGACGTGTATCGAGTCGCCTTGGTTCATGTTACTCTTAGAGACTGGCCGTCCGGGCCCTACACTCTTTGCATGAACGCTTGAATCGAGATTGGTGCAGTCAACTTGATTCGAGCCATTCGGGCTCGGCACATCGGTCAGCGCCGGCGAGGGTAGGACAGTCGAGGCTCTATATTGCCAAATTAGCGACGTTGGTGAACGACGAGGAAGACTTGTGGCAATGTTGCTCCAAGCCTGCAATGGAAGGCTACAGCGCGCGCAACCAAAGCTCTGTTACTTGGCCTAAGAGGAAGCGCGTGCCTGTCAAGGAAAGGAGGTTTGGAAAGGACCACCACGTACCTCGCAGTTTCTCTAGCACCAGTCAGTTGTTCTGATGATTGATCAGTAGGGATGTTGTCGCGTTCTATGTCATTATCGTTCTGGGTTAGGGGAGCCGTGTCAGACGCCTTTCTCTTTTTGTTCCGCTTCCGGGAATTACTGGGCGCTACTGGAGCAGGCCTAGGGTTGGTGACTGCGGATGACCCCCCGGTCATCCATGAACGAGTGCGACCACCAAGAAAAGTATTGAGAGTCTCGTTAGAGGAAGCGATCTGGTGAGCATCTGGCGGAGGGACAGTCTGTGACTGATTCGGTTTTTCCCTTTGCGGCATTTCACTGGTCGGTAACGTATTTTGGCAGAGAGTTGGTGATCACGATCATACAGAGTCGCAGTCCAAAGCTCGGTAGGCGCAGACCATTTGTGTCATATGCTACTTGGGAACCATGCTTAACGTCGCCTTTTTCTGAAGTCAAGAACCGCCAGGTCGGGCATGATTCACTGAAGTACCTAGATACGCAGTGTCAAGGGGCAGAGCGACGTGGGTGACAGCTCAGCTCAGCGCAAGCAAGTGATGGGGTAAGTGACGCGCTGTTGCCAGAGGTGGGCGATTCGAGGTATCAGAAAAAGAGAGAACCAATCACACAAGCCAAAGTGAGCAACGATAAGTTGGAGTAAAATGGCAGTTTGGTCGAGTGCGAGATCCGAACCGAGACGGGAATTCGACTGAATCAATATATTATGAGTAAAGGTGAAGAACCCTTTGTTGTAGTAGTTGTTGTTGAAGCCGGGCGGAGAAACTCTGGAACATTCACTTAAATAACGTTTCCCTGATCGGCAGCTATAGCCTACCTCTACCTACCTAACCCGCAGAAGTTGCAACTGCGACCTCGGCCAGTCGAGGCAAGAGGAACGCAGTAAACAAAGAAAGAGATAGGAAGAAATAAAGAAAAGAAACATGGCTTCGCGCATCAGCTGGCTAGGTACCTACCTAGGTAGCATCAATAAGCTCCCGTTTGTTCTCTCTGCAGTCAGCCGATAGATTAGCGACTGGTCAAGCGGCTGATGTTGGGCCCGTATTGCATTTGAATGTCTCAGATTACTACCGGTCCTGGTTAGATACCTAGGTAGGTAGGTACGTATTTTTGTTATACCCGAAACCTGACGTCCGATGAAGGATGAGGGAAGTACCTTAGTAGATAAACATTCTACCTCGCTTGTACAAACCGGCACCCTACCTACTACACACTGACCTATGTACGTACATAGTCGTGAATGTCTCGGGACGATCTAACATATGTCTATGTGATTGGATGTTATATGTACTACTCTCGAGACATGTATCTATATTCTAATTAGGTACCTAGGTAGCTGTTGGGACCATAAGCGCGATTGTGTGGTCTATCTTGTTTGTGGCTTTAGTATTTGGTGATATCGAAGGGCTAAAAGCAGAGTGATCACAGCACCAAAACTAATCCGCCAGAGGACTATCTTGGTATTACTACAGTAAACTTTTACGTACTGGGCAGGCAGGAGATGCTGTAGCATGTGAGTGAATCACCCTGTGAATGGCTCAGTTGAGCACAGTTGCTCTGTACTTGGGTATGGATGGATTATAAATATATTGGATGCAAAGATTCATGATTAAGCAACACCCAGTATCATTGATACGCATCGGTCTGATCAAACATTGATAGATTTCAAGTCTTCCGCCTTGGTATGCAACAGCATCAATACGTTTGGAACCCTAATTAGATCAGTTCTACTGATATCGCAAAATATCTATGAAGATGTCTGCCCAAGGTACCTGCGACAGGCTGCCAGACATGCATTCATGGATTGACAAAATACGACAGAAACGAGGGCCTGCTACCCGCTTCCCAGCCAGGTGGGTAACAGAAGAATTATCATTCAAGGCTTAGGCTTCCATAATAAAGTAGCCTAACTGCTAGTCTAAGCTAGCATAAAGTGACCAAATTATTTCGCCTCTTATGCTTCTAGGGGCCGGTCGGGTCTCTCGATCTTTGCACATCATGTCATGCTATCCTACTTGCAGATTGCTCAACTCCTTATCCATGCAGTACATCAGAATCACCAACCTGACATTGAACTAGGATTGCTTGTCTTGTACAACATCACCTAGTTAGCCCTGACCTTCGCCCTGCCTTAGGACCGGCTTACTGCATAGTACATTACAACTATCCGTACATACAGGTAGGTAGGCTGCTTCTTTTGTAAATAAGATCTCACTCGATCAGCCTAGCAATGGCTCGTCTCGTATTGCACAATCCAAGGAGAAAAGAAAACAATTTTCTCATACAGATATTGGAAAACTGTGAACTTTTTTCTTCTGCCAAACCTGCTGCGTTGGCATAACATCCCGTCCTAAAATAGCATCTGCAGAGGTTTGACTGCACTGTCCAATCCCGGAGACCCCTGGACTGGAGGGGCCGATGCACCACTTTGAGAGGAGCATGGTATGTATATCCGTACCTCCATAGGCCTACCCTATTTCTCGGGCCGCATACAGTACAGTACGCACATACAGAGATTTACCCATCAGCAAGCCTTACAATCTCTGATCGTCCTTCCTGATGTTTCAAAGCTAGCAGCGAGGTAGTCAAGAGTAGAGCGCCTTTATTATCCAAGCCCCGCCTGGCTTCGAATCACCCGGCACTGGTACAACCTTGCCAACCCTCGATTAAAGCCATAAATGCCCCCAAGTCACACCAATCACCAATCGCTGCCCTCCACGCTAGGCCTTTCCCTCTGTGCTGTTCAGGAACCACGCACTTCTCCCGCCTCCCCAACCGCAACCGCCGCTCCACCCCAGCAAAGCATTCGTACCTTAGCGCACCACCATAGCCACGGGTCCAGTTTCTTCAAGCTCAGACTGCAGTGCACATTGTACCCAACCTTATACATCATCTCCAGCCCTCTCGCTGCAGAGTGTTGAACCAACCGAGCCCAGCTCTGGCAATATCGCTACAGAGTATTGGTTCGGTGGACGGCAACTGGATCTGAATCGAATCACTTTCTGGCTTCTACTGACTGGATTTCTCGCTACCCGCTCGGTCCCGCGCCACCGTTAGGTTCCGCAGACTTTCAACCGCCCTTAAACTGCCACTCCATTCCTCCCTCCACGACCTCAACCATCTGCTATCAACGCAATCGCTCCGATCATCACCAGCGCATCGCTTCATCACACCATGGCCTCACGAGGCCCCAGTGAAGGGGCACCGAAGCCTGAAGTTGGCGATACCTTGATCGTGATACGTGAGTATGCCCTTGCTTTCGTTGCTCTTTGTCTGTAACATAGTTGACGCTCATGCTCTTTGCCCATCACAGACGATTTCCAGGCCCGAAGCTCCGACGAACTCAGCCTTGCAAAAGGAGACCGAGTTGAACTAATAGAGCGAGACGACGAGTTTGGCGACGGATGGTTTCTCGGTCGTCATTTGGTCAACAATAACAATGGGCTCTTTCCTGAAGGTCTGCTCCCTCAAAGCATATGCTCCCTCGTTTGAACCACAGTTGACTTTTTGCAGTCTATACTAGACCAGCCCCAAGGAATGTCCCCACGAGCACTTTCAACAGCTCCAAACCCCAGACTCCCCATCGAGAACAAACCCCAGATTCGAGCGCCGACACAGGCACAAAGGAAGAACCGGAGCCGCAGCCTCAGCCTCAGGCCCGGAGCCCTGTGACGCTACCTCTCAACAGCGTCAAATCAGAGCCCGCCTTAGTAGCGAGCGAGCCTCCTGTTCTTTCTGGACTAAGCCAACTAACTACTCAGAACCAAGACAGCCATGTCTTGCACGAAACGCTTACTGTCATCGATGAGCACATAACCGATCTAAGATCTCCAGCGAGCAATGGCGGGCTTCGAGCGGTAGCGAACGATTCCGGAAGCGAGTACAGCAGCACCCATCCTGATCAGCGAGCATCGTACATCCAGGGCGAAGAAACCGACGAGGAAGAAGGAGAGTTCCATACACGAGAAGAGGTCGAAGCATGGTCCCCTGATGATGTTGCTGAGTACCTTTTTACCGAAGGAGTCGAGAAGCACCATTGTGAAGTTTTCAGAGACCAAGAAATTTCGGGTGAGGTTATTCTCGGCATGGATCAAAGCTCGTTGTTCATCAAAGCGTTCGACCTTGGTTCAGTTGGCCGACGACTGAAGACTTGGCACAAGATCAAAGCCCTTCAGGATGAGGTCAACAACCAGGGCCTGGAAACGCGCCGAACAACGCAAACGTATGGAAATGATGGCTCGGAAGAACCCCGCAGGCCGAGGAGTCGAGCAAACACTCTTACGAACCGGCCTACTTCTATCCAAACGAGGCGGATGTCTTTATCGCAAAACACCCCCAAAGCCTCCCCGACATTCGCTGGATCCCACACACAAGACAGCTCCAACCGTGCTAGCCACATCAAGAGACCTTCCGCGGCATCGATTAGGGAGTTGAACCATTCGCGCCGGCACTCCTCATCGACAGACTTTCGCCAAGCTGGCCCGGCGGTGGCATCTGGACCTGCCCCTGTTCCCAAGATCGCAACACCGGGTACCCTCCCCGTAACCGAAGGAACTCATAAAAAGCAACCCTCATTTGACCGAAACTGGACCCTTGGCAACGCTTATTCGCAACCCCCGCAAAGACCCCTTTCTTCCACTGGTCTCCAGGACTTACTTAGCCCACCAGGGGCTGAAACTCAAGATCCTACTATTGATGCCGATCGGGGCTATTTTTCCGGAACAGAAGTCGACGGAAGGAAGAGGAACTTGTTACGAAAACGCGACAGCAATGCCGAATCGAGAAAGTCGAGTTATACAGAAGAGCAAAGGGTCCGAAGCGCTACAGCTATGGCACGACAGTCAAGATTCGGAAGCGTGGGGTCCATTGCAGAAGGAGGCATTTCTTCGGCAGCTCAGAAGTACTATGGTATTCAAGCTGGCGCGCATAGGAGAACTGCGTCAGCCGCTTCAGAGTCAACACTGAACGTGCCGCCATCTAATGATGTTCCTTCACCCACTGTTACCAAATTAGATACCACAGTCGGATCAGGTCGCTCGACAGCATCGCCCGTCTCGACTCGGCACCAAGGCTTCAACTCGGACTGGCTATCGTCAATGGTTAATAAGCCGATTGCATTGGCTGGAGGCAAGGGCATGCGGGCCATTTCTGACAACCTGAGCTTTGACCGATCCAAAGTCTCGACTCCTACCGATCCATCGAGCAAGGATTTCTTGGTAGAGTCGCCCGCGCGGACTGGTTCGACGACGCCATCAGGTGGAGCTAGTTTTGATCTTGAATCTCCCGATGCCGCGAAGAGTCCTGGTACCCCTGTGAACCAAGTCAGCAAGAAAGCTGGAAAGAAGGGGAAAAAGGAAACAAGCGCCTACACTCGTGGACTACTCAAGATTTCTCCCAAGGAGGCAAGCAAAGATGCAGACTATAGTGGCTGGATGAGGAAGAAGAGTTCCAATCTTATGACAACATGGAAGCCTCGTTTCTTTGTCCTTAAAGGTCGACGGTTGGCATACTACTATTCTGAAGACGACGAGCAAGAAAAAGGACTCATCGATATTTCATTCCACCGAGTTCTGCCTGCCGATAACGAAAAGCTCACGGGTCTTCACGCCACAATCACAAGTCTGGGAGGTCAGTCAATGCCAGGAAACACTGAGGATCTGGAGAAAGGTGACGATTCAATCTTCATTTTCAAGCTGGTTCCTCCCCGAGCTGGTCTCTCAAGGGCCGTGAACTTTACAAAGCCAACTGTTCACTATTTTGCTGTTCCGAATTTGAAGCAAGGACGACTGTGGATGGCTGCTCTCATGAAAGCGACTATTGATCGAGACGATACGAAGCCCATCACCACGACCTACCAGCAAAAGACAATATCCCTCTCCAAGGCCAAGCAGATGCGTTCTCGCCCACCAGCTTTGATGAACCTTGAGGAAGGGGCTGAAGAGGAAGCCGGCGCAGGCCGAAAAGAAGCCAACGGCTTGGGGATCTCGTATGACGAAGCAGACAGTGGTGTTTCTGGGGTCGACAAGCTAGCTGGCCAAAGAGCTGAAGAAGCTAAGTTAAGTCTCGACTCTGACAAGGAGGCTCCACATGCGTCATGAAAGGATCCCGTCCACAGCTGCGCCTACAACTCTTCCTTTATTTCAACTGGTGTCAGGCGTTTCTGGTCATTCTCTGACATTAATTTCCTTGTTCATCTTTCTACGTTCTTCTCATATAGAAGCTTAATCCTTTTTATTTTGATACCTAGGCGCAGGAAAAAACTGGAAATCTTGAGGACATGGTGATGAAACGGGACGGGGGCGGGCAGTGGAGGATAACATATTAGTCGTTGCCAAGACGCATGGGTTATAATCCTCGAAGAGACGAACAAGAATGTCATGTTACAAGAGACAATGATGATGAAGATGGGTTTCGTTGGGTCTTTCCTCAGCAGGGGCTCTCGAGTGATTTGCTGGATTTGAGGGAAAAGGGGGGTTTCTTCTGAAAGGGTACATACTAGCGGCTCGAATCTTTCTTTCTTGTGATTATAATACCAAGAAGGTTTCGTTGTCTTGGCGACACAAACCAATTCTAATTGCTGCTAACTAGTGTTGCTGATAATTTCTGTTGGCCAGAGAACACTTTGCTAGATGAAGAGATCGAACAAAATGTGGAAGGATCCGAGTCCTGGCAGGCAAAACACAATGTTACGTGGAATGAATAGAAAAGAGTCATGACAAATATTGAATTGGATAAGACGATCGCTTGCTCTAGAGGTATAGACAAGTTGAAGTGGAAAAGGGATGATGATCCCTACAAGAAACTCCATATCCCTCCCTTTTGATCAAGCTTCTTGGCTTGATGTGTAACCCCCTATCATGATAGATAAATAAAAAAAGCCGCAAAGACACTGGCTATACCTTCCAACTCGGAACGGTACAGCTCTGATATAACAACATGCCCAGCGCCCCTTTGGTCGTGTCCGTCATTAGACCACCCAGAACGCCTTGAAAAGTATCGTACCCTTATTCTACTCGTCCTCTGCCTTTTAAACCTTGCTGTTGAACTTGACTGTCACTCATCAAGCGGCCGACAAAGCCGCAAAACGCGTGGAACCAAAAACCTGCTCTACACCTGTTGGTTCATTCCCGTCAGAAGTTGTCGTATAGATTTCATCAAATGCTGCTCGATGCCTTCAAAGTTTCCTACTGCTTCGCCTTCTCCGGGAGGTGGGACGATGCTGGCATCCGCTATACCTAGTACTCGGTCAATAGCAGATAATGTGACAGCTTCCGCTTTGGCTTCACCAAGCTTAGGACTGAGGGCCTTGACTGAGACTTCCTTGAACCCATTGAGAGATGATAAGATCTTGGAGTCGAGGAACAGGGGTGTCTCAGTAGTTGACGGAGAAGCAGCAGAAGAAGCTGGACCAGGTGTGGGGCTTTTAGATTTGGAAAGGAAACCATCAATAACTTGACGAATACCCTTCATACAAATCGCTTCCATCTTGTCGTTCTCCGTTGCCTCTTTTTTGAGACCAATACACCGATTGAGGGCTGACATAACGATTCCTGCGGCCTTGGGGTTTCTGGCTTTCTTGAGGTTTTCAATCAAACCATTCTTGAGGTTAACGACCGCATTGAGCAGCTTAGGCTCAATAGCAGGTCGTGCGGGAGCAGAGGCAGCAGGTACTGAGGGAGTACGGTTCACAGGAGTAGCAGGTTGCTGCTGTACTGACGCAGCTCCAGTTCCAGGGACCGTCTTAGCGCCCACTGTTGACGGAGGTGGCGGGGGAAGATGCTGATGCTGCTGAGCAACGTGTGCATTAGCAGGCGTAGGAGCATTAGCGTGCCCCTCCTCGCTCTTTATCGGAGTGTTTGTTGGCGGTGGTGGTCGCGGCGCATATGGTGAACTGTATGTACCTTGTTGAGGTACTCCAAGCTGCGGGCGAGCGGGAGCTGGTGGTGGTCCATAACCTGGGGGCAGTTGTGCTGGCGCGGGCGGCTGAGATGCACTTGTTGCAGGGGCTGGCTGGCCTGGTTGAGCTGGTGCTGGTGGTGACGCGGACGTTCCATACTGTGGCAGAGGTCGGCCTGGCTGGTTTTGTTGTGCTGGGTATGCTGGTAATTGATAGCCAGGAGGCGCCTGTCCAGGGGTGTAGCCAGGCGCACCAGCTGTCAAATGTTGTGAATTGTAAGCGTATGGGTATTGGCCATAGGCTTGAGCTGCAGCACGGTCTGGAGATGACGCCTTTCTCTTCTTTCCGGCGTCAAGTTCAACCCCGGGAACGCGAGACCAGAGATTGGTCGTGTCATCCTTTCTGAACGCCTCGTTCCCAATGAGATTATGGCGTACACTGCTTTCCCATCCTTTCGTCTCTGTGTGGAAGTGGAACCAAGGATATCTTAAGCAAATCCGCTTGTAAATCTGCTTGAGAGTGAGCCCGTCGGGTCCAGCCGCTGTCAGTGTCTCGTCGATGAGTACTCCGTAGTTCTTGTTAGGCTTCTGGAGTTGCTCTTCGGTATAATCTTCAATTTTCAGTTCCAGAGGAGGAGATTTTGGCCGGGCCTTCTTCTCTTTCTTTTCTTTTGCACGCCTCTCTGCATCTGAGCCTTCAGCGCCGTCTTCTCTGGGCTTGCGAGGTTTGTACTTGCGTTTCTCCGGCCGCTCCGAAGACCCTTCGGGAAGCGGATGTTTTCTCGGTCGTCCAACCTTGCGTTTGACGGGAGGTTCCACTGGTGGCGCTAGGGGCACAGTTTTCTTGGCTGCCTCTTGTTGTTTCCTCTTCAGAATTCGCTGCTCACGTTTCGACATGAAGCCGTTCTTGGGTGGCCTACCGGGTCCTCGTTTTCTGGGCACCTGAAGCATCAGATGTTCCTGGTTCGGGTCGAGCATGCCTTCCTGTTTGAACTCAGACTCTCCTCCTGGCATTGGCATTGCCATATCCACGTCCATATCCATGTCAATATCCATGTCCATGTCCGCTTCGGCTTCAGCGTCGGCATCGGCGTCGGCGTCGGCGTCTGCTTCTGCATCCGCATCCGCATCAACCTCTGCTTCAGCCTCAGCCTCTGCCCCTGTCTCTGCCTTAGCCCCCATCTCTGCCCCTACTCCGTCTGCCTCTGCTTCCACCGTCTCGATGGCTGCCGATTCCTCAGCTTTGTCCTCATCGTCGCTGAAGTCAGGTGACTCAGCAGGACTTGCCACATCTGATAACTCATCGCTTGTGTCTTGTATCTGAGCGTTACCATGAGCAGATTCGAAATCGAAGCTCATTTCCTTTCCACCCTGCGCATGTCGTTTTCTGAGGGCTGCTGTAGGCTCTTCCTCTACATATTCCTCAGCTCCTGTTCGTCCCCGCTCAACGCCATTGATGTGAAATCGAAAATCGATGTCTTTAATTTGCAACCGATCGCCACTCCGCAACACGACCTTGTCGCTCTTGTAATGGACGTCTTCACAGAAGAAACCGTTCTTGTGCAGAGGTATAGCTTCGAATACACCCGACTTTTGATTGTAAGCGATTTTGAGGTGCTCCCTGGATATCGCTTTGGTCTTGGATGCGATATTGGGACCTGGTGAGTGAATGCCGATGAAAGGAACGTGATATGGTGATGGGCGCAGGGAAGTCAAATCAACCGCTGCAGCACCAGGCGTATGAGAAACATATTGTCGGTTAGAAATCATGTTTTCCTGTGCTTGTGCTGCCGCATCGTCGTGATCATGTTGCGAAGACCCTTGAGTGCTGGTCTTTCGTCGCTTTGTCGGGCGAGGGTTTTCCCCAGTATCTGATTCAGGGCCAAGCATTCCTCCCTCTTCGCTGACATAAGACTTGCTGAACTTGTTCTGATCAGGCTGGATGGGAGACGGTGGCGGGATGCCCATCTGGGCATTCTCTTCAGCGCGGCGGCGGTACTCTTCAGCACGCCTCTCATCACGGCGGGCTTGTTCCAATGCGCGCTGATCTCGTCCAATAACGACAGCATACGTAGTCATCTGGAAAACACTGTCGGCAAACTCTACACGAGCGAAGGATTCAAGAGCCTTGTGGGTATCGGGTTGGCGCATAGAATCAGGTTGCGCGAGAGATTGAAACGAATCATCTAGCGAGTTGGGTAGAGTAACCTGGGCTGGTGTGACTGTTGGAGGCGGTGACATGGCTGTGGGAGCCCCCGACATTCTAGCTAGAGCCAAGATCATATAGGCATGCTGGTCCATGGAAGGCATCGTGGCCGTGGTGTATGGAGTGGAAGGCGCGAAAGATTCTCCCATGTTGTCGGTCGGCATCTGCAACTGTAAAGGGGTAGATTGTTGGACCTGGTCAGCGCTTAGTGGTGCAGCTGTGTCGCTTGCGGCAGGGGCATCAAGCATCGGGTGATCACCAGCTTCAGCATTTGCGGAAGTCGAAGCCTGGTTGCTTAACGGCGCCTCAGATTGCTGTTGCTCTACTGATGCCTTAGTATCAGTGCCTGGCGAACCACTACTTGGGATAGTGTGAGACGGCGGCGGCGTTGATGGCGGAGGTTGAAGGCCCGATACCTTCGTCGGAGAAACTGAAGAGGTTAAATCTGGATGAGAGTTTGCAGATTCCGGCATGGGGGCAGTCGAGGTTGCCTCCTGCGACGGATTGGAAGGTATCGTTGGAGTTGTCGTTGTTGCCATTTCTGGTGCCGCAGTAACAGGAACTGTAGCTGATGTTGGTATTGACTCTGCCGAATCTGCAGGTGCAGTCGATGAGGTAACATCAACGGCAGCTAAGTTCGAATTCGAATTTGAATCTGGCTTTGGGACTGAATTTGAGATTGAATCCGTAGCTGAAGAGGGCGCTGGGACCGGGGCGGAAACCGAGACCGGGGTAGGGTCAGTAACTTTTTGGTCGCGCTTATCATCGTTGTTCACTGGCGATTTTGGAATCGCGTTTGGTGTTTGAGTCGCCGTCGCAGTCGCAGTTGACGCCGCTGTCGATATCGATGTCGCAGTCGCACTCGATGGTGTCGCAGCTGGGGAAGATGCTGTTGCCTTTGCTGTGGCTGTGGCAGTCGCGGTTCTGTTTGCGACGACCTGGGGCTCCCGGTCGGTTCCCAGGCCATCGGGCAGGCCATTGCGGCCAGCAATTGACGAAGTCATCGCTGTTCGTGCGACCAGCTCCTTCGTCACTCGCCCTCACCTGACGAGGGGTTAGCACAAACGACGAGGGGTCTCGGCGGAAGGCGCGCCGGGGCCAGTTGTGTATTTGAAGGGATCGCCGTTGGCAGTAAAGACGGGGAAAATAAAAGGTTCAAGACGGACGAGGCTTTCGCCTGGGTCCTCAAACAAAGCCGCGATGTCCAAGAGGGTCAGAGGGGGGAAGACTGCGCGCTTTGATTGGTCAAAGGCGCCGGGTCTCCTCTCACTTGCGTGCTAAATTGACCGTCGATGGTTCGCGCCGCTAGTACTCTTCGGGTGATAGGGAAGGATCGATCAACCGAAACAGAGATGGATGATCTATTTTTTTCTTCAATAAAATCACTTACCCGGTAACAGAAAATCGTTGTTGGGTTGAATTAAATCGTGGATGTAAGTTTTATAGATCAGGCTATGATTAACTCTGAGAGAAAAGTCACAGGTAAGCAGAAAGTCGTGGGACCGACTTAGAGGTGGTAATGAACTCCAGCTCGCGCTTTCCCCGCGCGCAGCCGTTTATTTGTTTATTCCTTGTTGTTCAGGAATCAATCCTCCACTGCTCAGACGTGCATTTCAGTGTCGCAATGGAACGAATCACTGGAGACTTAGAATATACTTTTCATCCAATGACATATGCAGTCAATCACTATTGCCATAGAATAAACTCAACACTGAATATATTTATGTCCCTGCCAATCCAAAGATACTCATAAAATCACTCATTCTTGTTGGTCAATTATGGATATTCCAAGACCGAAAAATGAGTTATAACTCTAGCCCCGCTAAATATGTAAGTAAGTGAGTCACAACTTCGGTGAGGAACATGTGAAGCTCATGAATATGTTCTACGGTCCATACTGCAGCCCTATAACTGATCATCTGAGCATATCGGGCATTGTAGTGATTTTGCGCACTTCCTTTGGCTATTGTTTGCCCGGAGACCCGCAGAGGATTGTGTCTTGGAGTGGGATATAAAACCACTAAAACCAACGTTGTGGAACAGGCTTCAAGAAAAAAAGTTATATGCGCGCAATGCATTGCTGCATGCGATTCCACGTGCATGCAAGACGCGCCCCAGGTTGCAAACCGTTTCAAGCAAATACAAGACGTCGCCAACAATGCAGATAAACATAACTCATCAAGAACGCTGACTGGTGGAGACTCATCGAAGCAGAGCCTCACGTTCGGTTGAGGAGATGCCATGTGAGTACCTCCTTGACAGTCGGTCTGAGAGACGGTATGCTCCGTGGCAAAGCATACCCGCAAAGAAACCTACAGCATCGTTCCTGAAGGCGAAAATACCGGCAGTTGTCATGAGCATAACCGTCCACCTCTCCATGCGCTCATCTTCTGAAAGATCGCGTTGGCGACGGGGTCCTTGTCCAGAAGCTGTATGCCACAAGTCGGAAGCGCCCTGATTGAGACTGTTACCTACCTTGGCAAGCTCAAGACCAGCTGCTATGACCATGATACCAAGTATGCTCTTCGGGTAGTGCATCAGGAGATCCATGAGAGTTTCGCCCAAGAGAAGACCTAAGAATAGCTTGAACAGGCCCAATATGATGATGCTGGAGCCGCTACGGGCCCCGAAACGATACTGTGCAGCCAAGCCGCCAGCGCCGTGGCATACAGGCATACCTCCGAACCAAGTGCCGGTCAGGTTCATCAAAGCTACACTGATCCCAACAGACGTTACCGAGGGAGTAGGCGACTCAGGCAGGAGATCATGCGATAGTGCAGTGACAGCTATGATAGAGTTGAGTGTTGTAAGAGGTAACTGCCCGATAGCCATCCATAGAGCAGGCGAATCACTGTGCCCAATCCAGTGAGGCATGGTGAAACGAGGACGCCAAACATAGAACCACGGAAGGCTCTCATGAGAATTGGTGACTTTTACAAAAGCTAGCACCAGAGCGAGAACAAAGAAGTGCAAAGCATATGGAAATCGTGGTAGTTTTTGTGTGCCGATGAGGACTAAGAAAGCCAGCAATGCCCATATGCGGTTGTCAAGAGCTGGATGTGCCCAGTGTAGAGGTTGAAGCAGTGACGAGCCTGCCCCAAGAATCAACGATAGACCAGCTCCCAGTTGAATGCCCTTTACTACTGGAAGAGGCACAATCCGAACGACCCATCTTAAGAGGCCTGTGACACTCATGACGAGTACAGCAGCGCCAACCCACTGGCCAGCAGCTGTGGCAACGGCCATGGAAGAGTTGTTCTGAATGGCTGCTGATGCGATGGCCTATAACGAGTGTTCATGTCAGTTGAAATAGTGCAATACCGATAGAGAAACTCATCGGTCAAGGAAAAGTGAACACATCCGTGTACTCTCACTAACCTTCATTGGCTGAACAGGCAGAGGAATACCATAAAATGCACCGGTCAAGATATTGAAGATGCCAGTGAAGACAAGTGTGCTTCCTAGATCGATAGATCCCTGTGCTGCGAGAGCGATCATGAGCGGAAGCAAAGTGCCTAAGTCACCCAGTGACCCGGAAATCTCAGCCCATGGTGCTGCACGGAGAGTTGCAAAGTTGTTTCGGTTGATGCGACGAATATCACTCAACCATGAGGGTGCCATGGCTAGTGTGTCTATGAAGTCTGATTTGACCTCGTTGGTTCGATCGATGAATGATATCTGGTCGTATCTCCAGGCCTCAGCCGTAAGTGAGTGATGGGAAAGCACAAAAGTGGATGGATTAGATTGTCGTGAGAGCTGTCCGACAATCACGTCTGGGAAAGTGCACCCAGGCTCTGGAGCTTAGAATGAGCCAGATGAAGCTCTCGACAGAAATGCGATTCGATATAGACCAGAAAAATGGGGAAAATGCCGCAGTAATGGTGGTCTTATTTCGTCGACGTTGTTTGATTCAGAGAAGCCCAGTTTGCATCATGCCTTCATCAAGCCAAGTAACCGATATCTTGTACGTTCTGAGATCCATTGTGGTCAGCTGCTTAGTTGTCGCAGCCATTATTACCGCAGCTGGACCCATAAGAATAACCGACTCTCGCTAGAGTGACTCAAAGATCAAAACGTTGAAGGACAGGCTTGGTTTCACATGCTTTTTTATTAACCCCAGAAAACAGTCAACTACTAGCAATATAACGATAACGCCAAGCTGGAACCGAGAAAGTGCAATATCAGATCTTGAGGACCGAGGACGCCAACGGTTTGGCGAGGAACCGTGCATTGGTGCTCGGGTATCCGGTCGTGGGGCCCTAAGTTAATAGACAGGCTGTTTGTAGAACCTCAGTAGGGAATGGGCTTATTCCACAGAGCTCTGGTCAGTATCACGAAGTGAGTTTCGATGGCCATCTGCATTGCTGGGTAGGGAATTAGATGTCATTGGTCGAAGACAAAAATATGTGATTGATGTAGAATACTCATGACTTCGATGGTACTGCTTTTATCTGGATAAGCGACCTAAGCTTCTTAGCCACATCAAAAGCTGCTCCAAGTTATCAAATGTGATGGGTGTGTTGACTATAACCCCCCCACCGCATGTGTTGAAAATCATCACCTATAGAAGGGCCCATGCCGGCGGGAACAATTTGGATTTATGATTCAAGCTGTCAAGAAGACCAACACGGGCACGACGCGGTGGTTCTCATGCACGTTCGGTACAGCTGCCGATCCTCCACCAAAAGTAGACCGCCTCCAGGAGATGGTCTGTCACGGATACCCTTCATCGTGGAGCCCTCTTTGAGGGTCTTGAATGAAGTCGCATTCTGAGGTTCATCGGCGATAGCTTGTGCCACTAATTACGTACCCCATATTCTGTGATCTTTTCCATAGCTAATCATGGTTTGCATTCTCAGCTCAGCCTGAAGTAGCTTCTGCAAGGCTCTCATAGATCACGGTCACGTCGCCGTGGTTTCCCAGAGAACATCTTCTTAGACCTTTGATAAGTGTACTTCTCCGGCAGCCGGGAGCTCAAGTCGAGCCAGACCGCTAAAGGGAATGCATGATCTGCATGGAGGTTACATGTTGCTGTAGCTTCCAATGATAAGCAGAAAACTTGAAGGCTAGTAAAACTCATGGGTGTTCGCTTTCAGATAACCTCTGAGAGGCTGTCGTTGCTAGGCAGAACGAATTGCACTATCCGTACAAGCGCCATTCTTTCTGGACAAGGCTTTTCCTATAGCCTAGGAGGCTAGCCGCGGGAGCCTCACTAGAGTCTGCACAGTAATTGCCAATGACCTCATAGCGGGCGGTTGCCGTGTTGGGATAGCTACCTGTTAACTAACCCCCAGCGATAGCGAGGCGATCCGGCGCGAAGTCGGCAACTGTCCTTGAACTGTTGCCATTTTATCCCTCGTCTTCCGGTACTTCCAGGTGGAATTTTCAGGATGAACGGCATCAGGCTTCCGCTCCTAAGTGATTGCCCGTTTAGCAGGGCCCGGCCGCCAGCTGCGAGATATAGGATAAGGAAACATGGGATAATAAGCTGATACTCATGGGGAACAAGACTTCAAGCCTTGCAGGTGTGTCAGTGCATATAATATGGCTTCTTATAGGATGGTATTGCCTCTCCACTCCCCGTACCAAGCCGGTAAATTTGTCCTCGTGCATTTATGGCTCTCAGCCCTGACCTCCAGGACTTTCTCATGTTACTACTGAGATCCATGTCATGAGCCGAGTGGTTGTGATCGTTATTTGTATGAGGAGATAAGTAAAAAAAGGCCAGCTATTTTACCGGAGTAATCCATCATGACAATAAAAGTGAATTGCGGCTTCTGGCATTGGTTTTCGTGTAAAGCCTTCAAGACTTACTGGTTTGTGCCTGTGAACGCTGGAGGTAATAGCATCGGAAACAAGGGATGCAGGCTTCTTCCTGGCATTGACCTGGGTCGTGAAGGCTTGATTCTGTCTAATCCTTGCAATGTCAGGTCAAGCCTGCACAGTGTCATACGTAACTGTGGGGATCGGGGAAAACATGTGGAGACCGGCTACTGAGATCTTCTCTTCGGATGGAACCTAACAACGAATTGGAATAAGAGGTTGAAAGTTGTACATTACAGCACAGGAATTGCTGAAAGACGGGTTCCCCGAAGCCACTATCCGTTCATCAGATTTGATAATGTCTTAATAGAACCATTGCTCAGAGAATCGCCAGAAGCTGATTCTTATCGAGTTTGGTGATATTGAAATTGATGGCAATATAGGCATGCAGACGATGATCATGCACCTGCACCTAAGCTTTTGCGGCAGCTATCTGATTGGCTTTTCGAGGGCTGCCGAGACACCAAGGCTGATCCAGGTCAGGTTGATCCAAATCCAAGGACTCATCTCCCATCACGAATGTAATTAAAGAAAGGTTGAGAATGAAGCAACGGCACCAACGATAGTAGAAGTTAACGAGAGAGAATAGGCGACCGGCTGGATAAGAACAGAATTGTAAGACGATGGAGACGTCTTCATTTCAGACCCATTGTATAATCTCTCTCTTGCATTGTGATTTGTGTCCGTTATCCTACCAAACAAGATGATACCCGCCGTATCGGCTCCGTTATAGCCGGACCTAATAAGGGTACGGAGAAGGGAAATTCGCGCAGCTCATCTTGTCGCGAGGGCGAGCAAACCTGATGAGAAGTGAAGCCGCATGTACCGTGCGTGAATGCACTGTAATTTTCTACATCATGAGCTTTGTCCTGCTGCATGCTGCCCGGCGGGACCATGGATGGAAGTGGCATAGAGCTTTGAAGCTCCCTCCACATGGACAATCTCACCGCACCGCTCTTCAGTTGCCGTGTTCCGAGTTATAGAACGCATGGATCAAGCAAGACCCAGCATGTAGGAGCCCTCTAGTTTTTCGTACAGCTTTTTTCCACAGCATGATACTGGCTCTTATACGGAGACGTAGGTATTTTTCGTGTATCTCCGCTGGTACCTTGCACTGGAGCTAAGGTAATGCTCATGTATAAGCGGCCCGTTCGTAAAGAGTGGAATCGGCCAAGACGTAACAAAAGTAGGTGGTATGGGCCTCGAGTTTTTGTAATTTAGTGACATCTAAGTTACTTTGAACTCAAGTATCGTGATGTCTCTATGAATGCATTTTTGGTGAGCGATTATCCCGTTCCATATCTCTTATGCAGTACAAAGTGAGATTCATGAATCAGGCCTGGAGTATCCCTCGTTCTACAGTATCAAGTCGAATATGGATGTAAGTTGCTGATCTAGGCTCTCGTTACCTTCCACGGTAAGGTACCTACAGTATAGTGCCTACCTGCCTGCACTCCCATCGTCATAAGGCCGTCCAGTACTTTCTTACCTAGGTACCTCTTTCCCAATGTAAACGAAGCTTTCCTCGCACATTCAATTGGGTTGTCTCACCTGTTTTATTAAAGATACTTGCCCCAGGCCTATCTCTCCTCTTCATCACCTTCATCACTCATCAATTTTAGCCTACTTACAGTTCTCCTCGTTCCTAAGCTCCCTTCCTACGACCTATCAGTCTCAGACAAAGTACATAACCTCCAAATTCCAATCAAACGACCCCTGTCAACAGTGACAATTGCTGTGTCTTTGTTTTGTTCTCGTAAGTTCCACTTTGCATCCCAGGCTTGCCCAGTCTTTTTCTCCCTCGGCCCATGATGGGTCATCATCATCACTCTAGAAATCCACATCCTCCGGGGCATTCGGGAGTCATGTTTTCTTCCTTCCTGGCTGTACAGTGCCCAGAAAAACACCGCAAGATAGGCCTTACCTAGCGTTTGGCCCAGCCTCTATATCGCACCACCCTCGCTTCTCTCAGTCTCTCGCTTTCCATGATGCCCGGACATGCCCAGCCCATACCCATACCCATACCCATGTCTGCCCATGCTCACCCCTCCAGAGACCCAAGCAACCACTAAAAGAGACCCTGGCTTGTTCGCCCTGGCCTCTTCTTAGTGACTGTTGCTGGGCTTAAGGACCCATTTTACACTGAGAATCCCAGACCTCGTTTGGCTTAGGACTGTTTGTCATCGGGTCGTGACGATGTATTCTCCACTTTTCGCGCTCTTGGGTGATTCTTGGGGTCGGATGGCTGATCAACAAAACCACAGCAAAGCCCGCCTTCGCGACCAGTTTCACTCGCTGTTTCTTCATCACCCTTCAAGCTCCTAAAGGTAAGCCGTCCTTATACTGTTCCGCTGCTCTTTCCGCTCGTCTCGTCCGCATCAGAGCCCATTGTGTGTTGCGACCATCACAACAATTCTTCATCAATCACTGTCGTCTCTCAAATCGGCTCCTGTCGCGCACATCGTCGCAATCCTAGCACAACTGCCGGCACCAGCGCCCGGCAGACCCTCAATGGAGTTCGCCAAGGCTACCGCCAAACCAGGCCTTCTGTTTCATCGATTCGCTTCCAAACGGCCCAATTGAACGACATGATCATGCTATGAGATTTATTGCGACATCAGCACTCAATGGGCGCAGACGAGATATCTGCAGCAGCGCGATTTTTCAGTCTCATCATAGCGCGAAAGATGTTCAATTGTTTACTAACATGTTGTTTTTAGCATACTCTCCGCTCTCAACACAATGGCCGCTATCAAGTCTCTCATGACCCGCGACTCGGTCGCTCACCTCGCCAAGCGCCAGAACTGGGCTGCTCGTGAGCCCGGTGTTATTGTTGTCTTCTGTATTGTTGGTGTTGGTATGTCAACCCCTGCCTTTAGTTTCTGCGACGACTTGTGCTAACATTGTCAACAGTTGCCATTGGTCTTCTTGGCCTCTTCCTCTACAAGAAGGCTATTGCCCGCAAGGCCAACAAGGCCTCCGCTGTCTAAGCCGAATGCTCGGAGAAGACTGAGGTCAAGGAGAGTGGAGGGTGACCTGAGGCATAGTCATGAGCGTCTTTGGACTATTTGCTTCAGGTAGACGTGGTGTTACTCTAAGGTGCCTTCTGCGACACTTCGGGTGACCGACAGTGACCCCGTGTTCCAGTTCAACTTCGGTTACGTCCCTCACCAATTCCTCGCTTGTCGGATGCCAGTTGAATCTTTCACGGTTAGCAGTCTCGGCTCGCATTTCATTGTACATACCTACATACCACCGGATCTCGTGGGACAAATGTGCTGGAGGACGGGTTCTCGTCGAGTGTTCGCAGCCAGGTGGCTGTGTTCTATATTCTAATGCTACTGATACCTACCTGTTTGATGCAAACAATAATGAATCTTTTTACATGACCCTGGATCGTCCCAATCGCATGTGACCGAAGCAACTGTATATAATCATTTGACTTGTTTACCCTTCATACATATATCTTACATATCTAGTAGTCTAATGCTAGTGATACAAAATGTCAGGCAGATAGTTAGAACGCGCCTATCAGAATCCCTCTTTGGCTAACATATCTGCTATGTCAAGGTAAAAGGCAATCGCGTTGAAATTCTTTTTGATGCCCATCCACTCTCTTACCGTCCACCCGACTCGATTGGACCAATTGATAAGATCCAAGTGACTTACCCCAAGCAACGTGCCTTTATATGTACCCCAGTGACTGCTCTCCACACTCACAAGTCCGTCGTTGGGTCCCTCTGCCTGGGTCATAACGGCGTGTGGGTGCCGGAATGGGCTCAACAGCGTCGGCCGCTCCACAGCCGCGCCGTACGAGAAATACCGTACGTCTGCCCGGTCCGGCGTGCTCGGATTGAATTCCTCGGCCATGTACCGTCTGGTCAGCTGCGAGAAGGCCGCTGTGCCAAGACCAGCCCTCTCAAAGGTCTGATATAAGCGAGGCAGGTATTGATGCAACGGCGAGACCTCTTCATCAAGAAGGTAGTCTGCAAAGGCGCTCCCTCGGTGTGGAGTAGCAACTGTGACGAGTGCCGCAACACGAACGGGAAGCGGTTCCAGGTGGGAAAGCATATACCGAGCGTCAAGACCGCCCATGCTGTGTGCCACGATGGTGAAAGCCTCAGGGGCTGGAGCGTGCGCTTCAAGAGCGGAACGAAGAGCGGCAGCGCGATCAGCAATGGAAGAAGATGGAGGAACAGTGGGAGTTATGACGGATGCGCCCTGCGCGGTGAGGGCATCGCGAATTCCATGCCAGTATTCTACTGCTGGGAAATAGGGAGAGAGGCGTAGTTCAGCGAAGCCAAATAGGCCATGAGCTAAAACAATAGGGTATTTTGGAGTCTCTGGCTGGATGTTAGGGAAGTTCCAGAACGAGCCGATATAAAACTTACCATATTTCTCGCGTATCATAGCATAATCATCGGATATCTCCCTGCCCAGGGCTTTTATTCTCGGGTCATGTTCACGGCCGAAACAGTGACTATCAGTGAAGCTTCGATATTGGAATAAAAAGGGTTGCTTGCGGTATGGATGTCTGACCAGACCCAAAGCAGGCGCTTTACGCCATATTGTCGATCTGCTCATGGATCTCTGTTTTGCATGAGTGGAAAATGCAATGGAGTTGCGTGAGTATGTATATGGACTTCAAGGGTCGGAACGTGGGACGCATGAGCGATTAATGGGTGACGTCACCGTTTGTCTTTATGCGATTTTGATAGTGTCGCGTGAGAAGTGACGAAGGAATGTTATCAGCAAGAGCCTCCCGGGATATAGGGATAATTCACATACAATCATGACCTTGAATGAAAACGGTAACTGGTATATACGAGAGTGGCATGCTGCGTTATAAATTCTCCCTTAGTAGATACCTATGATGAGCACATATCTCATGTAGCCATCTTCAAAATCCGAGCAACGGATGACCGCAAGAATTACATATGCAGAATTGAAAGCGCTCTAGGGCCCATCTATATATCATTAGGCAGATATGCTCTTATGTAGATGGCGTCAGTTCACGAGTCAATATTAATTCCATTGGCTGCGTATGAATGAACTTATACATCTAATTGAAGCTGGGCACTCTATCCTAATATAACTACCTAACCTAGGCTATTTCAAAGGCCCATCCCGTCGGAGTCTGGATCTGCGATGAGATTTCCGTGTTACGAATATTTCGCAGAACGTAATTGTAATTAGTCTATTAAGCCAGGCCCCATCACAAGTATGTCCTAGCTAGAAAGAACACGCGTATCGCTTTGGGTATAAACGAATAAGGTATCTAACTGCAGACTTCCCACCAATCCCACTCATATCAACGCCAATCAAGACCGTTCGTCGTTATCATCGTCGGCACATTAAACGTTCGTCTGGAGCAAGCAGGACTTTGCACTAGTTCAGCTCTTCTCAGGAGGTAACTGGCTAGGCGCATTCTCGTTGGTTACACCACTGTAAGCCGGTCGGGATTGCATGCCATCGAACGGACCAGCCAAGTTCTCGGCAACGGCCTCATCATAGCTGGGAGGAGCATCATCGTACGGAGGTGCTTCTTGTCCTGGGGCCAATTGTGGGGGGTACAGAGGATCATGAGCGGGCTGAGGAGGAGCTTGGCTGACAGTCTGAGAAGGCCGTCGTTGCGGTTGCTGTTGCTGCGGTGACACATTGACTGAATTCTGCCTGGGTGGCAACCGTGGAGGGGTGTTATTCGTAAAGGTTGCACGTCCAGGTCGAGTCGACCTTGCAGCTTCAACAAGTTCAGCCGGAGGTGTAATACCAGAGTAGACCTCTATTTGCGCAAAGTGCAAAGGTAGAAGAATGACTGGTGGGGTTTTAGAAGTAAGCCCCTTCTTGGGCTGACCCCATGCCACTCCCAGCTTGATTTCAAGCTCATACTTCCTCGAAAGATTACATGTAGCGAACGATGGCGCCACAGTATTGGGCAGGGGTATGTTCTTCCATACATGATCTGGAATTACCAATTCCTTGCCAACCTCGTCGTCGGGACCTGTGGTCAACGGGACGTTGATAGTGGGGTTCGAAACAACAACCCATCGGTTGATCTTTTGGTTGTGGAGCTCAAGTGCTCGAACATCAGTGCGCCCAATAAGCTCCATTTGGAATGAGACCAAGTAGACTTGCTCGGGGTTGTTGTTGAGTTTCTTTGCGATAAGTCGTAGGGGAATCGGCTTATTGCAAGTCAAGATACTGGGGTGGGGTAGGCGAGCTGATATCTCGATAGCAGGAGCAGGAGCGATATCTGCAGAGCGTTCTGAATTAGATGCAGTCTTGGACTCAGAACTGCTTCCAAAGTTGAAAAGAGAAGAGCGTTTCTTCTCTGGCTGGGGAGATTGCGGTCGAAATGTAAATGGGCGACGAGCAAAGGCTTCTTGAGATGTTGGCTGTGGCCGAGGGGGCTCAATAGGTAAGAATTTCAAACCCATGTTATACCGCCAATTTTCCTTGAGTAGTCCCGGTCGTTGTATGGTCACTTTGATGTAGTAGCGGATCTCTGCCTCTCCAGGATAACCTGTCAATGAGGGAGGTAACGTGCGGGTTACATGGCGAAGATATAGTTGCTTGCTGCCGTCCATGACCCTTACACCACCAATGCCAAATATCCCTCCGCCTCCAAATCCTCCCACGTTAGACATACCACCGATTTTGGACATGGCCATTGGGTCGCTGCAGGCATTGTTGATGGGGAGTTTAAAGTTGAACGGAAACTCATGCTCGCCAGCCTGAAGTGGATATGCGCCGTATGGATTCGAGGAGCTGGCGTAATAGTCGTCCGGGAAGACCTGTTGTAGCTTGTATAGGATCTTGTGGTTCTCTATTGCCATGCTGCCAGGAGGCCGTTGGGGGCCAGTTTGAAGTCTGTTCATGGATTGTGGATCAAAAGCGTTGGGAGCTTGCAAGGCGGTTCCAGACTCTCCCTCGAGCTTGACGACAATGCTGCCGATCTGCTCATTGCGATTAATGCCGAGAATGACTCGACCTGAGATGAAATCGAGGTTGGTGTAGAACTCCGGTTGGTTGTTGAGCGCTATTCGGATAGACATGATGGGCGAAGAGGAAATGTCGACGAACGATGCGATATCCGCTGTGCGACACGACCGTTGGGCAAATCTGAGACTTGTTTAGGCCTAACAGTCCAACGGTGTTGTTGTGTGAGTTGGTCGTAGATGGCTTCGCATCTGCCAGACAGGATCAAGAAGAGACTCTTTTGTTCAATTAGCAGCTTATGAGTTAATGTGTCCACTCAAAGGGCTCCAAAGAGCTGTCAATATTGCATTGTATGTATTGAAGACGCCCAAACCTTCGATAAGTTTAAAGTTGACGGATGCGCAGGATCCAGGACAGTCGTACGTCACCAGAGCTACTCAGCCTGAGCCAAGCCCCGCGATGGACTAGGCCTCACCGCACCCACACCTGGACCTGGAGGGGTGATTGTGGCTGTTGCTGACTGTGGCGTCGAGCTTATGTGGCTAGTATGGACGTCGGTGCTCTAAGCGCCGGATGGCCGATCTAGGCGTTTGACAGATCTTGGAATTTACTGATCACCGATGTGGTGGTTCTTGAACCCGGTTCCTACAGCAGAGGCCTGTTGTATCTGGCAGTCTGTCAAAAGTCCCTCAAGCAGGGGTAGAAACTGTCGACAAATCTTCACGCGACCATGTATCTCGCTGTGCCGCGTTGCAATGAGACTGGTTTGGTGGAGACGACCCGAAGATTCCCAGCACCAGACGGCAGAGAGAAAGAAAGTGCTTCACGATGCAGCAGTTGCATGAATTTGTTGGTGATGAAAAACTCTACGAGCATCACCTGCTTGTTCAAGCCCTGGAGCCTGTTGCATTCTCCACTGCACCAGTACAGGAGATCACCAACACAATTATTTCAGCAAAAATGCATCACAAATCAGTGGCTCCGTTGGACCTGGATGTGAGCTTCATTACCCCAATGCGTGTCGACAATGCCTGAATGCCCATGCCAGGGCAGTAGGACCCGCGATCGACGCTCCCAAAACATTCCCCGAGGTGTTTCGATACCCACAATTTGGCATGAAATGTGCTGCATCTTGAACCAACTGCATATTCAGGGTCCTTCTGTTCAGTGCGATTTCACTGAGCTGGCCAGAGATGCATCAGGATACGGCCGGGGATTCGAAACCAGGGCATGCATTGTTCACAGAGCCCGCGCTTCGCACACAATTTAACAAGCCCTGGAGTCCGGAATCTCTCCGCGGTCTTGCAGACCAACTCGAAATCTCAGATCATGTCATCCACGATCCAGAATGTCCATTTTATGGATAATCAGTCAGTCATATATGTATCATCTCGAGATGGATGCCTGTAGTGTCGTCAGTGCACAGGCCAATATCCCGATCACCGCTCGCGTCAGGACAGCTCGCGGAATGATACGATGCGGGCCGTTTGCCGCCCAAAACCATGACATGGCCCATCTCGCGCCCGTCAACCTATCACAGTCCAGGCCGGCCGCTCTTATGGCCTTGCACCGGTCGCCCGCTGCGTCTGTGCCGTGCGGGCTGCCGCCGTTTCCCCGCCTGGTCTCTTGATGATTGGTAGGCTTAGCCCCCATCTCGGCCAGCGCAACGACAAGAGATTGTCTCTTGCAGGCAGAGATTGCCATGATCCTGGATATGCAACCTTGTCAGGCTCCGGATAAGTTACACTTTTGCTTCGCCCTTGTCATGTTTTGATTCATATAGGCAATTGTCTGCAGCTGTCCTAGTCATGTCAATCCATCACACATGCTAAGAAACCACTTTACATACGAATATCATCCTTGTCCAAGACGATGTACCAGGATGCATTGCCCAGTGATCACACGGTCTTGCTACTTTGCAGAACTACTTTGCAGATATCATGACCCCTGGTCTAGGACTACTAGGATGTAACGCCCAACAGCCACATGTGCTTTCTCTGGTGCTTGGTGGCCTTCCTTTTGAGTCCTGCACTTTACGTACAGGTTGGGTACTATGCAAGTTTGTACCCTTGACTGCCGATCATAACTAAGCTGATTGGTTTCGTTTGCTCACCGGATTGCTATGGTTCGAGCTTACGGCAGTTGTTCGTCCTTGCTATTGGACCGACCAAGAGATATCGGATAAAGGCTGAATACCCGTCTTACCCGTCAAGACCTTGTCTAGCCTGTCTCCTATGTTGCACCGCATTCATGATCCTCCCAACAGCTATCCCCCCTCTGCAGCGCCCCATGGGTACAGAGCCTCACCTGCAGGGCTCCGCCCAGGCCAACAGGCAGACGGTAGAAGACTGCTTTTTCTATATGTAGGGGGCCAAGCCATCCCGTCTTATTCTCCGAGTCTTTTGCTTCTGACTCGGACGCCAGCCTGTCATGATAATTAGCCATATCTGTTGGTCGACACTCGACGATGGCAGGCGATTGTGGCTCGACCTGTCCAGCCTCTGATGGCTTCTATACTTATAGTCCGAGTGTAGGCGGCAACGCCGTACTACTTACTGTATTTGCCCTGCTCGCCCTCGTTGCACTATACTTTGGGGTTCGATCCAAGACCTACCTATTCTCTCTCGCACTCACAGCCGGGCTCTTCCTCGAAGTGTTGGGATTCATCGGCCGAATCCTGCTGCATTCGAAGCAGGATGACCAGGGACACTTCTTTCTCGTTTTGTTTGGTACGGTTCTGGGCCCGTCCCTGATGAGTGTTGCCATCTTCATCGTCCTTCCGCACATCCTCAGCATCTATGGAAAACCGATCTGCCCATTCAGACCTCTAGTAGCTGGCCTGATTTTCTGGGGACTCGCAGCAGTCACCATTATATTCGAGCTTGTCGGTATCATCTTTACAGCCTACGAGACGAATGGTTTCAGTGTATGTTATTCCAATTATGATCATCAATGGTCTTCATGTGCTAAGGTTCAACCAGCGAAAGCAAGGAGCAGCGATTGCTGCCACAGGTTTAGCGATACAGGCTTTATCATTGATAGCATGCACCGGCCTGCACTTTTGGTTCACACTCAGCTTGAGTACCCGGCGAGGCACTCTCGATGCCCGACATTCGCAGGTGTACTCGTCCTCGCAGTTCAAGAAATTCCTTATGGGTAAGGAGACCTAGTCAGTTGATGTACCTGACTAACACGCACCTAGCAATGGAGATGGCATCTGCTCTCTTGATCGTTTATTCCTTCTACCGGCTTGTCGAGTTCGCAGATGGCGTTTCAGGAGACGTATTTCAAAACCAAGCTGCGTTTATGGTTATAGGAGGAGTGTTGCCTTTCTTGGCCGCGGCCCTTTTGACCATCATCCATCCCGGAAACGCATTTGCTGAAGCGTGGGGCCCAACGTCCCCAAAGGGTCTCAAACGCCAGAATCGACCTGATCCTGTGCAATCTCCCACTCCTAGTGGCCACCCCGTTCACCACATGTACGATCCTGATATTCGCAAGCAAGTCTCGCCGACCACTCCAAAGCACCAGCGGAACTCGGGGCCGCCTGAGCTGCCCGAAGGCTCTATGGGTCTCCCTGCGCGTCCCAAGCCTGCACCTAAACCACCAAGTCCTCGAGAGCCTCGAGAGCCAGGGGCTCCTCGTAAGGGACCACCCTTACCATTGAACCTTTCGGCTATTCGAGCATCGAGGAATAGTTACCGGGCAGAACAGAGGGGTCAAGCACCTAAGGACATGGTACCCGATGAAGAACTGTGGTAATGGGATATAGTTGATTCAAAGCGTTGGTACGGAGGTCTGCATTTTCTTTATCTGGAGGGAGAGAGTGTGTAGTCACAGGGAGTGCTGCTGGCTGGCTGGCTTACTCGCTGTTATATATGATACCTGGGAAGCTATTCGTTCCTTTACTACGAGGGGGGTACAGCACGTGGTGTCTCAGATGCTGTGTATCGATATACCATGCTTATCTGCTGGAGTCTCTCAACGGGAACCCCATGTCGATTATAGAGCTTTTGGACTTGGGTCAATACTAATTGGGGTGGCATTGTCGAATTCTTTAGGTATGGCACGTCCTAACTGATAGTTGCCACAGTTCTAGATTAATGTGAATCTATCAACTAAGCCGTGTCTTACCTGATCTATGTCTGGGGTAACACCCTTGGCACCGTACTCCGTAGTGATGGGCTCTCAGGAGGTATGCTGAAGGCCTCGAGCACAATCGAACAAGTTTCTAATGATTCCGAATAAGCCCGTGCTTCTACTGCGAGCCTCTATGTTTCCGGCCTGCCCAACCTATTTCTAATGCCATCATTTGATCACATCCTCCAGACAATGTTAATGGATCTGCCACCAAACCTTAATACACAGGACTACAGCGAATCACAGCCAGGATATAACTGCTAAAGTCTCATTTGTCACGCCAAGATAGTTCCTCAACGGGCGGTTCTCATTGAATGGAATGCGAGGGACCAAGCTTCGAGACATGTCATCCAATGCAAGGCACGACAGCATTTCTCCGCCACTAGCTTAGCGCCTCAACCAGGAACGGGAAGAAAATGCATAACAAAGAAACTACTGTAGATCGCCCGGATCTGGCGTTGCCTTGGGCCATTCACGAGAGGGCATGGAGGGGAGGGGGACTTGCTTGTCAGATGGTAATGTGATAGATCATTGCTATCCCAAAGCCGACTTAAGCCTTCATGAGGCGAATGCCTGCTTTGTCTCGACGTACAAAACTGATGAGAAAACGAGAGCAGACGCTTCCGTTGGATTGAATATTTGGGGTAAGAGAGAGAGTCCTGACTCTTTCCTAGGCTCATCAGGTTTCCCTACAATATCATCACCAGTCTTTTGCTCAGCCCAGAGTTCTTTGTTCCTACCACCTACGTTGAGGTCTAAATGCGCTACATTATGCCAGAGAAGGTATTTAATTGACAAGGCAACCAACATCTCCAATCAGTAAACACTAAATCTGTCGTCTATTCAGCCAGAGTCTTAGTGCAGATCAACCACGCTTAGCCAGGTCCGGCTGATGCGGCATCCAGTGCTTCCACCAACGTGCCTGGCTATAAACTTAGATCTGTTCTTGGCAAATATCTCAATCAAATAGAAAGCGACATTGTAGACTGTAGTTTGTGCCGCTACAAGAATGTCCAGATTCGTCTAGAAGCCTACGCCATGGCTTGCCATCTCCCCTCAAGAACAAGCCATGCCCCCTACCACGACGTCCTCGCTTTTCACTCTGTCGACTCGCTTTTGCGAATGCCCCAATAGTCCCTTATGTCAGAAACATCTTGACTACTAGACCCATCACCAATGTCTTGCGCATTTGCACGGATATCGGATATCATCAACCGTAAGCTCGGAAGAGGTCGTTCTTCCGAGTACGACGACGACGAGAAGCCCCGACTCATATCCATCACTACTACTATCACCATCACAACGAGTGCGACTGAATCGATAGAGTAAAAAAAGAGAGAGAGAGAGAGAGTCGCATCGAGAAGAGAGAGGATGGTGTCGTGGACGCTTCCTCTGCAGGTCACTTTTGCGAAGAGGGATAATGGCCTGAACTACGACCCTGAAAGTTTTACCGGCCAAGTCATTTTGAACCTCAATGTTGCACTCGTAGTCACCACGAGTGTATTTATGCTTGTGCGGTTGTATGTACGAGCTATCATGACTAGAGGTCTAGGGCGAGATGATGTACTTGCTACTATTGCTTGGGTGAGTCGACTATGCTCCAGTCTACACCGTCAACTGAAGAATCTTGACTAACTAAACCGACCTCAAGTGTCTGGTCACTGCACTATCTTGCATAGAAGTTGTTCTCGTAACGAAAGGCGTAGGAACTCACATGGATAACTTGTCCAAAGAATCATTGGCTGAGCTCTTCTCAGTAAGTGCTCTAACCCGGCGGTCGCTCTTGTCAGATCGCTAACTCTTTGTGTCTAGTTGATGCCTGTCGACAAAATGCTATTCATATCATCGGGTTGTTTTGTTAGGCTTTCCATTCTGTTTTGCCTTCCTCGCATCTACAGAGACAGTAAGGGAGTTCACCACCCAACATTGTTACTTAGGTACTGACGAGTATCATCGACAGGGTCTTTTATGACGTGTATCTATGGCGTCTCTTTGGCAACCGTGATTGTCGCTGCGACTTCCCTTTTGTTCCTGGTATTCTCATGCAGCCCTCCATCGTAAGTCTCCCGTGCCTACGATGAGTTATAATACTAATACTTGAACAGTGATGTCTTCAACGCCGCGAACCCAGACAGACAATGTGTCTCCAACTATACTTTGGGTCGCATGAGACAAGCGCATTCTATCTCGGCCACTGTCGTCAATATTATCATCCTGTTCCTCGCAATTTGGGCCTCATCAACAACATCGAGAACTCGCGCAAAGACTATCAAGCGGACACTCATTCTTGTCGTTGGCGTATTTGCCATCGTTTCGTCTTTGGTTCGCATAGGGATACTACTAACCACTGACTTGAGCATCGATACGTCAGTTCCTTCATCCATGTGGATTCTAAAAGCGATGCTAACACGTCTACAGAACCCACAGAATGGTCCGTACAGCACCTTGGTTCCCTATTGAAGTCCACACCGGACTCTGGTGCAGCTGTCTCCTTGCCTTTGAGCCCTTAACTGAGCCGAGTAATAACCCAAGAAACTACAACAATTACAATATGAGAAAACTTTCCCGAAGTAGCGCTTGGGAACCACAAGACGACCTGTGGCACAGGAACTTGGTGACATCGAATCCTCGTATCTCAATTCACGGAATGCCCAGAGATACTAAAGGAAAGAGAAAAGCATCGAACGCTGAGTCAGAGGCTGATATTGAGATGTTGGAAAACGAGAGAGGTATCAAGTTGACTACTGAATTTTCTGTTCATGTAGAGAATAGTGCTCATGCTGGAGAGCGATTGGAAGAAAGGGTCTCAAGAACACCGGCGTGGAATGCTTTCTGATAAGAGAATAGAGTAACTGCCTAGTAATCATTAATTCGAAGCTCCAATTGTATTGTATCCCCGGATTTCGGAAACAAGACAAAATGCATCCACACTATCCGATTAAGCTGTCAATACCTGCTATTCAATGCTATGGATCTTCATGTCAGAGCAAGGTGACTCAAACACGGCAGTCTTTGTCTGAGCAAACAGACAAACAATTTCTTACCAAACTAACGTATGGCTACATATCTTGCTTGTACTATGTATCATTTCTTTGTCTATTTGCTCGAAAGCCAGTGAATGAATAGCACAGATACGTTACTCTTTGCTTGGTTTCTTCATCGAACAAAGAAACTGGTCTTAACCGACAAGGATATGGCCAGGGGGATCATTGCCTAATGACAAAGAAACTTGCAGGAGGCTTTTCAACAATTTGTCGACAAAGAAAAACGAGGTCCAGGCAAACATTAAGAAGTGAATGGATGGCCCATCCTCAGAGCTAGCATATCTTTGTTCGCCAAAATTAATCTTCCAGCATATTGATATAACATCAACCCCAGGAATAACACCTTCACATGCCAGAAGTTCGTTAAGGGAACATTAAAAAGTTCTTTAACTTTCTGCTCTTATCCGTACTTGTCGTTGACACTCAATATTCAGCGCGGAGACTTACCTTCACTTCCGACTCTCAACATGGGCCAAGACAGTGGCGAACAAGCTGGACCTGATCCCCAGGAACAGAACCCACAAGAAGTTTCGTCTCAAGACGATGGAAATCGACCCGATGATCAAGCAGCCGAACTATCCCAGCAAGAAACGAACTTGTCAGCCACAGGAAACTATGAGGCTAATCAAGAGGATCGTGTCCAGAAACCCCCTGGAAGTTCTAAGGAACAGCACCCTGTACCTCAGGTGGGAGATTCTAACCGCCGACATTTGTATGCTCATAACCCTCCAATCTCTGATGATGAGTTCGCCGAAGCGTTACATGCGTTCAATAACTCGATCACAAACGCCGAGACAGGAGAGCGTGATTCCCTAGCAACCCACCAGCGGCCTCGCACTCCTCCCATAGAGAGAGCCCGAAGACATATGCAAAGCCTAGAAGAGCAGGGTGTGCAATTCACAGACGACTTGGAGAAGGAGATTATCGACAACATGATACACAGCATGGGCCTTGTCCCTGCTTTGACAGAGTGGTGCGAGAATGAAGCAGGCATCCCTGTTGAATACGCCAATAAGCTGTTGAAGGAGATAGATCAACTGAAGCTCGCAATGGCCAAGCAGCAGCGCGACTTACACAAGAAACTTGCCTCACAAATGAAGTCTATTGAGGATTATCAGTCACAGAAGAAAGGGCGGAAGCTCGACAAACAGATGGAAGGGATTGAGAAAGAAGATGCCAACGACAAACTGGAGGGTCTCGATGACATCTCTATTCCATCTTCAAGGCCTTCTCTTGAAATTCCGAGAACTCCTCCTGGAACCGAGGGATCAACACCAGCGAGTTCACGTTCGACGCTGGTCGAAATGGGAGAGAGACAAAGTCTGCAACAGCAAGTGTCAGACCTTCAACAGAGACTTGATGAAGCAAGAAAAGACAACGAGCGGCTCCAAGAATCCAACGGGTCAGTTTCAGACAAGGACTCCACCAACTCTTGGCCGGAAAAGGGTGATAAAATCAATACATTGGAAAAGGAGAATGAGGACCTGAAGGTCAAGCTCGAGGGTCAGATGAAAGAAATGAACGAACTACACCAGAAGATTGCGAAGCTTCAGCAGACTGACGGCCATCAAGACCAATCAGAGGACATGGAAGCTTCAAACACAGATTCTGAAAGCTCTTCGTCAGAAAGGATCGAGGATCTTAAGCAGAAGCTCAAAGATCAACAGAAAGAAATCGACAAGAATGGACGATTAACCCGCCGGATTGCAGAGCTCCAGATCAATGTGAGACACTTCGATCGACAGGCTCAACTCCAGCGAAACCGACTGGAAGAGTTGGAGGCTTCAAGTAATGAGGCTGCAAGCTCTTCTTCAGAGGAGATCAAGGGTCTCAAGGAGAAGCTTGCGGAGAAGACTCAAGATCAGAAGAGAGAAACCAACAAGAATGAGGCCTTAACCCGCCGGATTGCAGAGTTACAGATTAATTTGAGACACTTCGATCGAGAGGCTCAAGTCCAACGAGACAAATTGGAAGAGTTGGAAGCTTCAAAGGCAGAATGTGTGAAGTCTCTTTCAAAGAGGATCTCGGATCTCGAGGAAGAAATTGATGATCTCAAGGAGGAGCTTAAGGAGAAGACTCACAATCAGAAGAGAGGAAACGACAAGAATGAGGCATTGACTCGCCGGATTGCAGAGCTCCAGATTAATGCAAGACACGTCGATCGAAAGGCTCAAGCCCAACGAAATCGACTGGAGGAGTTGGAAAGGGTCAATTTCACGACCGCTGACAGGTTGGTCGAGGCGCTCAACAGCGAGAAAGAAGAGTTCAATGGCAGGAATGGTATGAGCCTCGTGGACAAAATCAACTACATGAACATGGCTACCTTCTTCCGCACCTGCAACTACGTGCGGCTGGCTATCCGAGAGAATTCCCTCCCTATAGCCAACGTTCTCATGAACGACGCTGAAAAATGGTTCACCTTCTGCCAGGAGGACTTGGCAACGATGGAACCAAGCGTCAGAATCCAGATGCAAGCCTCGATGCATGTCCTCAATGGCGCCAGGAGGGCTTTGATTCCCAGGAATCAAGAGAAGACTAAAGCTGGTCGAGAGGGCGCTCAGTATGGATTGGATTACCTCGAAAAGTATCCTGAGGGCACTGCCTTTGATCAACTTAGACGACTTGCCAACACTGTCATTGAGAGCACCAGTGATGAACAACCCTTGCTTAAGAAAGTTCTCCAGCGCACTCATTATGGCAGAAAAAGAGTTCGGGATCAGATCTGGAATGATCCAAACATGAAAGAGTCTGAGTTACGTCGTCCTGGCTTGCACTCCCCTGCGTCTCCTAGCAAGTGGGACACCGGTAATCTTGATAAGGACAATACGATTGGGGAGAATGATGAGGGAAACTGATCTTCGACTCGAGAAGATAAACAGGTATTACTGGGTTTTACTTTCCAGTGTTTGATTAAAGTGCCGAGTTTTGGTTTACACTCTCTTTTGGTCATGTCTCATGTGATATCTATGTAGAGGTCTAATTGGAATTCGTACTATCCTGGAACCAAATAATCTATCTAAGGAGCACTGTATCCTCCATCGATAACAAAATTAGCACCTGTGGCATATGTGGAAGCGTCAGAGGCCAAAAACAGATATGCTCCTTGAAGTTCATGAGGCTCGCCCTCGCGACTGGTTCATTGTTAGTGCTAGCGATTATATGACAGGGACCATAAACCTACCCCATGGGGATCTTGTCCTTCCAGATATCTTTGGTTTCCTGATCCACAAAGTTGGAGATCTCAGTGATGATATAACCAGGAGAGATGGCGTTGGCACGAGCAAATCGAGCCCATTCGACGGCCAAACTCTTGATGAGGTGGATAACTCCAGCCTTGGCGGCATTGTAAGCAGCCTGGAGCTGTGGAATATTCACGATACCTCCACTCATGGAAGCAGTGGCGATGAAACTGCCTGACGTGTAGTTGGTCAAGGGCTGACCGTTGAGATCAGTACCTTCGACCTTCTGACGACGCCAGTGCTTTGCTGCGGCTTTGGCACAGTAGTAAGTGCCATCGAGGTTTGTCTGAACAACATCACGGTAGTGTTCAATGGGACCATCGACCATGGGGCCCTTGGTCCAAGGGATACCGGCGTTGGCAACGAAGATATCTAGCCGGCTGTTGAGGTCTTGGACCGATTGATCTACAGCCTTCTCAACGGCCTCGGCATCTCGCATATCAACTTGATACGCCTTGACTACAAGCTCTGTGGTTAGCAATTGAGCACTACGACAGCTTTTCTGGGTATAGCTACCAGTAACATTGTATTTCTTGGAAAGCTCTTCCGCACGTTCCTGGGCCTTGTTACTTGTGCGGTACCACAGAGCGACGTTGGCACCAGTTTCAGCGTATGCTTCAGCAATAGAGAAGCCAATACCCGCAGCAGCGCCAGTAATGATAGCAGTCTTGCCTTGGAGAGAGAAACGCTTCAGGATAGAACCACCGTCAACTACACGGTTGTTATCGTGGACGAAGTTGCCTCCGTTGAGAGGGTGAAGATCAGACATTTTGAAAAGTTATATGGATCAAGAGATAGATGTATGTGTAAGGAAGAAGAAGTCGCTCTCAAATCAACACGATCTCCAAATGGCTCAGTTCATGACTTTTATACCCAGCATCCACCATAGCAGACGTCTCTGGCCAGCTTCTCTCCACTAACTCCACCATCAGAACTCTTCCCTCTTAACTGCGTATACCTTGATGTTAGTGGACAGCCCCTGGATGCTACAGTTTATTGACACAGGATCCGTCTTCCACGGTAGGAGACTCCGCTAGCAATGACACGACAATCATGACCGCTTGTTCCGCAAGATGATCTGGCACGTCTCCATCGTGAAGTAGTCGGAATTGCCTAAACGGGACAGCGGAAAGCACAGCAGATAAGCGGTCGAAGCTTTGATGGAGATTCAGGGTAACTAAACATGTAAGTCGTATGGAATGAGAAAGGTTTGGTGGAGAACTGGTTCAGCTACCTGGCGAAGAGCCCGTTGGACCCATGATATTGAGTCTCTGGTTGGTTAAGATCCTTGTCATGAAGCTATAGAATGCAAGACCCTAGAGCCACTTCATAAGGTTCGACTGGGCACATAGACAGCGACTCCTCAGTCTTTTGATACTACCCCGCATCAATTCCCCAAGGGACAGAGCTTCCCATGGTCTTCTGGTTAATAGAAAGGTCCCCTCTATGAAAGCCGGTAGGAATTGTTGGCGGTTGCTTATCCTTTCTAGGTAGATAACTGTTGCTCAAGGGACGCTGGACCTGGTTTAAAACGCCAAGGGGATTTGTCTACTCAGACTAGGAGCGTCCCTGGACCTACATTCGCTGTGATCGAACTTACCTCGTTCGTACCTTCCGGTATCATTGAGCGGTCGACGTCACCTGCCCCCACAATCATGATACGGCTCCAGAGGAAGGCAGTGGGGTGCTTTCCCCTCCAAAGGTACCTTCCTTCATGTAGTCATTATGTCAAGAACTCTTTCGTCGTGATCAATTGAATTCTTTTGTATCAGCATTCTCGTTCGTTTCTAAGAGATCTAATCACAAGCTAGACAAAGTGACTGTGAACTCATACGTCCCAAATTTACCATCATGGCTACTCATCGACCCTACGACTCAAAGCTTGGAATAGTCACCGGAGGCTCAAGGGGTTCGTATCTGTGACTTGCCAAACTCTTCTTATCAGGGTCAACTAACTGTACTCAAGGCATTGGTGCGGCGGTTGCTGAAAGACTGGCTGCTAAAGGCTGCAATCTCCTCCTGGTCTACACTTCCGACTCATCTACAGAACCGACAAAAAAGCTGTGCAGCGAGCTCTCAACCTCACACAAAATCCAATGCTCGTCAGTACAGGCCGACTTGGGCATCCCTTCCGAAGCTGCGCCTAAGATTATCAATGCTGCACGATCTTTCCACGCCTCGTATAGCTCAAACAAGCCTTTCCAGATTGAAATCCTCATAAACAATGCTGGCGTCTCCTCTAACCAGCACATGAACGATACTAAGCAAGGGGCAATCCAAGAACTCGAGTTCCACCGCGTCTACAACGTCAATGTTTTGGCACCCCTCCTCCTAACTCAAGCAGTTGCCCCGCATCTTCCCGCCAACCGCGGGGGACGTATCGTGAATGTTTCCAGTGTTTCTTCGTCTATCGGATACCAGGGCCAATCGGTCTATGCCGGAAGTAAAGCAGCTCTGGAAGCCATGACGCGGACCTGGAGCCGTGAGTTGGCTACTCGTGCTACCGTCAACGCTGTCAACCCTGGACCGGCTTGGGGAGACATGTACGCAGCCGCCGGACAAACTTTTTGGGACATTAACCAGCCTTATGTTGATGTAGCCCCGTTGGCTGAGTACAATAGCGAGCCAGAGGTTCTGGCCATGGCAGGGTCAGATGCTGAGCGTTTCGATCGTACAGTACGTGAGTCCATGGGTAATCGAAGACCAGGTTTTACAACTGAAATCGCTGGCACCGTCGATATGTTATGTTCGGAGGAAAGTGGCTGGACGACTGGGTCTGTCGTTTGTGCGAATGGCGGGATGAAGATGTCAATCGCTTAGAAAACTGGTCGCATTGCATTGCATCAAAGGCATGAACTTGCCGGTCCCTGCATGGCGGCCATGATGATTCGTGGTTGCAAATTATAACCTGGGAATGTCTATGTACGACAGTCTGCATCCTGCACAATGCCGAGTACCTTGAAACCAGAAGCCTCCACGATACCTACTACCTTGACATCGTCAGTGTTCCACGCCCAATGCAGTGTTGCGCCGTCTACATATGCGACATATCTGTCAGCTTGACAAAACACGTTTGTGCTACCTGGTGTTATCACATCTGGGGCAGAAGCCGATGGTACACAGCAATCATGTACAAGATCGAATAAGATATTCGATGTCTTCGGTTGGCCCGTAAAGCGACGGGATGAGCGGCGGCATTGGAGACATAAACATCAGTCGAGGGACGAGGCGGCACACTTTATCCTCGAGTACCTCGAAGCCATTTTGTGGGACACTGGACCAAGGACGAGCTTAACACCAACTGTTGCCAGTTTCTTGTGATTTCCAAGGCCTTACTGAAGTTTGTATGTGCAGTGAAAATGCCTATACCTCAGTGATTGGCTTCCTGTTGCTTGCGCTCGGTTTTCACTTCGCTTGGGTAACACAGCTTATTGAGCTAGGTCCTTTTTGGTTTGGTATCACAAACATATGATGACAATGTTGTTGAAGAAATGAACGTCTTGACTGAAGTCACTACGTCCAGTTGAGAAAACATATCAAGATTCCGTGACCTCCCGGGTCCCAGCAGAAATGTTTTCGGGAAAACAAGAACAGAAAAGCAGCAACAAATAAGGTTGAAACTTTCGAGTCGTACAGCCCTCACGCGGCTTGTTGGTGTGTATATTCATGCACATATGACCACGGTACCTGCATCCTTCCTCATGTCTTTGTGACAGTCTGGAACTTTTATTCTGTTCGAGTAGGGAAACACTTCGCTGATGTGATCAAAAAGCTGACAAATAGCTGCTCGAGAATCAGTTTGACACGGCTATTCTTTCCACTGGAGATACACGGTATCTGACAACTTCTAGTGCAATCATTCATGGTGACCCGAATGAGCAACTCCTTCACCTTGGATAAAGATTTGGACTTGGATTATATCGCACATGTGGCTGCATCATGCCATGAATCAGGCTTTCCTATTTGATCACTGTCAAGTAAATTTCGTACTCACATATGGGTGGAAGCACAGTTTCAGCCTCAAACACTTGGATATCTGATATACTGACAGAGGGAGGGCTGGGCTGTGAACATTTTGATATCGAGAAAGACGTTGCTTCTCATCTGGCTATCTGCACCGACTCACTTTCGGAAATGCTGTGCTTCTATTCAGACGCCGCCAGCCGGTTTCGAGCCGTTCGCTAAATTACGATTCAGGTCAGTCCCCGAATTCCTTAAGCACATGACCATTCACGTCACATTTTGGCGGTGCTTCCTAGTCCGCGATTCTTGGATGGCAGTGAGTGGATGAAGCATGGATTTATTCCATGGATGTATGCACATATATGCTCCTTCCCTCTTTGTGATTTCCCTTCCAATGAGAAGACTCTGTGCTCTCTGCCAACTCCTTCAAGAACTCATGGAGCCTACTCAAAGGGGAACTTCCTTGTTCGTAGTATATGATTTTGGGTCTTACGAATGTCATAGCAGAAACCGTCGGCCACAAGCAGTGCCAAAGCAGTGTCAGAGTAGTGTTGGAGCAGTGTTGGAGCAGTGTTAAATCAGCCAAGTGGATAAATAAGAGACTAGATTCCACCTCAACATCTACCAGTTTGCACCTGCTCGTTACCGTACCACTTCGGAGGTTGCTTCTCTGATACCCCGATACACACTCCTTGACATTCTTCCCTTCACAATCTTTTTCATCTTGTCCCGCTTGCCACAGGCGACCAAATCAACGGCAATTCTCTCAACCCAAGCAAATCCCCGCCTTCTTTCTTCATATCGCCAGTCTCTCTTTCAAAGTTCTCCCGCATCGCAAACCCATCATGGCAGGCAACTCATCCCATTCGGATCCGACATTCCTTGCCAAGCTTGCCCGTCGTCGGCAAATGGACTACGATGCTATAATTTTGTTTGCGGCGGCCATTGCTGGCCTTTACCTTGCAATTTGCATCCTCTCTCTTCTGAGGCGGCTTTGTGTTGAGGTAGGTGCCTCGCGCAAACCAAGCGTCATCACAGCGATCCTGAGGTAAAAGATTACTTGCTCTTCAAAGTGAGATCTAGAGTTTAACAATGTTGCAGGCATGTGAGAGCTTCTACTCTAGGGAATATTCCGGGACTGCCATCAGGAGGGTATACTTTTGTGATTCTTGGTTACCTGATCATCAACATTGTTGTCACTTTCACACACTTGGACAACCAAAACATGCCGCTTCTTTCTAATGTGGCCTCTCGAACTGGATGGTAGGTAATCCAGCCGTATCCTCTCATTAAATACTGACATGCAGAGACAGGATGGCCATTGGCAATTTACTCATTGTCGTTCTCCTTTCTCTCAAGAACACCCCCGTCGTCATCTTATTGAACTCGTCCTATGAGCGCCTTAACATACTCCACCGTCTAGCTGGTTATACCACCCTTATCTTTTCCATCGTTCACGCGTGCACTTATGCTGCCGTATTTGGGGCCCAAGACTTTCTAGAGCGCTTGCTTGTGAAGGAAGAAATCTTTGGCATGGTTGCTCTGGGCTCATTCATCATACTTGCATTTGCGGGCGCTGTCCTTCGAGCGTGGTGGTATGAGCTGTTCTACTACCTCCATGTGACTTTCTGGATTATCGCTGTCATCATGACTGGTCTTCATCAGCCAGAGCCCAGCAAGAAAATTCTGTACGTTATTTGCATTTCCGCCGGGATTTGGGCACTCGATCGCATCGTTCGCCTCGCCCGCTTGATCGCCAACGGCGTCAACAATACTGCCACACTCACACCACTCCCTAATGGCGGAACCCGTGTGACACTCGCAAAAACTCCCTTTGGATCTACATCCGGAAAACACGGCTTCCTTTGGATCCCTGCAGTGCGCGCCGTCGAAACTCATCCGTTTACCATGGTTGCCATCAATCCCCTGGAGTTCGTCGTGGCAGCATATGATGGGTTTACTCAAACACTGCACGACTGTGCACTCCAAAACCCTGGTATCAAGTTGAAAGCATCAGTCGAGGGCCCTTATGGTACCCTGCCTGATGTCAGAGGGTACGACAAAGTCATACTCATAGCAGGAGGCAGCGGCGCTAGCTTTACAGTTGGTGCAGTTCTCGACATGATCAAGAAACTGGACACGAGTACAGACATTGCTATCGAGTCTATCTGGATGATAAGAAACCAAGGTATTTTCCCCAATCATTGAATGAGACTTGAGGTGATTCTGACAAACTTGCAGCATTCCTTTGTTGGTTCGCACAGCATCTCGAGACCCTGCACCAGTATCGCCGTGTCTCAATAAAAGTCTACGTAACACGAGCTTCAACAGCCGAGACCGTCCCTCAAAGGCACCCTTCCACATCTTCAAATACATCCTCTAGTAGTGGGTCCGTGGATCTCGACCCAGAGAAAGAGGTGCTCGCTCAAAACAACTCCAATACCAGACCATCGCCCGACCTCGGGAGAGATGGCGATCCATTACCTGCAGCACATCCATTCACAGGCAACACCGCTATCTATTCCGGAAGGCCGGATATCGCTTCTCTCGTCAAAGAAAGCGTAGAAAGCATACCGTCTGACAAGCGGGTGCTAGTTATGGGTTGTGGGCCAAAGACGCTTATGTCGGCCGTCCAGGATGCTACAGCTGATGCTATCATGGATAACGGGGCAGGCGTAGAGTTGCATCTGGAGAAATTTGGGTGGTGATACTTTTGGCGATTGCTCTTGTTTACATGTTACGACGCTTGATGATTGATTTTCACGAATATGATGACGAGGCTGCAGTTCTTTTGACGACCAATCCATGGGGGAATACAGCAAGCAGCCTACTGAGTAGCAGAAACGCCATCCCTAGCTCAAGGGCGACAGAAACATACGGTTTAGATTCTAGTCTACACTGACACAAAGTGGTTAAATCTTTTCGTCTCTCTAGTCTAGTGAGTCAGATTGCTTAAGGCCGTGACAGCAGCTCAAGTAAAGAATTCAAAATTTTGCGATACCAGGCACGTTTCAACAAAACCTTTGCTGTCATAACAAAAATTGATTGATATACAGTATATCGGTGAGAAACTAAAACTATGTAAAGATATGTACCAATGTCCCTCCGTACGTAATAAGGACATAATGGGTATATAGCATCCGAAAAACAATTCATTCGTCATTGATCCAACCCGACGCCTCCCTTTTTTCGCTGTTCGAAACCAAGAGTCCCAAAACCTATCAGGTATAAAAACAAACAGGGATGAATATATAAAAGTCATCAACATTAATTAAAGTGGTGCGTTATCGCGGCTGTCCTCGCATTGTTGTATCGATGGCTGCGAAGAGCGGCGACGAGAGCTGAGAAACTTGGCACCTATAACTCTAGTGCCTTGAGACACCTTCCCCAATAATCCTTGGTTTTTGGCTTTGGCTGTACTGTGCCGACGGGCCCGATCTGCGATCACAGTCTCCATGGGCGAAGGCATCTCTTCGTCCAGCTGACCGAGAGCATCTCGCACAGCAGGGCAAGGGTCTACCATTCGCTTCACATCGCGAACGGACTGGAGGAAGATCGAGTAGGACATAGCGACGGCTTGGAGGACGATGACGACAATGAAAGCCGTCTTGACAGTTCCTCCGTGCTTGATGATGCCGTACATGACAAAAGGGAAGAATCCAGGGCCGGAGCTACCCATGGTGATAAAGGCGGCAGCACGCTTGGTGCGTCGGCCCTGGCCGCGAAGGCCAATAGCGAAAACGAGGGGATATATGGGACCCTCGAAGAAATAGAAGAGGACAATCGGGATAACAAGAAGGTTAGGGTTGGGTGGGCGGACAACCACAGGAAGAAGGGCGAAGAGGAAACACCCAGCGATGCAGGCGGTGAGAATGGTGCGAGGCCGGGGGAAGCGGGAGCGGTATACGGAGAGGTATGTGAGACCTGCTGCCATGAAGCGAGAAACCGCAAAGGCGGTATGCGCAATAAGGAGGTAATCGGGTATCGAGAGGCTGATGCCGGACGGTTTGTCGGGATCGGGATTGTCGCTGGCACCCTGCGCGGCATCCTCGCCGCTGGTGGGGTGGTTAGGAAGTATGGAGATCATGAGGCTTCGAAAATAGATGCTGAAACACTCCTGGGCAGCAACGTAGGTGTATTGGGCAAGGACAGCCAGAATTAAGCTCCAGGTACGGAGCTGTAGGCCGTTTCTTTTCTTCTGGGGATCCATGGGAAGATGCGTGGCGGATTGTTCTAGCTCGCGATCGCTCACTTCTGGAAGAGGCATGTAGTAAAAGAAGAGACCGAGAGCAACGCAAAGAAGCGTAATTCCCAAATACGTCCATTGGACGTTGATAAGTGTCATACTGGTAGCGTTGTTTTGCTCAACGATGCCCTTGAAAAAGACCTTTTGGGCCAAGAGACCGCTGAGGACACTGCCGATGCCTTGGATGCCCTGGGCCATGAGCACGCGAGTTTCGCCATATTCAGGAGGTCCGCAGAGTATTAAGAAGGCATTTGCGCCAACTTCAAGGATTGAAAGACCAAAACCAACGACGAAATTGCTCAGCATGAATCCAGCGTAGGATTGGGTGACAGCCGAAGGCCAGAAGATAACAGTTCCAATACCGTAAAAACATAGACCCACGATAAAAGTAACTTTGAAACCACCAACACTGTCGTGGCCGTTAGCCTTGTGCCGTTTCGATCGGTTGTGTTCGTCACGCCTCAGAATCCATTCGCCCACTAGCAGGGGTCCGAAAAAGTAACCACCACCAAAGTAAATGGACGTCATGCCAAGTGTTTCAGCAGTAGTCATGTTGTCAACGGTCGCAATGACGTTGTTCAACGTATTCAGCAGACCATATGATATACCCCATAATAGAAACAAGATGGAGACAATCGTGCAATACTTGAAAGACTCCTTCTTGTTGCACTTGAGCATACTCTTGGGTTTTGACATGTTGACAAAACCAAAGTAGACACCCTCAACGGTTCCAGTAGAAGATGTCATGGTCGTCGTTGTTTGATACGTCCCATTACTCTGAGCGGCACGTTGTCCAGGACGAGTTGGGCCTGGTTCATCGAACGGCGTAGTTAGAAATTCCATAGCGCTCATGGGCGCATTGGCATTGAGCGGGGATTGCGCATTAGTTTGCGCATTGAGTTGCGCAACCGGCGGTGGCTGCTGGATGCTGGCACGATGGCCTGTTGACGGTGAATCCGAATCGTTGGGTCCCTTAGGTGTGCTGGCTCGGGTTCCGTCGGGATCGTAGAGCATAGCAGGAAGCAGCTTGAGGACCAGAGGCTTCAGCGTCGGTACACAAGCGCACATCATTCCAACGTTGACCTCAACAGCACTCCACATGAGTGATCTCGACGCATTCCACGCAAAATCAGTTTGTCCACCGAAACGCGATTGAGGATCGGAAGTCGTACTGGTGGGTGCCGTAATAGCTTGCTGCAGATAGTAGATTCTTACTACATCGACAACCGTAACGAAGATACCGACGGTGAAGGTCAAAACCAGGATTGTCTTTTGTCGAGAAGGTAGGCGCATCCCCGTAAGGACAGGAATAGGCAGAGCGAGAATAGCCAGGTCCGTAACGATGTTAACAGGAGAGGAGCAGATAAACTCGGTGAGCAGCGGAATGCATTTTGCACTTGGGCGGTCGTCGTATTTTATATCCCAGGCAGCTTGTGTCGGACGGCATTGAAACACGTTCATAAAAGTGAGAATAATGCCAGCAATGTTGACAACGGCAAGGGTCAACCAAGAAGCAAATCGAAGTACCCTTTGAGTATGCTTGGCCAATCGGAGATAGAATATGAGTACGGATGTCTTCGTAGCCATCAACGCGGGATTGTACAAAATAGAGAAGACGTATTCGCAGCGACGGAGGGCGGGTAATCGTTGAGGATCGATGTTTTCGTCGTGTCGTCCGAGGCCGTTGTGAACGCCAAAGCAAATAGTGAAGGAGAGGAAAAAGGCGAAGAGCCATGCGAGGATCATAACGCGGTCATCCCAGGTGACATTTCGAACGATGAAGGCCCGCGAGACTATTCGTGCGGCGACAAAGACGGTAGCGAGGACAAGAGTGGCCGTCGTGACCGCAAAGACGGCCGGACCACGATCGGGAATGCCTCCATCGTCGGTAGAGGCCGAGTCGGACATGTCGAGGTAGGAGTTTGAAAAGACATGGACCCGTCACTCGTCAGATGGAGAGTGAGGTTTGTTGCTGTTGGTTGGCTTGACAAAGTTGGAGCCGTTGCTACCTGAAGGAGCGTGCCATGTCTTCCGGGAGTTTCGAATGTCGAATTGGGTTGTTGAACGGTTGCTCGACGTCGGAAGAAGCAATGCGAAGGGAAGATGAGAGGTCGAGTCTGGGTGGTTAGACTAAGTCTGTCTGGTCTCTCGTCAGATGGTGAATGGTTGTCGGCGTATTGCGGTGGCGTAGTCCTGTCTCTATACGAGAATTGTCTTGTCGATAAGATAGAGGGCGGGTATCCGTAAGAAAAATGGATGCAAGAAAGGGTGAGATTTTGCGAAGTTTGATGTGATGTGATGGGCAGGATCAGCAGAGCGAAAAAAGCAAAACCGAAGACAAGCAAAAGCCAAGCAAAAGCCAAAAGCCTCCCGACCCGTCAGTGTCAGATTTGGTTTGTCTTGCAAGAGCAAGATTCGATCCCAACCGTCAACCGTCCGGGTGGTTGTGGGAAACCTAAGGAACCTAGAAATGCGGCGCAAAAAACGGGGAGAGGTTTTTTCTTAGCGGATTTAGCGGCAGTTTTTCAGCCACCGACAGTGAGCCCAGCGCAGCCAGCAGCCAGTGCCCCTCCAGGGTTGGGGCGGGAGGCTAATTAAGAACGCCTAATCATCCACTAGTGATGTGGATACGATTTGTTACCTTTAAAACGGCATTCCTCGATGGTAATTTCAACGGTGAGAGGTGAAGCTGAGTTGAGGTAGAGCTTGTGTAGAGTTTAGACTATTTGTGACCTTGGCTGATGAGAGAGGCAATGGCACTTTTGCTCAGTTATCCCTTTGGGTGGTACTGCATGAGAACAAATGATGTGTAGTTTCCAGCTCATCGGTTGAGGGTCAGGTGACTCGAATTGAGTCAAGCAGGAATCCTGGGGTTGCAAACTAGCACTGGTACTGTACTGTAGCTAGCAATTGATCCATGGCCCTAAGCTGGACTAGGAATATGGCCAACAAGTCTGGGGCTGCTACGACAGACTCAGACTGACTGAGAAAACTCTTCAAGCAGACAAGGTACAAAACAGTACAGTAGGTAGATCTACAGAGCAGGGTCTTGCTGCTTCAAAGATACATCCATTGTCAACTCAACTCCTTGGCTGAGAATTGGGTTCTGTGGTCCAAAGAGGGGAATGATTAGCCAAGTCAATGGGTGCAATGTTAAAATGCCGCGCACTGAAATTGAGGGGAAGATGACACTGGCGCATGATGAATGGTTGATCGTCGACCTGGAGTACGTAGTAGCTTCTATCCTTTGATACACCATCGTCATCGTCATCATCATCTCCCTCCTCCAAGGACAATTGATCCTGTTCATCCCCTCAATTGGATGCCATGACATTCTTGTTTCTTCTTTACATCATGTCTTGATCTTCATTTCGGGCCTTTGATACCCTCAGGTTTAAACTGTTGGTTGTTCAAGGCTGTGTACTGTACAGTACTGTATGTATGTCCATTCTAGGTAGTTTAGACTGGACCATGCAATACCACGCAGTAGCGACTGACAACACCATCAATTCTCAGGAATCTCGGCGCCTATTTAATTTCCCCATGTTGACTGCCGCGGCTCCGCTGTCTCCCGATCTCTAATCACCCCATGCAAGTCGTACAACACAACACAGCACAGTCATCCCTCTGAAAAGCCTCCAACCCTTTCACGAGATGTTGTTTGATGATTGATGGCTGACAAGTCATCAGAACCAAGCCACTTGATTGATACACCAATCCCCCCCGCGCCGTCGTGCCGTCGCTCCTTGGTTAGGTACCTTAGTAGGTATTTTCCCCGCCTTCAAATCTCTCAATTTGTCCTCATTTGAACATCGTCAATGCTCAAAGAGTTGGATATCATACGTCATGTTTCTTGTCCTGACAGGGATCAATAAGCTTCCGCCAAGCTCCAAGTGTCCGTCAGCTCTTGACGAATGTCGCGTGTACTGTACTGTGGATTGGGAATTGATCAACTGCAAGTCAAGTTGACTTTGCTTTTTCTCGGTTGCGATACGGTTCGAGCAAATTTGCATCTATACTCCATACCTAGGTAGCTTTTCACCGCAAAAAGAAAAGACAGCGAATGATTTAGATCACTCAGCATCTGCAGCTAATATGCACGTCTGTCACGGGCCTAACCGATAATTCCCGTGTGGCACCGGCCTCGACTGGTCTTTTTCCATCCTCTCGTCTTTATTTTGCTCCGTTGCATGAGTTTTGGCCCTCACTTCGACAAGCGGTATGGCAAAGCTCTGTATAGCCACAATGGATCCTGTCTATATCTGAGAACGATGCATTAAAAACACATGGTGCCATGTCAGCAGTCAGAACGCAAATTTCAGCTGCCACGTCAAGTATAGGCAGTCCGTCTATATTATCAACTCCCCGACAATTGTCTCCATCTCTGCTGCAGTGGCCCGAGGCGCTTGTAACCGAGACAGATGCAGGGTCTTTCCACTAGCATTAAACTACTTTGCCGCGCGAAGGCCGACATAAGAAAGAGAAATAGAGAAAAAGAAAATACTCGCTTAGGATCAGATTCTGCAATCCGCCATGCTGCAGGAAAGTCTCATGCGGTGAGCTGCATTGGAGTTTCGTGCACCACAGCAAACTGACAATAACCGTAAAATAAAATCTGTACGGAGTACTAAACATGCATACCAAGTATCGTTCGTGATTCACCGCACTTTGAGGGCATGTTCTCAACAAAAAATAACGATGGAAAACAAATGTTGACACATTTGTCACACCGGTAGACAATATCTGTTCGGAGAGAATTGTGGCATTAAGCTTTCAATCTCGGCGATGAAGCCACCAAAATCAATCGGGTCCCGATCCCGTTGTCGGCGTGTGTTGCAGTTGAGCCTCCGGAACTTCGGACCTCCGACCTCCGGGATGTCCTTATCGCGATAACCATCACTAACGTCATCGCAATAGCATGGACTCACCCACGTCATTCCCACGACTATAGGCATTCCGCAAGCCTCTAGACTTTTGTCATCTAGCAATGACACTAGGTTGACTTTTCAGCCTGCTCACACTCGTTTCCCCTTTGATTGAGTCATGACTACTCCGGCACATATCTCCACCTCCGGCCCCGGCTCCGGCAGTGCCACGCCCGGTCCATCGTTCAACGTCCGTGATGAAGCGCCAGCCACTACCGAAGAGACTCCGTTGCTCGGCAGGTCCAGCTCCGGCTCATCCCTCCGGTCCATTACACAGAAAGATAGTAATTCGCGTCATGTTGAGGATGCTCAAACCGATGTCCACATCTCACTTGCCAGAGGAATCGCCATAGGCTTAAGCTTATGGCTTCTCATCTTTCTGACAGGTACAACGCCGTTCATCGCATGCTCCAACCAGTAGTGACGACTAAACTAACGTATCTCAGCATGTAATATGTCCGGCATGACCCTGATTCAAGGTGCAATCGCCGCTCAACTCGGCTCGCAAGATTCACCCGCCATGTGGTTCACCAGCGCCTACCTCATCCCGATGTCTTCTCTAGCACCTGTAGCAGGTCGTCTGGCCACTATCTTTCCCCCCAGAACACTCATTCTTCCCATTGCGGCTCTAATTGCAACTGGTAGCTTGGTCTGTGCTGTCTCAACTTCATATGGAGTGTTTGTTGCTGGGAGAGTCATCGCTGGCACCGTTGCTGCTGGTGTCTTGTCACTTGCTATAATTATAGCAATTGAGCTGGCTAGTGAGAAGTCAAGGGGCCTTGTTCTCGGTTTGATAAATGCGGGCTTCACTGCTGGTGTTTCTTTTGGAGCGATTGTGTTCGGAGGTTTAATGCCAGTCATTGGATGGGTAAGGAAACACCCGAAGGTTTCATGAAACGACGATGAATTCATTGACTGACTTGTCCTATAGCGGCCATTGTTCTGGGGCCAGATACCTTTCGCCTTTGCCACAGGTTTGGGAGTCTTCGTCAGCATACCTGCTGCGGCGGAACCACACGACACCAAGACTCCTCTCAAACAGAAGCTCGCGCGGATAGACTATTTAGGGGCTGGGCTTTTGGTAAGTGTTCTACACCATCGTTTATACAACACATTGTGGGTTACTAACTCCTACGGTAAGACTACATCGATCGTACTCTTCCTGTACGCAATTGCAGACGAGATTCAGCTCATACCTCTTTGTCTTGCACCCCCCATTCTCCTGCTCTTCCTTGCAGTGGAGGTCTATGTAGTCACAGACCCCATCATTCCTATCAAGGTTCTTTCCTCGCGAGGTATACTGTTTTCGTGCTTCGCTCAGCTGGGTCTCATGATCGCCCGCTGGAGTGTGCTCTTCTACGCACCCATCTTCATGCTGGCAGTCCGTGGCTCGTCTCCTGCGGCCGCGGGTTCGATCCTGATACCGACAAACATCGGGTTTGGTCTAGGCGGCATCCTCGTTGGGTGGCTCCATGTTCGCCGCAGCGGTGCATTTTGGTTACCGTCCATCTCCGCCTTGACCATCTTCACGATCAGCACGTATACACTCTCGCTCATCAGCACTACTAGTCTTCCCCTTGCTCTGTTTCTCGTCGTCGTGTTGATCAACGGCCTCGCGACTGGTGGGAGTGTAAACTACACCCTTGCACATATTTTGCATCTGAGCCATGATGATACTCGCTACATTGCTACCAGTCTGCTGGGCACGTTCCGCGGTTCCGGTTCGAGTTTTGGTACGGCGGTTGCCGGTGGGATATTCTATCGTTTGCTACGGGGAAGTCTACTAGCTGGGTTCCTTGAGCTCGACGGCGGTGAACGGTTGAGCCATGATCGGCAACAGTTGGTTTCCAGACTTGTCAATACTCCAGGGCTAGTGCACGGCGGTAATTTAAGTCGCGCCGAGCAAGAAGTAGCGATTGAAGGTTACGCTGGGGCTACCAGAAGCGTCTGGCAAGCCATGGCGGCGCTGGGTATCGTTGTTATTGTGTTTCAAGCTTTGACAGGAAAGAAAGCGCCGGCTGACAAGCGGGAGGCTGAGCAGGTCGACGAAGTAGCGGCGACGGCAGTTGTGACAGAAAACGAGGGCGTTGAGGAAGCGTGAAGGCCAAGGCGTTGAGTTATCAGTTTAGAGTTTGACGTTTGTGTTTCTAGCGGTTTAAGAATAATCTATTCTTGGTCTTAGGCCTTCCTTTGAACGCCATGACCACGGACATGACTCGGGCGTAGACAAGGTAATAGAATGGCGCAATTGCTTTGATTTGGCTTTCTTTGCGTTGCAGGTGTGGCTGATGATGATTCAAACATTGTTTGCTGCACAGCACTGGCCATACGATGAGAGAATCTATGTTTATCAAGAAACATGTCTCGAGTGTAGTAAAACAATTTGTGCCGGAGCTACGGCCAGCACGGGACGATCACCACCGTGCGCGGATTGTACCTACAGTACATGTAAGTTGACCGATGAAACATGGACACATGATGAATATCAGTATCGGCTTATGCTGAGGATAGCCTTGCATACATATGCTGATATATACCTTATGATAATCATAACTCAGGCACTGCACCGATTTATCTGTGTAAAATTGCATAGTATTTGCATAGATATCGTAAGGTACCTAGGCGAACCAATTGCAGAGCCTCGTTGAGCGATCAATTGGCCGATGTTACTGCATGCATCCCTGTCAAATCTCGCTTTCTTTTCTTTTTTCGGGCAAACGCCTATCTTGCAACGCGGCGGGCCGCCCAGCCCTTATGTGAGCCAATGCCTAAGCTTATATACCCTCACACATGCTGATATCCATATCTACACCTACCAAAGCTGCCAAATCAAGCGCACTACGTACATATCGTCTCAAGTCTTTGCCCCACATGCAAATCAATCCCAAATCCTGGTAATGCAACGCCGTTAGATAGATCTTGCCGGTCGACGCTAGTGAGCAAGCTTCTTTCACATTCGTCACCTTCAACCGCACTAAAGTACGTAACTCAACTAGGCTAGGGCAGGGCAGCGCGATCTATGTTGTATTGTCTGCTACCACTTGAGATGCTAGCACTACTACTGTACCATACTGCCTAACTTGGGCCATGATCTCCAAAGAGAAGCGCTCCAATCCCCAACCCTGAACATTTTGCTTAGAGTTTACCATCCATACCAAATCATTCATTATCTGCAACATTGACCGTTTGATTGAGGGATATACACCATGATTGTCCTATGCGACTCGACGAGATGGCATCATGTTCTGTTTCACTTTCTTTTTTTTGTTCGTATCCAGTTGTTTCGAACCTAATATACAATGGCTATGCTTTTCCCAGATGTTTCATCAAATGTTCGTTGTTGTTTTGGGGGATCCTGCCCTCGTAATACAATCCTCTGACTCAGCCGTGTGTATACGCCTGTAAATGCTGCAAGTTTCCGTTGCGCCCCAATCCCAAAAAGAAAAAAGTATGCATGGCTCCCAAGCCGTGCTGAGTTCAAAACATGGCCCCCTAAAATCCTCCCCATCAGGTCTAAGTGATGGGGGAAAAGAAGTGAAGAAAAAGAATTGAAGAAGAAGAAGAAGATAAAGGTGAAGAAGAAAGAAGAAAGTCTAAGTGATTGAGATAGCTTTCATGGTAGAGACAAAGCATATTCTCTATCGCTCAAACACGAAGTCAGGCATTCGAGCCAGAATTGCCAAGAAAGAAATCGATATCACCCGCATTGCCGTTTTGGGCACGGTTCTCGTTCTCGGCCAGTTGCTCTAGAAGAGCCAGGAATGGATCCTTTTCCTCCCCTTGGCCCGTTCCAGTGCTGCCGTTGTTGCTTCGAGCCCCAGGGCTTCCTGCTGCGGGTCTGGTTTGAGTGAGATGCATCTTGTTGTGACCATCGTCGGTTTGCCAAGCAGCGGGACTACCAAACGCATTTGTTGGCACTGTTCCAAACATTGCATCGTAACCCCCATTGGCTTCGTTGATCATGCCCGGGCCCGAGTTAGTTATACTCGATCCAGAGCCATAGCTGTATGGGGGGCTAAACGGTGAACCACCCATCGGGTGCATGTTGTGAGATGAAACGGCATGAGACGTAGGCGACATGGTGAATCCTGCTGCAGCGGCAGCGGCAACTGCGGCGTTGTTTGAGGATGCATCACTCATGTGCTCATGCATAGTGTATATATCGTGGTGCTCATGGTGACCCGGTAGTGATGTGGGCGTCGCGAGGAGACCAGGTGATGAATGAGGCATTCCTCCAGATGTGTAGGAAAACGATCGACGGGCGGTACCTGGCGTGGGGAGGCCCGTGGCAGATAGTGCAAGGCCTGAGATTACCTTCACATCAGGGCGTCTGCGGTTGATAGGTCCTGGTGGTGCTGTGTTCTTTCGTTTGAGGTTAGGGCGCTGGGGTCCATCGACACTTCGTACTGTTACCTCGGCAGCAGGCCCAACACCAATATCGATTCCAACGTCTGAGAGACGGAGATTGGCAGCGTCGAAGCTGAATGATGGGCCACCAGGCCCACCTATGTTTGAGTAACGATCAAAGAAGTCTTCGCTGTGGAACCCGGGTGTGTAGCGCATTGAGCTGCGCGTTAGCGCCTTCACCAATTCACTATGAGCATGGCTGATGTCCTGCAGAGTTTCGCGTTGATGCTGTACTGTGGCCCAGGCATATCGAAGCTCGTTAAGGAACTGCATCTCACTGGAGAGGAACTCTGCTGCGGAGCCGAAGACATTGACTTCGCCTTGACTTCCCTGCTGGCTGTAGTGGGCGCCATGAACGTGAACTGTGCCTGCTGTGCAAATACAGTATCCCACGAATGAAGGCCAGTCAACGATGCCAGACTGTTTTCCAAGTTGAACCAACTCTATAATTGCATTGGCATGAAGAAAACACATATTGGTGGCTTCAATCTGCCACGACTGGTGCTGTCCTGTTTCAGCCAGCTCTGCTAGGTCAATGGGCAGAAACGGCCTGTAGAGCAAGCAGTGAATGAGATGGTAGACGAGCTTGCTGAGCAGCAGAATGGTCGAGTCGGCTTGTCTGAACAGCGTGCCGAGGTTTGAGAATATGTCTTGGGTTCCAGAAGCCCAAACATCAAGATCTTGACGAATTTTAGATATGGTGGAAAGCGTGTGCCATGGGAAGTGGGAGTCCGCCTTGACACCACCTGCAGCCAAGTATCGATTCGTGTTTCCTAGGACTCGCGTGATATCAATGAGCATGCCCATGCTTCCTTGAGGCTTCTTCTCGCTGCCCTGAAAATACTGCAGATTCGATCCAGTTTGAAAGAACTCTCCTTCCACCGGGAGGGAGACCGAGTTAGGGGACCAGGATGGAAGGCGAAGCAGGATGGTGTTGTCGCTGATCAGGCTTGGTCGCTTGGAACCAGTCGCTTGGAATCGGTCAAGTAGGTAGCAAGTCCAAAACAGTCGACGTCTCATTTCTCGTTCGATTGGGGTCATGCGTGCTTGAGCATCGGTCTCCTTGTGTATTTCGAGTGCCATTGCCATGCCGATGGCAGTCGCTTAGAATGGTTAGCACGTATGTCATAGCACTAGACCCTGATATTGATGCTTACTCATGAGCATGTACGCCTTTTTGCCTTTGCCTGTTGCTGTGAAGGCACTGACCAACAACAAAAGTGCTTGTAAGCCATCTATCGACGGTTCGTCGGTATTAATCTCCCGTCTAGCCCGCGCTGCGAGGTCTTCACTAAGATTGGCAGCTGCTTGATATCCACTGGCGTCGGCAGTATGTCTAATAATGGTCAGTTGAGGGGTCCGTGCTATTGAGGGGAAACGCACCTCGCCGCCACTGCTGAAATAGCAAAAGACAAGAATCTCGGAAGTTGGTTTAGTTGATGTCTCTGTCGAACTGATGATTCATCGACGATGTAATACGGCTTGCCATGGAATCTTGCGAAATAAGTGTCGAGGAGACCCTCGGTCTGGGAGGGAGGGGGTGATGGATCCCTAATGAATTAGTTATGCGTTCAAAGGATAATACGAATGGGAAACAAACCGAGATACCGGAGAGAGCGAGTTCCTGTTAACAGGAGAGGTGCGCGGATCGATTGCGGCACGTTTCGCAACCGCTTTTCCAGTCTCGGTAGTTTGAGAACCAGATTCTGATGTTTCCGCGTCACCAACTCCTGGCAGGTTTGAGGTCGCAAGCGACACATCGTCCTCGCCCTTTTCTCTTAACTTTGCCTCAAGTCCATCTACTCTTTTCAGGAGGGCTTCCAAGACATCTGTCTTAGGCCCGCGCTTTTTAGGCACAGCATCTGCAACCGAATTAGCATACATTGATTGCTTTCTAACTTGGATGACCTTACCATAAATGCAGGGACATTGGAAAACCTGGCAGGCCTCGCAGGAAGGTCGAAGTCGATTGCACTTGATCTATTGCAATACCAGTTAGAGTAAGGACCATTGTAACTTGGTAGTGTGTCTTGCCTTGCGCTTCCGACACGACTTGCAGTTCATCGATTCTCGTGGTTCATTGCTCATGCGTCGAGTAGGAAGACGTTCGATCCCAACTTGAGGCCGGGAGATGGCCACAGTGTGGACTCCAGGTATATGAGGAACGTTCATTGCGTCGTACATAGAAGTGGTCATGTCTGGGCTGACGAAAAGGAGTGTGGTAGTTGGTGTGCGTTAGGCCTTTGGGCAACCTCGTTTTGTGTTAATGAAATTCGTTGTCGTAAATGAAAAGATTCGAACAAAGAGATAAAGATATGCTAAGATGATATGTGAAGCAAAACGTCGTCGGTCATTCCAAGCACCGTCAAGTACAAGCACTCTCCAGAGGGTGTGTATCAGCAGTGCTAGTTTGTTGATGTAGTTGGCAAGTTGTCAACTATATGTTGAGATGGTGTAAACAGAGCGGTAGTGTTCTACCAAAATGTCCAGTAGAATGAACGTAGATGAAGACGGAAATGGAAAGAGGAAATCGAGCCTTGAAGTAAGGTGAGGCGCTGTAGAACATGGGCGCCAGCACGGTAGTATATTGACTTTGAGACCCAGAATTGAACGACTGACCCGACCCGAACCCCAGTCGCCGGTCTCATTCTGGTTGTTGCCAATGTGGAGGTGGCTAGTGGCAGGACTGGGGTGTGGGCATGAATGATGAGATGGTGGTGTCGATGTTGGGATGGAACAAGGTGGGGAAACGGAGGTCGAGATTAGAATCCCTTTGTGGACGCCGTTCTTGAATGCTGGTTTTAGCCCGACAGGCATGGTTCCGTTCAACTGTAACCAGCACAACGTTCTTTAAGGAAGAACGCACATACATACCTCCATTATCGATGTCAGCCGTGCCAGTGCTGCGTGCCCGACGGAAAGCCGACGATGTAATATAGTCACCCCCAACCGGTACAGCAGGCTAAACCCCCAAAGAATGGTAACCTGCTGTAAAGTCCTCCCCCCCAAAGCACCAAACCGGGGAACTGCATGCCCTGAAGCCGTCCATTTCTGATACTCTCATAGATGTAGCATTAGCCCGAGGTATCTGTTGATCATGTCTGTTTTCTCCTGCGCCTATTGTTTGACGCTGAATAGGTCTGGGATACGCCGACCTGATCGAGCCATGGGCTGGAGCAATGACCGAGAGGCCCCGTACTCGGTCCCATTGCTAACGGCCTGTATCCGTAGTTGTCGCTCCTTTTTACAATATGTAAATGACCCTGGGTTGTGGGCTCCCTGTATGGGTACTGTACTGTATTAGACAGCTGCCACCAGGTTGACTGGGACCAGTAGAATACGTACCTGGCTATGTATTCGTCTGTGCAAGGGAGAAGATGGTGAGTTCCATGACCAGAAACTCGGGCCTCATTAGCGAAAGTAGCAGGGGTAAGGTTGACAGCGATTAGAAGCGATTCATCTTACGGTTTCTCGGAGCAGTAGTACAGTAGATGGCTTACCTGAATGTCAGATTCTGTAACAGCCAGAGCGGCAAAGTGCCGCTACCTACATCTGGGACTACGTCAAAATCGATGTGGTGGAGGGCATCTTCAGTACAGTTCTTGTTTTTGAGTTATGACGAACAGAGACACCGTATGCAAGGAAGGCATGGGTAATCAATGCTCTGTCGGTCGTGAACAGGATGGCTCGAACGACGAGACAAAGCTGAGGCTGAACAAGGCTCTCTTTTGGTCAAAAGGTTAAGATCAATGCCGGACCCAAGCCCACGGGTCCTCCGTTGAAGGCACGATGCATCGGTAGAGCAGGTACTAGGGGACCAAGCCCTTTGGGATAGAATACCTAGTTGAACCATGAAGGTAAGGCCAGACGTGAGAAAGCTTCGCTTCGGAGTTCCAGTATGAGCGGGGTCCCAGCGTGGATAATCCTGGATGTCAAGCGTCAAGGTGGAAAATGAATGGGCAAGTAGGAGCGATCTAAGCTTCCTGGTTCCTGCTTGTCATTTCGTGGCTTCTGTCCAAGCTTTGCTTCTATCTGCACAGCGTGGCTTCCAATGGCACATGGCTGGCTGCTGATCTAAGGAAAGAAGGGCCTGACAGCCGGTAGTCCGGCCAAGCCCAGCAGTCTATAGTGCCTTAAGTCAGTATAGTCTAGGTACTATGTAGTGGCGTAAGTGGAAGTGGGTGCCTGCTTGGGGGGGTTTCTGTTCCTGTTCCTGTTCCTGAGTTAGCAGACACCTCGCTTAAGCATAGCGGGAACCGCGTTGTTTGGGGCTTTAAATGGGGCGGCAGGGGCATCTCTAACAGCTAGGAAGGAACGGGGCCGAACGGACAACAAGCTGGAAAGATGCGATAGGTTGGGATGCGTTTGTGCCTTTTCGGTGAGCCTGAAACCTCTCAAGGCAGGATCTAAAGAGAATCTGTCGCAACCCAGACTTGATATCATACGTAGTCGTTCCAACATGTTGAGCCTCGTACCGCGTCACACAGCATTCATCGCATTGAGTCGGCAAGCTTGTACCTGCATACAGCGTTTCAAACATGCACGAGGTGTCAAAATCTCCGCCTAGCTGCGATAAAACAAAACAAACCAAAACAAAGAAAAGACAGACAGATATACTGTACTACACCATAGGGATCATGACTTATCCAGTACTGACTGTACCATGCGGCGTCTTTTCTCGCCTCCGCTTACATACAACAACAGACCGCCCATCGAGATCCTAGCTGCGTCTCATCCTGACTTTCGACATCTGACGCTCGGGTCTGTCAGTTGGATGCATCATCCTGGGATCCCTATCAATATCATGGTCTCCTAAGTTGCAGTGCGTTCGTTCCCGTACGGGCTACTACCTTAACGCTATCGATCCTGGCTTGGGTCACCCATCATTCTAAGCCCTTTCCGCCGACAGTCTGGGTTTTTTATCAAGTCCTTACTCAGATATGCAAATCTCAACTACAGTACGTATCCTGGGCTCTATCGATGGAGACCAGATCTTCGTTAGCCCCTGACCTTGGATTACCAATAACCCTCTCTTCCACCCCTTCCCTTGAGGCTGCTCTGCTCATCTGGCGGGTCTTCACTCACCACGGGAACTGCCTAGTGCACAGTACAGTATTTCCGGAATTACGGGTAGATGATCCAAGCTTCTATGGAAAATTCTGTTGAAAGACTAGCAGGTCAATCAATAAGAATTAGCATTACCTATTCCAAGCGCCACAGCTTATTTGAAGGCGTAGAAGCTGACCGTTGTAACGGCTGTATGTCAAAGTCGCCTCCTATGACATCCATCTGACTATCGCTTCAGGTTTCGGAGGACCCTTCAACGTTGTTAGCCTGGCATGGCTCTAGGCGTGACGTGATAGCTCCAGTATCGCTCCACTAGGGCCGACATGTCCGTCCGCAGGATGGTTCGCCGGAGCCGAGAGGGGCTGACGGCAGTTTGAACACAATTGAGCCTCTTCCAAAAATGATACATCGAATGGCACTCGACTTCTTCATACGCATCAGCGATTTTCTAGGACAGGATTTATATCATCTCACAATCTGCTTCTATTGGGGATATTCTACGATATTTGTGAGCTGGAGATAGCAAAGGCAAGATAACCTATCTGTACCTGAACTTGGAGAGCAATCGGACCTGCATATGGATGTGGGGATCTCCCGGCAACTCCTGCAGTGATCAAGCATCTGGCTTAAAACAGGACAGGCTGACGATGCTAAGCTTGGACTAATTAGGTCGTCCCATAACTTTACTATCTACAGTATCCATACCTAGGTATGCTGGTCCTTTTCAGGGACAAGTTGAAAGTCATCATGAGGCTAACACCATGGTTAGTATCGGCGCTTGGTGCGTGCTTTTTTACAGTCCTCAGTACCGGACTTATTCCCCTTATTCGGCCTCGACTCCGTTTCGACCCCCTGGAGTTTACCATGAATTTGCTAGGATCCTTGTCAACCCACGTTCAAGTGGCTTTAGCTGTTACACTAGCCCTCGCCTCGATGCCGGGCCCTGTCCCTCGTCTCGTCGAGGTATCCGTACAGCACATCTGATATTACGACGCTGTGCAAAACAATCTTCAGAATTAAGGCTGGCCAATGCATCACAGTGTCGCATCTTCAATGCCGAGGCGACGCTTTACGCATTAAAGATGGAAGAATAGGCTAAACCCAACAAGTTCCCGGCTTGCGAAGTACCCACGGACGGCTGTCAGTTTGACCAAAGACTAAGCTATCGCTTTCCAGAAGGTCTACCAATGCCGGTCTTCTTACCCTGGGCTTCTTCGACTCTCATAGGCGTGGTCCTCCACTTTACCCCAGGTGCCTGGTTTGTACACTGTGCATATTGTCAACCATTTTCACTCTGCGACTACTAGAACTGTCTGAATCCGCACTTGTACAGCCAGCAACTCACGCACTCAAAGAACAAGTCGAGTGATTCACCTAAACATGAAACCAGCCGCCTCTGGCTCATCGTCTGAGATATTAAGTCATGGCCTATCAGCTACACACGAATTGATGACTACGAGCTGACTATTCATCGTACGACACATTTCTTACTAGGCTATATCCAAGTCTTGATGTTGGATTGCTGGTCGACTCTTATCTGACTCGGCGAGTTAACTCTAATGGCGGTCTGGATATCCATCTAATGATGAAATTCTCTGTTCATGGAGTAACGCATCTTGAAGCACCAGATGCAAGATATGGAAGTGCACCACAAGCGCTGACCAGGTAGCCAAAAGCGCTTTCGTCACATCATACTCTACGTAATTTGTATCAACCATTTCTCGGCGCCAATACTCGTTCAATTCACATCTTTCTTCACATTTCGACTGCGATTCTATCGAACGCCTAGCTCTCCTAGTCAATATATCCCTGTGTGCCAAGACAAACAAGATGGGATGAAAATTTTGTGGCACATTATCCGTAGACTTAGGATAATCCACGATAACAACTGCCCGACGCTTCCAATTCATACTTGCTTTCCAGTCTGGCTGGAGAAACTAATCTCAGAGCTCAAGCTATGCTTAGCATCGGTTTGAGTGCGTCTTCCATATTCCCGTCGAGCTCATTACCACTTTCTCCAGCACCTCTTTTACTAGCTAACCTACATAGAAGTAGGTATCAACCCCAGGACATATACGGGTCATAAACACACTGAGTGGTCTCATTCTCCACCAGCTTGTGGAGGTTCTCCGGCTTACTTCAGACAAAATCCAGGTACCTAGACTACCGCTGTCAGGATCTCTCAGCACGGCAGTTAGAGTTGCAGTCGCTTGATTCTGGTGAGTGTTGGATTCTGGAGAAGACGTTAGGAACTGATCCAGAAGGCGATTCCACAACCTACCTACTTTCTCAAGCACTCTAGCTTTGCTGGACCAAAGAGAAGCATAAAAACTTTTCGCCATCGCTATCCGGCTGTATCTGACTGAATATGCGCTACTATGCAACTCGCCAGGATCAAGGCAGATCGATATTGGACCTCTCCGTAGCCTACAAGGCTATTAAGTGTATTTCTTGGCCATGACTATGTCCCTGATCTGGATACCCCATGTGGATGCGTACATATGTGGCTCATGACCAGTTCGACCCAAAGGACCAAGAGGAGCCGCTGGGAGATCAACAGTTGCGGTTGCATGCATCTCCCATGCTTCCGATGCTTCTTACAAAGGCGCTTACGCTTGTTTTCGTGCCGGAGTACGGTATGCACCACATCGCTAACATCACATCCCCACTCACCCCTTGAATCACTTAATTTGATCTCAATCTTGACGTATTGATCCGGGTACTGGTTTCCGCTGCTATACCTTTCTAGCAAAACGGACGGGTCTTTGGCCTTTGAACTCGCCGTGACATATTTCGATATTGGGCCTATTCTCAGGCGTATCGCCTACGAGCCTAGTTCCATAACGGAGTTGTTTGCTTTTACGAGCCCACATGTGTCCGGATTTCTTGCCGTGCTGCGTTAGCACGTTCCTTTGTTCGAAGAAAGCTGCAGAGTGGCTCACATTGAGAAAGCATGCCTTTGCCTACGATCACCAGTGGCAAACAAACCGGTACAGCACAGTGCTGGCGACGTGTGAGGTGTTACGACTTGACTGGCGCCCCTGTCGAGACATCTGCGAGGATCCTCTCGTAATCATCCGAGCTTGCTAAACCCGGGGGAGCATGGTGTTGTTTCGTTCATCCCATCTCTGAGCCCTCTGATCCCTTCGACATCCAACATACAAAGCTACGTAATACTATTGTACAGACACTCATACAAGGACATCCACTGAACTTTGCACATTGTTCTCCTACTTTATTATGGCCGAATCGTGCTCAAGCTCTTCCGTAGTTACCATAACAAACGTTAGATATTCTACTCAACAATACGCCATGAGCCTCCAGAATACGTGCAATTTGGTGTTCTCTTTACACTAAGAAGCAGCAAACCTCTCTCTCTACAATGCGTCATTTGAGAATTAGAAATCAGCTGATACCTGGGGGGGGAAAAAACCGAATTCTTGGCTTGGGTTTTGAGTTCTCCTCAATATCTATGGTTTGCAGGGTCTTTCGAAACGAGCAAAAGTAATTATCCCAACCCTGGCCACCAGGAAACGTCCTTTTATCTCTCTAACGTCAGACATCTTGTATGAGTCGCCTAGAGAGTCCAACCCTTTATCTCGTCATATTGTCTCATGTGGAAACGTTCAAACTCGGTTACCCTATCCCTAATACCACGATCGATATCCGAGTTTTATCGCCAAAAGTAAAAAGATGCTGCAGGTCTTAGACAATCTGGGGAGTCAGAGACAATACAGACAGTTAGTACATACAGTAATGCCGACACCGTTGCAAGCGGTCACAGTCATGGATCAGGGTGCAAGACACCCTGAACAAGCGCCCTGGTCCCTCGCACAGCGTCTAAGCCTATCTCACATGGGGTCTGGACAGTTCTTTGCAGAGGGGTGTGGACAAGGGTTCACGGGAATCTGGCGTAGCTGCAGCTTGGCCTTTTGCTGTGGTTTGACGGGCGACCTGACAATGGTTATGGCAAGTATGCAGTAGTTGGGCGAGCTTACATTGAACTCCAGTGAGGGAACCACCGTAACATTGGCTGTTCTCTGATGGGATCACCAGAAGTATAATGAAGATCACCAAGTGTCCTAAGAATAGATCATACGAATTACCAGATACCGACTTCGAGATGGAGTCACAGAAGAAAGAGAAAGAGTTTAGGTATTATCATCAATTCAAGCTTCGGTTCTAGTTGCCAGAAGCGTTCAAGTAATATTCAACTGACATATAGGGGACTTCCAACCCACTGGTTCTCGTATACACCCGTCATGATCATAACAATGTAAATCTTACAAGGGCTTGTCTATACTTAGATGCTTATAGCCCATAGTGGAATGGTGACCACAGATCTGGCAGGTCGTTGACGGAAGAAACCAACCTACAAGCTTCTGCCTGTGGAGGCCAACAGGCCTAGATTGGTGGTGACGAAGCGTCACGCCGTAACCGTTACAACAAGCCCACTCTGTATCGGCCCTGTGCCTGTTCACCAGGGTCTTCCGCGCACCAGATCGACATACATCTGGATGTCACTGTTGCCTTCGCTCAGAATAATCGCCTAAGCTGGTTGGACTTATTTCCCGTCTCCTGTCGCCAGGGCGCAGGCCGCGATAAGTTTGACATTGCCAAGGATTTCTGTGTTGGCAACTGCCACAAGGGCTTTTCAAAGCAGTCTCGATGATAGTCGGCGCTTGGCGCCAGGGACGTTTGCCGCGGGCTTGCCGGGAAATGTTCCCTGTTTCCCTACCCGGCTGATTCTGGCGGTTTCTTGGACATCGTTGTCCCCCTTAAACTGGGGGGCGTGCCGGGTATCTAGCCTGTTCTCGTAGATGCTCCTATCTTGGATGACATTAACGGCATATGGGCAAGACTTGAGTTTCCCACTCATCTCTGTTGTAGAGAAGGGGTCCAATGCCTTGACACTGGTCGTTGTAAATGGCTAGTCTGACTCAAGCGCCATATCGATGACTCCCACTTGCCAGTCTAACAAAGCTGTAAGGCACATTTTGCCCGACGAGTAGCCGTAGACTTTCAACCGTTGTGAAGGCGGCAACATCGTCCGCGCCATAAGCAGCAAACCCGTTCTTCTCGGCAACTAGGCCTGGATCAGAACTCCTCCTTCCAGCTCCATCAGCTAGATCAAGAAAGACCTTTTTCGTATTTGTCGTGCCCTTTGGCCCAACGCTTCCAAATGCTCGCAGCAACATGCCAACCAGATGGCTCTTCTCCGAACCGAGCGCTGACACAATGACGAAAGGCGCACTGTCGTCTCCCACCGATCGAGCACGCTGCAGACTCTCGAGACTGATAAAGGGTTCGATCGGAGGTGCGTTTCGAGCGAGTGTCGTTGGTGTGCGAAAGCCGACTGTATAGATCTTGGATACCTTTAGTGCTCTCATCGCGAAGAAAACGGGGGCTGCGTCATCCGAAGACGAAGCCATAACGACAGCCGAGCGACCGAAATACGCGGATGGAGCTAGATCACGGGTAAGTGTACTGAGGATCCCTTTCCATCCAGCATTGTCGAATACAAGAGAAGTGGTTAATCCAAGGCCAGACTGGCTGCTGAAATCGACCGAGTCGTTCTGTCGGTGGCGCGGACTTGATGGGATTGAACCTGGTGAAGATGATCTAGACGGCGTTCCAGACTGGACCACGATGGTATCTACAACTCCAGTTACACGAGCAGCTTCTGTCAAAATTGGGCCGTTGCCCCCGTTCAGACCAGCGAAAAAGGAGCTGGTCTTGGTTAAAGTTTGATGTGGTAAGCCTGGGTTAAGATAGGCACCTCCGAAGTGTTTCTGGTTGCACCACGCTTCTATACTTCTTGGGTTGTTTGGGTGCCGTTCGACGACCGCGAATTGGTGGGGGAGACCCAGTTCGTTGATGCACTTCTCGTAGAAAGGGGCTTGCGGCGTGGCGCTTCGGGAAGATGTACTGGTGATGCCATATATACGCTTTCTCGGGAGCTGTCCTAGAAGAGATAAAGCTGCGTTGATCTCAGCCGCGCTTAGCTGGCCAGGAGCAGCTATGAGAGGAAGAAGTGGATGAGTGATGGGCGTGAAGACGGGGTTGAGGGTTCTCGAGAATTGGCCAACCTCGCCCATATTTACGGCGGAGAAGGGTGGTGCGTTGGGGTGTTCGGCGCGCATTTTGGAGCGGAAATACTCAAGTTCGAAGTTTTCATTGTGTTCGTTGATGATAGCAATCATCTTGATAATATCGGCGTAGGGTAAAGACCTCTCAAACACTTCCTGGGCGTACGCCGATGGCCATCGAAATGATCCTGAAAAGTCGTGGAATGCCGACATAATGCGAGAGTTGCCTCGCTGCTCATAAAGCTTCTTTCGTATCTCTTCGGGGAGCCACAGTTCTACGTCAATGTATTCCACACCCCACTGAATAGCGCGGTAGAGGTACTCGTAGTACAATTCGGGTTTGTCCATGGGAAACCTTCCGTTCTCTTTGATACATCGGGTTGTGAAAATAATAGGGAGTTCGGTTCGCTGGCGAAGTAGCATAAGCTGTTCACCGACATAGCTTAGGCTGGGGATTTCCGAGTAACTTCCATCGCTGAGTGGTTCTCTCAGCAAGTCAACCCGGATCTCGACCGCGTCTGCGCCCACTGTCAAGATATCGATATTAGGCAGAGCAGCGCGGACGTCTGGGAATGTGGTGGAGATGAAATATGTTCTGTGCTTTGCCATGAGAGCTTCATGATAGTTGATTTGGCCAAGGGTAAAAGAGATGAACCTGGCTAGGTCGCGACGCAGATGGGGCGAATCGGTATAGAGGAATTCGTAGTCGCAATTGGTAGAGAGGTGGATGTCGGGGGGCATCCCTAGATTCACACAGTGAGTATTTATGGCAACGACGAGATCTTGATTTCTTGCAGCAATATCTCCTGTTGCCTCGCCTGCTGCGACTCCCACGACGAAACCAGAATCGTCAGCCGAGACCTTCTCGAACGCATTCCGTATCCGACATTGTGTTCCAAGAACCTCTGCAAAGACCGATACGATGTTTTCCTGTCCAGGTCCAAACACAATCACCACAATCCTGCTGTCTCCTCTTGCTGGTGTGCTTCCAAGGTTGCTGTCACTAATCATCGATGGGCTCGAGCTCGCTTCGTCGATTTGCATGGCGGTAGGATCGGTAGAGCCATTCAAGGCAATTGTGGGTGTTGGTGCGGGAAGCGATTCCGCTAACATGGATTGGACGGCGGCCATCTTGTGTGATTTTCTGTCGGTGCGACACCTGCTTCCACCTCTTAAGCTCTTTCCCTCTTGTCGCAGTTCAAGGCGGATGCGTTGAATCTATTCCCAGTGCTAATCACCAACTCAATTGCGCTACCATCTAGAGCGAGCGCCTTCGATGCGCTAGCGGAATTCGATCTCGGTCGTAATGACGGTATCGTCTCGCAGTATATACCAGCTGAGCTGGTCTTTTTCGTCGTCGTTCAGTAGTGTGAGGTGTATCCCGGCGCAAGTAGTTCCAGCCCGTCGTTGCCGCCAAAAAAAGATGTAAGAATCAATTGCAGGTACCGAAGCGAAATAGTTTCCAGATGTATTTCCAGATACAGAGAGTAAGAGCAGATGAGTCTTGAGACTAATGTTAGGACTGAAAGTATAACAGAAGATGAGATCCGTGGTCGTTGTTGTAGTCAGTGGCAATGAAGTATGGATTGCGCGCGTGTTGAATGCGGACCCTTGTGGGGATGACTCCAAAGTATGGGGTAAATCTGAAGACAGATAAAGAAAGAGGAAGTGAAAGAGAACAAGGTGAGGTCTTGGTTGGGGTTTGTTGGAGAGAGATAAAGTAGTACTGTACTTGCCTATTATAAAAAAGAATGCGACAAGTAGATGTAAGTAGACAAGTACTGTGCCTCGTCTACTAGGGCGCAGCTTTGCAGGAGGAAGGATTCGTAAGGAGAAAAAGACGAATGCAAAGCAAAACAGAGAAAGATCAGATCAGATCAGATCAGTCCAGTCCAGTCAGTCAAATGGTTTTAGGTTAAAAGTGCCAAACGATGAATATTTGACCGGATGGAATATTGTCTGAGCAGATTCAGATTAGGTGCGGCCGGAGCGAAACAAGGGACGAGATCCCTGACGATACTTGATGGGGCTGATGGAGCTGACGAACTGGGAAGGACTGGGATTCCAGGAGGATCAACGAGACTGGCTGCGACCGGGATGTGTATTGGAAGACGATCTTGTCGTTGGTGGAAGGGGTAGAACCAAGGCGGACGGCCCAAGTTGGAGAATAATTCCACCACCAAACGAGCGAGTCTAATAATCCTCTAGACTACCTGCCTAGGTAGTTAAATAGGTCTGCTGTACTGGACTGTACTATAATCTGGGGCATGTGAGCTACTAACATACTGAAGTGTGGTATCTTATCTAGATGTGCTATAATATGTTGATCAGATATATCACCATCGCAGTAATTGATAAACAAAAAGAGATTACACTCTAGAAACTTTTTATTGTGTTATAGCATTTTCTATAATATTGGCTGCAGCTAATGCCAGGATGATGGGCTATCTTTGGGCTACCAGATGTTTATCGTGGGGGTTGTTTGGGGTCAACGTCAACCTTTCAACGGTCAACGACGAGCCGGTAACATCGTTGTTTCGTCTGAGGTAACATACCTCAGTCTAGATTGCGGATCAACCTCTCTCTCTCTCATCTCAAGTTACCGTATCATTTCATGCTGTAACAGGTCGTCTTCCGTCATCATCCATCTTCTTCAGCCCCTAAGAAAGCGGCCGCTTCATGGCCCACGTATACATCCATACTACCATACCATGGATACCATCCAATACCTGCTAGTAGTAGTGTCCATAAAGACACTACTGTCGCGATTAGACCGCAGTGGGCGGATAATTTGGGGGTCAAAATCTCCATCAACGAACGATATCTCGTCTTTGCTTCCAGGTGGTGCTTTAACACGCAAAAATGTTCAACTGCACTGACAGTCGATATCCAAAGGCTGACTGGGCTGGTTGAATGGGGGTGGGGGAGAAAGATCCTCAAGGGTCGAAGCTCTGGACTTATTATTCTCCACGGCCTCTTATAGACGGAAATACCACAGTCTTGACAATCCACCAATCATATATTGGCATGACAGTCCCCGCAGCTTCTGTCCTGCATGCATGCTTTAACTTTCTTTGAATTCGGCTGGCGGTTGTTTCGAGTCCTAATTACTCCCCTGTTCTCTTCAGTGTTGTTATGTTTCAAGGCCAATGGATGCCCGAAGAAATTCCAGTATGATACATGCAGCTTACTCTGTGTAGTTGTTTGAATTCTGAAGAACAGCCTTGGTGGTTACAGTTGCAGTCGCATTCAAACTCAACCTTCAGGGCCCAATCTTTATCGTACATGAGCGAAATGCAGGGCGAGTTTTGCTTGTTAGCCTCGCGTGATATTGCCGTACCTGGTTGAGTGAGGTTCCAGTATCATGAGATCTCCATCACTTCTCTATCCGTAATGCGGAGGCATTTCTTGACAGCAAGCAGTCAATGGACGGACAAGATATCCCGTTGGTTCCGGCCATGGATGCTTACTTTGTTCTCGCTCTCCTCATGGTGGATAACCTTGTAGCCTCCATCTCAAATCGGTGGATGTCTTGCGAGGTCCCTTCAAAGTCCAACGGGAGATACCGACGATACAGAACGAACTCGCGGATACTACATCAAACGCTACTGCACTGATGTGTCGGTTTGTTCTGCCGCATGTATTTTTTCCAGAATTCAAATGTCGCTTGGCAACCTGCTCCAAGCGGAAAATCCCCAATGTGGCCAAAGTTCCGTCGTATTGGGACAACCATACGTTGTATCACCAAGCGACCAACCACTCAAGCAATTGCCGATTCTATCATCCGTGGTCAGCATCTTAATCACGTTGATGCCGTCATCTTTTCAATCATGAGCGAAATTTGACTTATGTACCCAATCTGTTTCTCTCCAGGTCGAGTACTGTACTGAATCTGGGGACAAACATTTATGTATCAAGTATCAACATCAACAGTACTAACATACGTATCGGAAGTCAAAGTATCCGGGGCATTTGTTACAGATAGATTACGTGACATGATTTTCCATGCTCCATCGTGTTTCGTCACTCGGCAAGCTTTGCCAACCCCATATCTTTACCTAAGTTGAAGCATGGGTTGTCGAATTGCCTGTCATCCAACTAACCAAATATTTAGTCCACGAATGAGCTATCGCCAGATTCCTACAAGTCTTGGCTCAGTGCCGCAAACCTCGGCGTCTGGTGGATGCGTCGCAAACTTTACATTTATTTGCTAATTAGCCTCTTATACGAGCTTCCTATCAATCCTTTTTCGACCAATGATTAACAGGACAGTGACAGATCACGTCTCAAGGCATGGCTTAGGTTGCTTGGCTTTTTCGCTATGTAACACGGTATTGGTCAGCGACAACAGTTTCGCCGAAGAAGCAAAGCAATTGACATTGTTTTTTCTGTGGTTATTCCACCGGTCGGACATCTTAAGTAATGTTCCATGTAGCTGTAGCAGGAAAATGACTCTAAAAGCGTGTTCTGACGACCCATGAAGACAATGAACGGCATCATGCCTCTTATCCTCATCACCGTGCGCCGCCTTGAGAGGCTCCAACTCGATCTGATAACAATCATTTTTTGGACCACAGACCGATCATATTTCCCTCAGGATCGATAACTCGGGCAAAGAAACCCATATCGCCCCCAATTTCCATCTTGGGACTTGACACGCCATCAGATCTTGTTTGCAATTCTTTGGGCATTTCTTCTTATCGTGGGACAAGAAGGGACACACTTACATGGCAGTCTTACCACCAATCGCATTGGCCTTATCCAGAGTCTCTTGGCAGTCCATGACGCAAAGGGTTGGGAGAAGGGGCATGGCACCTGGCCGGGCAGGATCATGGTTGATGACATGATATGCTTCATCGTGTTCGAGAAAGGCCCCGTGCAGAGTTTTGCCTTTATTAAAAAAGTGCATGCTCTTGACGCAGTTTCCTACAGGCTTTTGGGGTTCCGAGTTGAATTGCCATTCAAAAAGCTCAGTGTAGAAGTTCTTTGCCCGAGATACATTGTGAACTGGGATTTCGAGCCAGCATATCTGGCCGAGAGCTTCCTTAGAAAATGTCAACTGAAGCATGCATACAGAGACCAAAGGTTCGGAAGTACCTGGACGAGTTCTTCGCACATTGCGTAGGTAGGTAGGTTGGTCTTGAGTGGATAAAGGGTTCTTGTTGCTCTCTCTGTCTACTGAGAGTTTCTCCTCTCCAGTCTCACAGCTGCCAACCTGTTCCATTTATACTTGATGCTGTCCGTGACCGACATATCGAACGCTCTCTTCTCTTTGTCTCCTGTGCCATTTCGTTGAACGATATTTCGTCAGAGGCTGTTGTTGCCTGGACATGGCTTGCAAAGGAACCAATAACGATGCTCAAGATAAGTCAAGGGCACATGACCTCGCGCTCAGCTCGTGCCAGGAAGCCACGATGCAACGCGCCAAGTCAATTAACGTAGACGCGGGGTCGCTCTTCAGCCTGTGATCAAGATCCAAGCTACCTCATTCTAATACGGCTCGATTGACTTCTCTACCTACGTCTTGATTCGCTGGTGCTAGGGTGTCAAATAGATTGCGTATCAACAGAGCTTCATCTTATCACGTTTCATTTATGTCTGTAACCACCCATAACAGCGGAGATTCGTTCAGGCCGTTGTCATTGCTAAACTAAAATCACAAGCATTGAACCATTAAACCTTTCATCAATACCAAAAAACGATAGGTAAGAACGGTTAAGAGAAAGGAAATTTGCTAGTTTCTGAACAAACTACTAACTCAGCCAGCTTGTATCAATGCGAGAGAAGAAGTTGTATACACAGCTTTTCATATGGCTGTCTACAGGGTAAACCGAGCTGTATCACAAGTGTATTCAGTGGAGGCCCTGAGCTCCCTCGTCTCGCCCCTGCATGAGGTGCCCTGAGCTTGGAGCTTGGAGTTCACTAGGAAGATTCCGCCCACTGAACCGAACTGTCTGACGCCACTAACAACCAATCAAACGCGTCAGCATAACCCCGTCCATCAGCAGCTTGGCGCGTCATACCTCCATCCATAGGTATGGAACCCTTCCCTAACTATCACCAGGTTGCCGTTGCTGGGTCGCCCGTCTCATCTTTTGACTGTCGCAAACTCTCCACCCTGGATCGCATCGTTTTTCCTTACGAAAAACATCAACTTCATCATACATCCAACAATTTATCGAACTTCCCATCAAACTCCGTACCCGAATCATTCCACTTACTCACACACCTAACCCAATTCACTTCAACTGAGTCGCAATGTCCGACGTTACAGAACAGACTGCGCCTGTTGTGGATGAGGCGACCAAGGCGCCCGAGCAGCCTGATGCCACCTCCAATGATTCCGTCGTAGCTCCCGCTGACGAAGTTGCGAATGTCACGGAGCAAGTAGAGTCTGCTACTATCACACCTGCTGTCGGCACTCCCAACGTTGACACGCCCAACACTGATTTCCTCATTGCGAACGATCAAGACCCCAACAGCAAGAAGGTCACCCTTGCCGATCTGTCTGCAAAGGGCGCTGCCTTGTACGCCCACAAGAACTACGAAGAGGCCGCTGAAGTCTTCTCCAGAGCCAGCATCCTTCAAGCTGAGCTCAATGGGGAAACATCTCCCGACAATGCCGAAATCCTTTTCCACTATGGCCGCAGCTTGTTCAAGGTTGGCCAGAGCAAGAGCGATGTTTTAGGAGGCACTGCCGCTCCTGAGAAGAAGAAGAAGACCACCGAGACCAAGGCCAAGAAGCCTGCGCAAACACAGGCCGAGAAGGTGACTCAAGAGGGTGTTGGCATTGTCGCCGAGCAAAAGGAAGGAGAGAAGAAGTCGGAAGACGTCAAGGGAGATAAGAAACCTCTGTTCCAGTTCACCGGCGACGAGAATTTCGACGAATCAGATGATGAAGAGGTATGAATTGATGATCAAACGTTGATCTCTACCGGGTATGCTGACTATTCCTATAGAACGCTGAAGACGAAGAGGAGGAGGAGGAGGAGGAAGACGACGACTTGGCTACCGCTTTCGAAATTCTTGATCTTGCCCGAGTGTGTTACATGAAGCGACTGGAAACTCTCGAAAAGGAGGAGCAGGAGGAGAGTGGAAAGGGCAAGGAAGCTGCAGAGGGCGACTCTCCTACTCTCCGACATGTGAAGGAGCGCCTTGCTGACACCCACGACGCTCTCTCCGAGATCTCTCTGGAGAATGAACGGTATGAGAAAACCCGATTTGGAAATTCTCCCACTCCTGATTCTAACATGGTATTAGTTACCCCAATGCCATCGAAGATGGCCGAACATCACTCAAGTACAAGCTCGAGCTTTACCCTGAAGAGTCTGAGATTATTGCCGAGGCTCACTACAAGCTATCCCTAGCTCTGGAATTCGCCTCTGTCACCACAGCTGATGACGATGGCGCGAACGCCAAGCGAGAGGAGATGGACCAAAGTCTGCGCGACGAAGCTGTCAAGGAGATGGAACTGGCCATCAAGAGTTTCAAGCTGAAGCTACAGAACAAGGAGGTGGAGCTAGCTACTATGGCATCTCCCGAGGACAACGAGTTGGCACGAAAGTCTATCCAGGAGATGAAGGAAGTCATTAGCGACATAGAGCAACGCGTGAGTACAACTTAACCATCCACCAAGAGTTTATCTGCTAACCAGAGTAGCTTGTCGATCTGCGTAACGATCCTATTGATGCCAAGGATATTCTGGGCGGCGACGCACCCATTGGCGGTATTCTTGGTGCTGCCATCGGCGAATCCGCTGCCGAGACCAAGGCTAGGGTTGAGGAGGCCACCAAGACCGCCACAGATCTCAGCAATCTGGTCCGCAAGAAGGGCAAAGACGAGACCACCACAGAAGCTGCCCCCGCACCTGTGCCAGAAGCTGATGCTAACGGCAAGCGAAAGGCCGAGGAACCGGCTGAAGACGCCGAGGCGAAGAAGGCCAAGGTGGAAGCCTAGACGCAGTCGCGAACTGTACTACCAAGGTGTCTATCACAGAACAAAAAGAAAATCATAATTGGAGTTTGGGTCAACGTCCCTATCGGCGGATGAAGGACTGGAAGAATATGCATGTACGATTAATCAAGAGGGCTGCACTGGGATAATGGTATTTACGAAAGACAGGCATTCGCAAGGTGAGCAGAGTGGGATACTCTTCGGGCCACCTGGCCAGTAGTTTTGTTTACATATAAAAAAGAAGAAGCAAGAATGCTTGACTTTAGTTACGATGTCGTAACGAACAACCTATGATGGTGTCTGCACTGAGTGCCAACAGGTCCGACGTCAAGAAGTTTCCCACGAAAGGGCACAAAGCAAAATAATACACAACGTTGTTCATGATAAAAAGGTTGCATGCACGTGTGATTTGGTCTTGTGTAAATATATAGGAGGGTTGTCAGGGGAAGCTCAGCACTGATGATTAGACAGCTACGTGATATCATCACTTGGTTTGAAGAGTATTGAAGCCCCGAAACTTGTCTCGATTATCACCAAGGAAAATAGTTAAGATATATTGACATGCGTCAAATATGAAAGTGCGTTTCTATTATGAATCGCTCGCAAACCATGCAAACACCCCTTGGTTACTTTTGACACCCTATCCCTTACCCAAACAGAAAAAAGGAACAACTCCTCTCTCTTATAGCTTGTAGTTTCCACTTGAAACAACCTTGGCGTTCTTTGCCTTCTTGCCATCCACGTCGGTAATTTCTCCCTTGCGGTTGATAACCTTGACACCGCCCTTCTTGAGGTCGGCGACAGCATCGCGCTGCATCTTGGCACGCTTGCTGACAACCTTGTCGCCATCGACACCACCAGCCTTGCGCACACGCTCCTTCTCGCGACGGCGGCGGCGGGCCTTGTCTTCTCGTGACATCTCCTGGCGTGCGACAGGCAGACCTGCCTTGGTAACAACTTCGCCGTTGGCGGCATTGTCTGTGGAGCCAGCCTTGTATACTTCCTGGGGAGCCATGCGGCTGCTCTCGCCGGTAACGCCCTGTGCGGTTGTGGGTTGGGCGTCCTCCATAGCGATGGTGGCAACGTCGGCAACGACCGAAAGTGAGGGAGCTGCGGGCTTGGGCTTGTAGTGCCATGAGCTGAGCGCGTCAAGACGGGCGCAGACATCCTTCCACATTGCCTCGACCTCCTTCTCCTCCTTCTGTAGCTTCTCGTCAGACTGGCTGACGTAGCTATCTGGGTTGTTGTTCTTGACATGCTCCTCTTCATAAATCTCGGCCAGACCCTTGGTAGCCTTGCTATCATCAAGCTCGATAAGACCACGGCGTGTGCCTGAAGCCGCGCCCTCTGTATCGGGACGGCGCTTGATAACCTCGTCAAACTCCTGCGCTAGGATGCGGCGCTTGATGAGGTCCTCGATGCTCTCACTGACCTCAGGGGTGATGACGGGTACAGGCTTGCCGACGTGCTCAAAGTCAAGGTCCTCTTCGAGCAGCGAGTTCATAGGACGATCAACGGCAGCGGCTTCACCAGAGAGTGCCCACTCCCGCTTGGCGACAGAGGCAGCCTCAAGCTTGCGAATCTCCTCTGCAAGCTTGGCCTGTCTCCTCTCATGAGCTGACTTTCGTGACTTGGGATCTCCAGCAGAGGCATCAGAGAGTGCATCGTCAGAGTCCTCTTCTTCCGAATCGTCGTCAAAGAGATCCCTTCGGACATCGGCCATAGCTCTCTCAACATCGGCATCGTCAGGCTTCTCAGCCTGGAACTTGACCGATTTTCTAGGCTTGCCGCCCTTAAACTTCTTGGCTGGTGGTGCAAAGAAATCCTTGTAGTAGACCTCATTGGCATTGAGATCATTTTCCTCGTCGTCCACATCGTCCATGTCCATACCCTCGTCGTCGCTTGCACCCTCTGGCGCATAGAGATCCATATCACCAAACGTGGGCCCACCCTCGTCATCGCTATCTTCGTCATCCTCAGCGGGTTTGGCCTTTTTAGACTTTGAGCCAGCCTTGGAGGGGGGGGCCAAAGGATCGGCGTCCCAGTTGATTTCCTCGTCGTCGCTTGCTTGGTCCGTGTATGGATCTCCCTTTGCATCCTGCTCCTCGAAGTATTGTGATTGTCGGTTGAAGTCGTCTAGGGAGAAGAAACCATCGTTGAGACCATCAGGATCCTCCTCATACTCTTCCACAGGTCCATCTTCTTGATCCTCCTCCTCATCGTCCTCTTGGTAGTCATCCCTTCCTTCCTCGAACGCCTCTTCCTCATCATCTTCCCAATCGTTTTCTTGTCCGTCCTCGAGTACTTCGTCTCCTGATATTTGTTCTTCGTCCTCTTCCCCAGACAAATCTTGGTCGCTCTCGTCCTCGTCCTCGTCATCGTCATCGGAGCCCACCTCAAAACCGTCCTCTCCAAACTCAAGTGTCTTGGAGTCTGGTGCGTCGGCGCCATTGACGGCAACCTCTTTGCGCTCCTCCAGATCAGCAAGGGCCTCCTCAGAGTACTTCAGGACACCACCAATGATCCTCTTGGCCTGTTGCCAAACCTGTCCCGTTTCGAATCCATCGATGTAAACCTTGCGCATCTTGAGAACATCTTCGCTTGAAGCAGCGCCTCTCTTGCGCTTGCGATTCTCCTTTAACCTTTCCTGCTGCTCATCGCCGACTTGGGAAGCAAAGCCTTCGAGGGTGTGCTTGACGAGGTTGAGGGAATCGGTCGGGATAGAAGCAGTTGGCTGGAGGAAGTTATGTCGCTTGCCATCGGCGAGGGTTTCGAGAAGGGCCAAAACATGGCTGTTTGTGAGAGAATCGTGAGCAGCCATTGCGGGCGGCGCGGCAGTCAAGGTATGCGAGGTGGAAGTAAGCGATGGCGACGTCTGAGCGGCCATGCTCTAGTATAAATGGGTTCAGCAGAGCTGACTTGCACTTCTTTAATGTTTGAGCAGTCTAGGTAAGAAAAGCGCCGTCGTGCGATTATTTTGTGATGACTTCGGTTGAGTCGAAGCTGAGGACGGGACAAGATAATTGATAGCAGGAAAAAATTTGGGAGAGTTGAGCAGGCCCCGCGACGAATAAAGATCGAGGGCTATGATTGGCCAATCTTTCTGCGCCAAGATTACTGATAAGAGATAAGAAATGAACCCTTTACGCTAGTCTTAGACTTAGACTTCAACCTGGATAAAGACAATGAATAGGTAATCTAGATACCTAAGTTGACTTCGATAATGTAGGTTCATAGATTAATACACCGTCCAATTGGAATGAATCAAGGACTGGAAGTAGTTGTTTCTGGTACTGATATCTATACCATGTGCTCAAGTTGTAGTATACTACCATGTATGAATAGGTACTACCTACCTATCTATGAACAGGCGTCGAGGTAGTCAAACTTCCATTTCTGCATTCACTTCTTAGCCCAAGCTACACATTCTATGGCTGGCAACCTCATACAGTTATTTGTCTGCGGCTTACAGGCACTGTAGGGAGTCGAGTTCTCGGCTGCGAGAGCCCAGAACTGACAGACCCATCTTCGGATTGCGACTATTGATTTGTAGCAGCACGTTATGCCATTTTCAGTGCAGAAATACATTAATAGCTACCAGCTCGAGATATTTCAATTTCCCACTACGCTAGGCATGCGAAAGTATCAGCAAATTATTATTCTATATCAAACTATCCCCTGCTAGACCCATCAGCTGAAGGCTTTAGACGCAAAGGAATAATGCGCCAGAAGAGACCCATATGCTGCTTTACTTAGGGAGATGGCCTGGGTGCTAGGATTAAAAAAGGACTTGATGCCCCCATAGCGACAATGAAGGAACTTAACCTTTTGTGAATATATGCCAATATGATATCCTCGAAATTATTTGCCGTTGTGGTGACGGCGTCAACCTGGTGGGTTGTGGATGCTGGGAAGTGCAAGCCGCATCCCAACCCTACGTCGTTCTTAACATTGACATCAGGGGACTTACCTGCCACTTCGTACCCAGTCAGCTACTTCACATCTTCCGGAGACGATGCTCATGTCTTCTCCTCAACTGATCCTTTAAGCTCTAGTCGGCTTACCGAGACTGGGTCTTCTGGTATCAGTGAATCTTCAGCAATGCCTTCGTATCAGATACCGACCTCCAGTCCAACTGCTTCAGACTCTACAACCGCGAGCGTCTCAACAGCTTCTTCCGATAATGTTATTATCGAGGCGCCAACCTTCTCAAGTAGTTTCACTACTGTTGTCTCAGTTGATGTCACAACACTTGGTGATTCAAGCACAACAACTGACACTATCACCACCTCCATTAACGAGTTATCTTCAACTGAGGTCTCGTCTTCAACTAAGGTCTCGTCTTCGACTGGGGTCTCATCTTTAACTAGTATCTCATCTTCGACTGAGGTCTCTACATCGACTGATGTCTCTACATCGACTGAGGTCTCTTCAACTGATGTCTCTACTTCCACTGATGCAGCTATATCAACCCATAGCACTACGTCTTTCGAAACCACGATATCTAGTGATCTTGCCACATCTGCCGAGCAGACTACAACAACCGATACAGCCATTCCAACCCAACCAACTTCCGCAGAAGCTTCTGATATTACCGAAACAACTGTGACAACGTTTATCACAGCCTTGACAGACGTAACTACGACGGCGTCTACAACAGTGTTTACATCTGAAACCACGACCACAACAGAAAACCTCTGGACTTCCACAACTGCAGCATCGTGCCCTGTCTATTCATCCTCTCTCAATGACCCAAGTTTCGAAGGGGATAATACTGGCCCTGATAGATGGGACTACATGGGGCAATTTGCTGGTGTGGCTGTACCTTTTCAAAAGGAGAACAGCATGTCTGAGAAAGTACCACGAGCTTACAGTGGAAATCAGTTTGCGTAAGTAAACCACATGAACGCCGACCCCAGACCTATTTCTTAACTGACGCCTCGCCAGACTCCTCAGTGCGGGACTAGGATCTAAACTTGGAAGTGATATGTGGAGGCCCATGTCTCTTGATCCTACCAAGAAGTACCGAGTGTGGTTCACATTTGCGGCAGTCTCTGATCCCGATGAAGATTGGTACTTTAACTTCATAATCGCCACACGAATGTACGGTCACGCCTCAAGAGAAACCATAAACGTCCCCAAGGGCTCTCCGTTCGTGTACAGACAACAGAGCACGATAATTCAAGGTGCACAAGGCGACAACTTGTATGCTTTTATGAGAGTCAATGCCGGTTCCAATCCCCGCCTGGTTGCTGTTGATGACATCTATGTCGCCGAGTATGCACCATCGTGTTCTGTACCAACAGCGAAATCCGATTTATGTGGCATCCAGTCATCCTCCATCAGCACCCAAGCATATCGAACGGTATTTCTGAACCAAGGAAATGTCGAAGTATGTACCCAGCTGTGCATAGTGGATAAGAGCTGTATGGCATTCGCCTGGCGGGTTGAACAATTGTCTAAAACCTGTTATCTTTACAAAGCTCCAATGGAGTCATTGGGAACTAAGCTAAGTGAAAGAGGAGCAATCTTCTACGACCGGTCTTGTGGGCAATGTACCGGACTGGACTGCTACCCATCTTGATACTGCGAAACTTACAGACTGGTCACATATAGACCAAGAGGTGGCGAAGTTAAGTAAAACAGAACCAAATATCAAAGCAATTATCTCAGTCGAGCAGGTCCCAAGTCCGTCAGTTGTAATTACACTCCGTCCGCAGGGTGTTAGAAGAACTGACCGCCAAAAGCATAAGAGACGAAATAATTAGGTCACCATATCTCATCTTAGGTTAGCATTTAGTCTACTTTATTTCTGTAGCCTAAGTTTTAGAGGACATTTCTTCTGTTACTCACCTAGTCCGTACAGATCCCGTTACAGTGCCCCCTGATATTGGATCTTGACCTTGTAAGTATCTGGTGGCAGCGGTATCACGTTGATAGTCCAGCCCCAGTTAGATGAAGCCATATGTGTCTCAAAAGTATTATTTTGGCGGCTACCTAGGGCCAAGAATCATCGGGACGCAGGAAACTGAAATCATAAATTTGCATTATCGTGTCAAAGCAAAGACCAGCCTGACTAGCCCATAATACCCCCTACCAGTCATGTACATCGTCACCATAAGAGTCGTTCCATCCACATTTACCATGACTCCAGTGCCGACCAGACTCTCAACCTTACCAACCGAGATCCTAATCCCAAGAGCCTCATGATACACCGGGGCATAGCCATATTCGGCAGTAGTCCAAACAAAGTAAAGCAGCATGACCAACCCGGCGGAAAAAATATTGATAAACAGGATACGAGAAACGAAACGCCCAATAAAGCAATAATGACGCGTGCCTTCATCACCAGGAAAAAAGCAGGTTGAAATGCGATCCCCGGAAACGCCTCATGTCGCGGATCTTAGCCGCTCTCACCGACCAGAAGCCTACCCGGGCCTCACGCTTTCATACTCGTAAGTGACGTGTTAAAAGGAAATAACTTAATGCGAGAAACCATAAACAGAGAAGTGAAGCTATAGTTGTTTGTTGGGTGCCTCTATCGTCTCGATTCGTTGTCATCGAGTGCTTGAGTTCAGGGCAGTGTTGAATGTTGAGAAAGTGCACAGAAAGCAGTGTTGAGTGAAGATGAAGATAGTAAGCTTCAACGAGAGGGAACGCTTGAGCCAGCCAGGTAGGTGTCAGAAGAATTGTCCTCCAACGCTTAGGGTACAGAAATAAAGTAGCCTAAACCCCAGCCTAAGCTGGCAGGCATAAGGTTACTAAAACATTTCGTCTCTTATGCTCTCGGCGGCCAATTCTTGTGACATCCTGCCCGACGCCAGCCATTTCGCGCTTCATATCTCCATACGGCCTGCAACATCTTCGCTCATGAATCTATCAGGACTCCTGTCAATGTCCATGTCGTCGATATCATCTTCGAACTCGTCATCTGAGTAGGCGACAAGATCTCCGTTTTCTCCACGGTTCCAGAAGAGGCCATCGTCGAGCTCCTCATCATCTTCGAATGGGACCAACTGCGCATTTTGGTCACCAAGCCAGTAGTTGGCGCGTTTTTGTGCACCAGCTGACTCAAGCTGTTGGTTGCTGTGGTTCCTTGCAAGATTTGTGGGCCGGAGAGTTGGGCTGTGAGATGAAATGACTGGCACAACGCGAACATAGAGATAGGCGACTCGCTTCAGTGTACGGTTGAAGAAAAAGTAATGCGATGCCCAGATTGCACTCTCATCTTCCTCAAAAGGGTCGCTGTCAGGGTGATAACTGAAGATAGTACACTCATTCAGGTGCATCTCCTTGTCGATCAACGACCAGCACTGGGGGCCCCAGATTGAAGTTGTCTCGCTACCTAATGATGACCCTAAGGATTTAGGCTCGAAATTCGGCCTCACGTTCTGTAGAATGGAATCGAGGTTGATCATGACGCGACGCAGGTTTCGCTCACGTTTGAAATCGTTGGGTCGGAGTACGTGGGAAAAGTCGTAGTGCGGGTGACTTGCGTTTAACGTCGCAATGAGGTATGCAAACGTCTTGCGACTTGAGAGTTCGGACAGCGGGCCAAAAGCGCTCGAGTGCGAGAACATTTGCATGCTTGGTGATGTGGCCAGCATGTGAGCGCGTTCAGGTGGTGAGAGGCTAGCGCCTAGTTTTAGGAGAGCTTCATGTTGGGAGTTGAGGTCGTTATCGATGTTTTTATAAAGTTTCTTGTCGGAACCTGATGCTTTCGTCGTGTAGAGATCGCAACCACCTGTCACATTGCAGTCGGGGGTATTGAAGTTGAGCGTGCTCGTCACCGCCTCGAAGTCTTGTACTGGTAGATACTGTAATACGCAGGTTAGTATATGAAGGAAGCATACAGGTGGGTGTTAGAAGAATTGTCCTCTAAGGCTTAGGATATAGAAATAAAGTAGCCTAAATGCTAGCCTAAGCTGGCATAAGATAGCTAAATTATTTTGTCTCTTATGCCCTCGATGGCCGATTCTTCTGACACCCTGACGGCATACAAGTATGGCGGGCTCGGAAGTTGCTTACCTTCATCTTGAAGGCTTAAAAAGGAACAGACCTCTGAGTTCGCGATACAAGGCTGTGGTGTTGATGCGCTGAGACGCAAATGCGTGATGCGACTGACTGACTGACTGACTGATTGAGCGAGTCGTCGAGGGAACAGATTGCGTCAGCGTGGAGTCTTGGTGGGCCGTGGTCGAAAGGTGACAGTTGTCGCGACACGGAGAGTAAGGCGACAGACGGGCAGCGGTCCGGATGATGATATACGGTATTGAAGTTGGTCGCGACAGCCGAAAAGATAATAATACCAGGAAGCTGATGATTGAGGGAAAGGGGGGATTGGATGAAGGTGGGCGATTGGGTTTGGACGGAAGGAAGTCGGTGATTGATGATCGCCGGAGCCTGGTGCCGTTCCGGAGGGGCGCGATCAGTAAGTTAAAATGCTTCAGTAATGGTGGTATTGGTTGATAGGTACGATGCAGACGTCGGCAAGACCCTGTGAGTTCCGGGAGGCCGAAGACAAAAAGAGATTGGATAGTGATGACGAAAGATAGAGGGCAAGGTATTGTAGATACGCAGGGACCGATCAAGATTGGGCGGGAGATAGCCGGGTGTACCTGGTCAGTTGGTTTAAGTAGGTAGGTATTGATGATAGGGGGAAGTTAACGGTTGTTGAGATAAGCAAGTGATCAGACAGTGGAGGTGATGATTTCACTTGGATAAGCCAGAAACAGAACCAAAGCCAAGGAAATAGAATAGTAATAAAAAGGAAAAAGGATGACTGATAAGCTGAAGGGGGGCCAGATCGAATGAATTGATTGAGTGATGAATGGATGGAATTGATCGGCTTCGGGATGGAGGGGATGGAGAGGATGGCTGATGGTCAGCGGATAAGCTGCGACTTTCCATACATAGCTATGTCTTGGGCTTGCGTGGCATTGCGCTGTTCTGTGTCGCTGCTTGTCCAACAGAACAAACGCTTTAACGTGGGAACCCACCGAAACCTGATGTGATTAATGCTGCGGTAGGCCACGAGATCCTGCACTGCAAGCTCATGATGCGAGTTGAGCTGAGCTGAGCTTAACCCGGTCTCGGCCAATGTTGGGAACTTGGGAATTCCGGGGGGATTGAATCAATGGATCCAGATCGCGCCAGTTGCGTTTTGGTTTCGGTACTTTCAGGGTCAGGGTCAAGGTCAAGTCGGGCTAGACCAAACCAAGCCGAGCCAAGGGCCCCTCCCAGGCTGTCATGGATGCTCATGCTTCGTCTTTTGGCTCTCATGAGACAAACTCGATCGTCCCTAATTGTTAGACAGTTTACTTGATGCCAACTTACAATCCAATCGATTTGCCCATGCTCTCCAAAGCAATCTCGTACTGTAGTTCTGACGAAGATCTGAATGCCTACTGTGGTAAGTTTGCGGCAGTGCAATAGGGGGCCCCTCTGTAACGCCAAACTCCCCACGAGTGACCAATGCTGGCGAATGGGACTCAATCCCGAAACCACGCGCTTCTATCAAGCATTGTCATCGCATGTTGCATCGTCTTTCAAGTAATGAAACGGACCCATTACTCTCAAGTCATGATCTAACGTCAGTTCAAAGAACGGCAATGGAAAAACAGGCAAATAATGTCAATCGCTTTCTCTTGATTCTGGGTCTGGGTGGAGGTGTTGCGATGGAGCAATACGGCTGGGTTCGGGCTCGTTGCGTGCATAGAGGAAACGAACGTGCCAGTATCGAGCATTCTCAATGGCATAAAGCATCTGATGACGTCCGCTCAAGCAATTCTTTCGATTTGGCGTCTGAAGACTCGGTCTGCTTCCAATGCCTCATCGGTGCTTGACACGAAGAGCCCGAAACCCAAAGATTGCGCATCCGCGCTGACCGCTGCAAGCTTTCGCAACACCTCCCCCAGAGGCCTCATCTCTTGATATGAAAGAAGGTGGTTTACCACCGTCAAAGATCTACAAAACAAGGCCTTCTTGGCCTGAGACTCCTAAACACCACCTGCGCCGGTTCCCACGATGTAAACATGCGTGTCCTCTCTTCACATCGAAGAGATGCTCAGCCGCCCGAGCTTTCACATTACAGAACTCCCGTCTCCTTGAGCGCCCCTATTATTTGTTCGTCGACCTGTTGATTCAAAGTCAATCCTCAGCCAGTGATAATGCCGTAGCCGTATAGAGCTTTTGATATAGAATTGGACGGATCGATGTGGCGTTTCGTGGGCGCGAGGTCGAGCTAGTGCCGGGCAGCAATTACAAGCACCGAGGAGTGTTTACATGATCTTTGTAACTTCGTCCTCGACCTTGCGAAAAGGTTGGCGTCAGCTGGCTTGCGGTGATGTTGGGTGGATAGGTGTAGGTTGCTGGGCTTTCACCAGACTTCACAGTTTATCAAGCTGGTCATCACTCACCTCCATATCTTCAAGAGAATCTTGCTGACCGATGCAGCGAAGGACATTCTTTTTGCTCGTTTCCTGCAACTCGCCAGCGAGAAGGATTTCGTCGAGAATATAATACGCCTTGGTAAAGGAGAAGATGATATCAAGCTCGCAAACGTTGCCGTAGTATTTATCCATCTGTTCGACGTATCGGTGAATGATCTCGAGGGTGATCAGCTCATTATCTTCGGAAGAGCAGCCGGCGATGAAGAAGAGCGAGGCATATCGGCGGTAGACAATCTTGGTATCTGCCCCAGAAGTCAGCGCGAGCTCGCCTAAACAAACAACAAAAGGGGCGGAGAGCTAACCCTTGTATTCAAGGAAGTTGCACATGCGCGTTCTACGAGCGAGCACAAGCTGGGAGACATCCTTCACAATCTTGGCTTTATCCTTAGGAGAGAGTGTTGAGAACCATTTGGCAAGGCGCTGTCATGACTAGTCAGTGGTGAGTTCAAGCTGTGCATGTGAGCAACTGTACGCACCACTTTGCCTTGGCGGGATAAGAGAATAAGGTAGCTGTCAGGTAACCCTTTGTTAGCGGGCGAGAGAGATGGATCAGCTTTGGAAAAGCATACTGGATTGCCATAGTGAGTGATGAAGCCTGCTTTGAGGCGTGCAGGTCAAAGTCAGGGATGGGTTTCGAGAGATGACGGAGGATACAATTCTGGCTTTGAGGTGGACACGGAAGCAATTCAGGCGGGTTGGTGACGAGCTGGGTAAAGGTCCAATGATGAGGTGGCCCAGGCCCCAGCCAATCCACTAGGCGTCGAAGGCCTAGACCCTCTAATAGCACTGCTTGCCTGAGAAGGCAACTCAGGCAGCGAAGCTATCACCTCAGTGGCTATAGCGACAGAAACCAATTGACTGCTGTAGTACTCAATCTTTCATATGGATATATCTAATACAGTCTCAATTTAAAACCCTGAACTCATTCTTTGGTTTGTCATAATTCAGGCGAGTGCTGTATACTATGTACTCTAGATCCTGTGGCCTAAGAGCGACCTTGATCTGACGTGAAAGAAATGATACAGTAACAATGCTTCGTCGTTAATTGGACTGTCAGTCGAGCACGCGACTATGCGCTATTGCTGATGTCAGGTTCGATACCCATGGTATGCTTGGAATACCTACCTGTATTGTAGGTGTATGTACAATGGGCAAAAGGGACGCCATCCATTCGCTCAAACAGTCACTCAGGTTCTCATCTTCCACTATAAGGTCCCCGTGGTTCGATACACTGCAGCCATGACAAACACGAATAATACCATATCACCAACGTCAAATATCCCTCGTGATTTCAAATCTTTCATATCTCCAATAAACAGACATTACTAAGCTATCCGCTTTACCCCACGTATTCGATAACTAGTACTGGCACGCCTTGGGATTGACCATTTGGGTCTGCAGCTTGCTGGCGTCTCCGAGTTTACGCCTCGAAGACCCCGACGGCAAAAATTTCCCTCTTACTCGACTAAAACTCTCGACTTGAACTATTCCCACTTCACTCTTCTAATTCGAGACATTCAGAGATTTTCCCATTACTGTATTCCACGACTTCCATTATGACAAGACTTATCCTATCCACGGCGTAAGTAATGTCCGACTTCTGTGCGGGTTTATGCTTACAAAACCCCTCTCGGCAGCAATGTCATGTTGGCAGGCCCCTCCATCATTCGCAAGCCCGGCAACAACAGATCCAACCTTGAACTCGTCAACTCTCTGCGCGATACCATTGCTGAGGCTCAGCGCGACTATGCGATCGATACACCAGGAACCAACGGCTTCACGAACGGCGATGCGACTAACGGCAACCACACAGCTGTCGAGCTCTGGACCGAAAAAGAGGGCGATGCGCTATATATTCCTCGTATTAATTGGAACGCAGCAGGCCTGCAAGAAGAGCCTAGCCAGTATGAGATCACTGTCAAATTCTTTGCTCTCCCAGGCATGTCCAACAATGCCCGGGAGCAACATGTGAAGGAAGCCCTGGATCTGGTCCGGAGAGAACTCGGTATCACCACAATTGATTTACTGATTGTATCTTTCCCCGGAATTTCATTCGAAGGAAACTGTGAGTGGGAGGCAGACAAGACCAACGCTCATCAAGGAAACCTCGAGGAGGAGCTCGCAACTTGGAAGGTGTTTGAGAGTCTGCACAAGCAGGGCCTCGTGAAGCGCCTTGCAGTGGCCGAATTCGGCAGCGAGAAGCTCGAGGCTTTTATCAAGCGCACGACTGTCCGACCTGTTATTGACCAGATCAACCTGCGCAACTGCTGCGATGTCCCACCCCCTCTGAAGAAGCTTGCGGAAGAGGAGGGTGTTGAGCTGCACGTCCACAACGACTGTACTGATATTCTTCCACATGGTACCCTGCGGGAGCTTCTCAGCCACGGACCGAAGGGTGCGGGCCTACTTGCTGATCCAAGCCACAACGGTGCTGGCTTGACAGGAGAACTTGTCCCTGAATGGGTCGTGCGATACACAGCTTTCGTTCAAGACCGAGGCGTCATAGAAAACAAGGGTTATTTTGCAGGCGCGGAGCTGATAGGATCATAGTGGGATCTCTGCAACAGTCAAACGCAAAGAAGATTAGACAACAGGGTCTCTTGGTATGTTTGGATACGGAATCCCATGAGGGAATGTGTTGGCATCATTCGTCCATTTGTTTTTGCAAAACAGCGAGCATCAGATATACGGAGTTTTAGACACTATGGTAGGGAAATTGGCTGCATGACGGCTTTTCTGTTTTTTGTTTTGTTTCATCCGAGCATACTTCGTTTGCGGCCTCTCATCCGCACGTCTTCCAACTTCTTGAGTACAATCTTGGCTTGCTTAAAAGTTTGACTGTATGCATCAAGCACCTCTGAAAAGACACATTCCGCTCGGGGATGTGTACTTCCGAAGGCTCTCTCCAAAACATAGAGATCTACCGCACGATCCTCGTCTGATATACTTCCACTCGCAAGACCGAGATCAATAATAACCAGCTCCCCGTGCAGAGGATTATCGTCTTGTGGGTTGGCCAGAGGCTCCAGCATCATATTGCTTGTAGTCAGGTCGCCGTGGACAATGCCAACTTTGTGCATGTTGCCAATAGCGGTACCGATCCTGCGCATAAGGTCTTTCAACTCAGTATCGTTTTCAATACCCTCTGTCCTGTTTCCAAGTCTCTCGTTGATGCTCTTGCGGACAGGTCCTCCAGAGATCCATTCCAGCATCAACCACCCAGCGACTTCATCCACGGCGTAGACCGCTGGCACGCGGACACCATCGCGACGGCATTTGGCGAGGATGCGAGCCTCTGAAAGAATGCGGTGCTTCGTGAGTCGCTGGTCAAGGACAGGGTGTCGCCAGGGCTTAGGAGGACGATACTTTAGAGCGCAGGGAATATCCGGTAGGAGATAAGTGCTTTTGTAGAGACGACCTTCGGCACCTTGTGTGATGAGGATTGGCGGGGTCGACGCGGGGTACTCGAGGATCTTTGGGAGGGGAAATTGGTGCACTTGCGCTTGCCCTTGCGCCGCGGGGTCGGCGGTCGCCGTAGCTGTGGCTGTCGTCATGAGTATTGACTAGGTAGGTAGGTATTGTTGAGTAAAGATGAGAGGTTTGATACTAGCAAGGGGGGGAATGCGAAGAAGAGAGCAGTGGAGCTTGTGAGTCTGATGATTCTGACAAGCTGCAAGACTGGCGCAGGTACAGGGAGGTCACCGATGAAGTCAGTGGAATGGATGTGAATGCAAGGAGGGGGGAAATATCCATGGATGGGCAATTGGCACCACTGTCTGGGTGTCAGAAAAATTGGCTGTAGGGAGCCAAAGAAGAAAAGACTCAGACACTCTATGCCAGTTTAGGCGTGCATTTAGGCTGCCTTTATTTTGGCCCCCTACTCAACCTCCAGAATAATTCTTCTGCAGACCACCTCAGGCGGCTTTCCCTCAACGGCCCGCGAAGTTTTGACTGGGTGCCAATTGCAGCGGCGTTTTTAACCTCCATATCAAGCCTATTTTGACGAATCAAGTTTATTCCGACAAATCCTTGGCTATTTCGACGCCAAAAGCCAGCCAACATCTTTTCTCTTCCCCCCTCTCCTCTCGATTCTCAATAAAGCGCTACAGGGTTTGTAGACAAGCTCATTTCAGAGTTTCAAATCTGTCCCTCAACAAAATCAATGTCTAAGACTTCCTTCCTTTCGAGCCCTAGACTTGCCCTGATCCACTGGCCTTTCTTCCTGATAACCCTAATTCCAGACCTTGAACCCATGCCTCGACGGGTTTTGCAGCCCTGGCACTACTGAAATAAGCCTAGTAATAGCGTCCTGCAAGAGTTGGTCACATCCAACCGATGGCGATACTCAACCTGCAGATAAACCCACCCGGAATGCATGAAGAAACCCGCTGTATGGTTCGGCAGCACAGCATTACATTAGTTCTTGGAGACTGCCAATCTTGAGCAGGCTTGCGGTGCATCCTCTTAAACTATGACAGTGACGATTCATGATGGTTACATACGTCAGGTCAGAATGGAAACATACTGTACTGTATTCTGTGTAAGTCATTGGTTTAACCACGAGTGAGGCGTTTTTATGTACAAACCACCATCACCCAGCATCACCAGATGAATAACTGACCATCCTCCCGTCTCCTCAACCCGGCACTTCCGCGCTTATAGTCTCTATTACGGCGAATCCGCCGCTTACCCGGTCTAAGGGACCATGCACAGTATGTAGGTACGTACAGTAGGTAACATCAGTCAGTCAACTGGCCATGTGATGACTCCTCTGCCCTGTCTTGTCGTCTTTGATCCGTCATTAGCTACATCTGCACCTGCAGGGGGTCTTTTATCCCCAGCCATCCGCACCAAGTGGCCCAGCACCATCACTCTTCGAGCACGAATCTGGAAGCTCGGCCTATATGAGCCTAGAAACTAGGTGCTCAATTAGAGCGCACACAAACGCGGGTTGGGGTTGTGTTGGGGTTGTCTTTGTGTCTCTCTCTGTAAAGGCAAACTGGTTGCGCTTGCGCTTGTAGTTCGTCATCGCTCCTGTCTCCCGTCTCCTGTCACTTACCTTGCCTGCATCTTGTGCGCCTCTCTCCCATCTCTCCCTTTTCCCTCCCACAAACACTTAGCCTCAAGGACGATGCGTGATAGCTTCACTCACCACCTCGATTTGCCTTCCAGACGCTCTTCACAACCATGGTCGAGTTCAATCTACTCCAGTGGACTATCATCCTCATTTTGATCGCTGTTGTCCTGTCCCTCATCGTCCTTGTCCAGACCATCTCCTCTTACACAGCCGCGTACCAAGCGGCGCCGCTCGAGATCGCAACCTTTGTTGATACTGCCGACTTCTCTGTCCAGGAGAACGAGAGCTATGATCGCGATGTTGCAAAGGTGCAACGCCTCGATGATAAGATCCGCTTGACACGGCTCCTGAGGGAGATTCAAAAGACGGGTGACGATTTGCGCGAAGACATCAATGGCGTTGTGCTTGAGGAAGATACCACCAAGTTGAAGACTGCCGCCAGGCTATTATGGGCGTCGAAGCGAGCGAGGTTGGAGGATCGGGTCCGTAGGCTTGACATGCTACGCATGCGCTTCCTTGTTGTCTACATGGGCGTTGTCGCATCACACACGAATACCACAAACACCAATATCTATGAGAAACCTTCTCAAAGGCCACCACCGCCGCCGCCCTTACCCACATCACCAGATCTAGAAAAGTCGCCTGTTTTTAAGACCCCCACACGTCCTGCCCATCCCAAAGGCTTGATGGAGGGTATCACCAACCGTCCTCCTTTGCGCAGTTTGACCACCCAAGCTCTCATTAACCATTCCGAGCCTCTTCCCAAACCTAATCGCAAGGGCTGGGCGGGAGTCGTCCATGAGCTACAGACGTCGCCGAAGATGCATCAGCGTCATGCCTCGATTGAGCGTGCGATGTCAAAATCTTACTCCAGATCACCATGATTTCAAGCGTGGATCTGGTCATAGAATCTGATTTTCTTTACATTTTGGGGTCCTGTTACAGCGAAAAAGCATAACTACTACAGCTTACTCAGAGCGATAACTGGCATTACACATTGCACGGCGTTCGTAGTGTGGCCAGGGAGCCACCAACCGATTTACGATATAGCATAGTTCGGTATGACAACGGACATCTCGCCAGCTACAGGGGCATGGCTGAATGAATGACGATTAACGATGATTGATTTGACGGAAAAAGAGGCTTGGGGGAGTTTGGTTCATTGAGTTTACTTCACTTCTAGATGGGACGATACCCTTTTCCCGTGGTCCTGAGGCATGGTATTTCTTTTGTTTCTTACTGGTTATTGTACCATTTTGTATGTTCATTTTACAGAACAGCATCTAATACTACAACCGACTAGCCATGCTAGGCTACAGCGTTGTTTTCGGTAGATACCGAGGTTACAGTCCCAGATCAGTGACCAGATACAGGCTCGGGACCGGTGCCATTTCTCTCACCAACTGTAGTCATTAGTTCAGGTAGAGCGAATGTGAATGGTGTTGGTCAACTTACCATCTAGTGCCACCAGGAAACGGCTTACACAGTTGTAACATGCGACCTGTTGCTGGTGTTAGACCGGGTTTGACAACCAATGCTAGGATTTGACTCACTGTCGCCGTGACTTCCACGATTTCCTTCTCACTGAAGAATTCTCGCAGACGGTCAAACGTCTCGTCCTTGACATGGACATTCCTCGTCATCTCATCCGTGTACAGCAGCACAGCCCATTGCTTCTCTGACAGCCCAGCAGGACGCTCGCCAAGGGTGTCCTGCTTAATAGCCTCAAGCCCAGCCTCAGAAACACCTCCCTTCACAGCCAGTGGTGCATGGTGCTTCCACTCATACCACGCCTTATTGCACACAGCAACTCGGGAAATGGCAAGCTCGCGAATGTCGTCAGTGAGTGTTGTCTTGGTGCGAACAGCGCCGAGGAATGAGTTCCAACCATCAGCGACATGAGGGGAGTGAAGGAGAGCCAAGTCCAGGGACTGAAGAGGTCGAGGAGCACGGCGCTCTTCTATGCGCTTTACAATAGCGGCATGTTCCTCCGTCTTGGTCTCGGGAGGGTTAGAGACGTAAGGGACTCTCATGATGATAGGCTGTTAGCTTGGTGTAAGTGGTATACTCTGAAAGTTGGCCCAGACACTAGTAAGACAAAGGAGGATGAAGTATAAGGAATAGAGGAAGTGATGTTTGGTATAAGTTAAGATCAAAAATATACATGAATATGAGGCATTCGCATTTGGTTATATGTTCACCCGGAATAGCGCGGGGTCGGCTTTCAATCGCAACTCCCGACTCCACTACCCGAGCATCGGCGCCGAGAGACGGAACCCAATTCCGGCAATAAAATAAAGATACAGAACACCAGTGAAATAGCTATGATGGGGTATCTATCTGAGGTTCTATATACTTTTTATATTGGTGAATCGAAAAATTGCACTGGCTATCTTAGTTAATGACAGAATCTCGAAATGTAACCACTTAACAAAAGGGGGAATAAACTGCCTGATGAAGGTTACTATGCCCATGAGAGAGTGAACGTTTCGAAGCAATTGCGCGCGCATGTGTGCTCAAATAGAATCTCCCATGTTTGAACTCGCCCAAAAATCTGCCTGCGCAACACACAGCTATAAGTGTATGTCGGTTGGTGCTTTCGTAAACTTCTACAGCAAGTCATGACTTGGTTGCTCCACCAACTCCAGTCACTGCTCTGTTCACATACCTTTTCGCCTCCCGAGATAACAATTCTGGCATATGCACCAAGTTCACAAACAAGAAAAGAATACGCAAATATTGAACAAGCTTGCACAAAAAGACGCAGAAAAAGGTGATTCGAGCTTGCTGTTTAAACCTTACATATGCTATCTCTCATAGGTACCTACAGCTTGATCTGAGCTTGGATCATCACCCAAGAAACGCGCTGCGCAAGATCACGTGACAGGGAGCTTGCACTTGGATCATTAACGCGACCTCACTTTTTCTCGCGTCGTCGCAACCTCCTGTCATCCGCTCTTCGTCACTTTCCTTTCTCCCGTCACTCTAGATCGCGCATCCATCAACCAAGATGGCTGAGATCAAGATTGACAGCAAGCTGTTCCAGGAGCGCATTTCGCACTTTGCCACGGCCTGGAAGAATGACCTACGCTCCAAAGATGGACTATTTAACGGCGCCCAGTCCCTGGTGGTGATGATGGGCAAGGTTGAGGAGGTCCCTGAATTTCACAAGAACAATGCGATTCACGTATGCGACCTCGAAAAACGCCGAAAATTGAATGCGACCAAAGCTAACATGATAATATAGTTCTGGCTTCTTGGTTACGAATTCCCAACAACCCTGATGTTGTTTACACTTGATACTCTCTACATCCTTACAACAGCCAAGAAAGGTGTGCCACCCGACATTTCCGATTGCAGTGACTCATACTAACTGCGGATTAGCGAAACATCTCGAACAACTCAAAGGCGGCCGATTCCCGATCGAAGTGCTCGTACGAGGCAAGGACGCTGCAGAGAACGAGAAGCTTTTCGTCAAGCTCACAGACAAGATCAAGGAGGCAGGAGTAAGTGATAGCCATTTGCGTGTTTGGGTATATCTAACGATTGCGTTTGCAGAACAAGGTTGGCACAATTGCCAAAGACACCTCCCGAGGGCCCTTCGTCGACGAGTGGAAGAAGGTATTCGCCGAGCATTGTAAGGACGTTTCTCAGGTCGATATCTCTGCAGCTCTCTCCACCTACGCCTTCGCCGTCAAGGATGAGAGTGAACTCCGAGCGATGCGAACTGCCGCCAAGGCCTGCGTGGCCTTGATGACCCCCTACTTCCTCGACGAAATGTCCAACATCCTTGACGCTGAGAAGAAAGTCAAGCATTCCACATTAGCCGACAAGGTCGACAAGAAGTTGGATGACACCCAATTCTGGAAGACCGTGCAGCTGCCTAGCAAGGGCAAGCTACCTTCTGATCTCGACCCCGCTCAGCTGGACTGGATTTTGGGACCATCGATCCAGAGTGGTGGAAAATATGATCTACGATTCGCAGGCGAGTCCAACGACGACAATCTTCATGCAGGCATCATCATTGCTGCTATGGGTCTTCGATACAAGTCTTATTGTTCGACGATTGCACGAACTTACCTGGTCGATCCCAACAAGGCTCAAGAGAACAGCTACAAACTCCTCACCCTGATCCACAACACCATCATCAAGGAGATCCGTGATGGCATGGCAGCGAAGGAGGTGTACGGGAGGGCTGTTAGCATTATCAAGAGCAAGAAGCCGGAAATGGAGAAGCATTTCCTCAAGAATGTCGGCTGGGGTGTTGGACTAGAGAACAAGGACCCCACTCTCGTTCTCAACGCCAAAAACCAGAGAGTTCTGAAGGACGGCATGACTCTTATCATCAACACGGGTTTCCAGGATATCGAAAACCCCCAACCTCAAGACAAGAACAGCAAAGTGTATGCCCTGGTCTTGACTGATACCATTAGAGTTACTTCAGCGGAGCCTGTAGTTTTCACACAAGAGGCGCCCACGAGTGCTGACGCTAATTCTTTCTTCTTCAAAGATGATGAGGAAGCTGAGCCTGCCCCCAAAAAGGAGAAGAAGGACTCGCGCGTTGGTGCTGTTGCTACTAAGAACATCACAAACACGAGACTTCGCTCAGAGCGCACTACTCAGGTCGCTAATGACGATATGGAGAAGAAGCGACGTGAGCATCAGAAGGAACTTGCTGCCAAGAAGCAAAGAGAAGGTCTTGCGAGGTTCTCGGAATCTACAAGTGGCCAGAATGGAGGTGAGGTCAAGAAGTTCAAGCGCTTCGAGTCCTATAAGAGAGACAACCAGTTTCCCAACAAGATCAAGAACCTCGAGGTTGTTGTTGACAGCAAAAACAGCACAGTTGTGCTGCCTATCATGGGACGTCCCGTCCCTTTCCACATCAACACCATCAAGAACGCCAGTAAGAGCGACGAGGGCGAGTGGTCTTTCCTACGTATCAACTTCCTGTCCCCTGGTCAGGGTGTAGGTAGGAAGGATGACCAGCCATTTGAGGATGCCTCGGCGCACTTCGTCCGCAGTTTGACTTTCCGATCGTCAGATGGTGAGAGATACAATGAAATAGCGACTCAAATCTCCAACATGAAGCGCGATGTGGTAAAGAAGGAGCAGGAGAAGAAGGACATGGAAGACGTCGTTGAGCAGGATAAGCTTGTCGAAATAAGAAGTAAGTCAAATTTGAAATCCTGCGTATCACACGATGCTAACTAATACCTAGACCGACGTCCGGCTGTGTTGGACAACGTCTACATTCGCCCTGCCATGGAGGGCAAGCGTGTACCAGGAAAGGTCGAGATTCATCAGAACGGTATCCGATATATCTCCCCGCTTAATGCCCAGCACAGAGTAGATGTGCTGTTTTCCAACGTCAAGCACATTTTCTTCCAGCCTTGCCAGCATGAGTTGATTGTTATCATTCATATTCACCTCAAGGATCCCATTATCGTCGGCAACAAAAAGAAGACGAAGGATGTGCAATTCTACCGAGAGGCGACAGATATCCAGTTCGACGAAACGGGTAACCGCAAGCGCAAGTACCGATACGGTGATGAAGATGAGTTCGAAGCGGAACAAGAGGAACGACGTCGGAGAGCCGACTTGGACCGACTGTTCCAGGGCTTCGCACAGAAGATTGCCGAGGCCGGCCGAAACGAAGGCATCGAGGTCGACATGCCTATCCGTGAACTTGGATTCCACGGTGTGCCATTCCGAAGCAACGTCTTTGTTCAGCCTACCACCGACTGTCTCATTCAGGTTGTTGAGCCGCCTTTCATGGTTATCACAATTGAGGAGGTTGAAATCGCTCATCTTGAACGTGTCCAGTTCGGTCTGAAGAACTTTGATATGGTCTTTGTCTTCAAGGACTTCACACGAGCCCCTTACCACGTTAATACTATCCCTGTCGAGTTTCTTGACCAAGTCAAGGAATACCTTGACTCTTCTGATATCGCTTACACTGAAGGTCCCCTCAACCTCAACTGGCCAACCATCATGAAGACTGTCACAGCAGACACCCACCAATTCTTTGCCGATGGTGGTTGGTCCTTTTTGCAAGCTGATTCAGACGACGATGGTGGCGAGAACCAGTCTGACGAGGAGTCTGCTTTCGAAATGGATGAGGACGAGTTCGATGAGGAGTCCGAATCTAGTGACGAAGGCTCTGATTTCGGCAGTAATGCTAGCGACGATGATGACGAGGATGCCGAACTGGATAGCGAGGATGAGGGTGAAGACTGGGATGAGCTAGAACGCAAGGCCAAGAAGCGAGACCGTGAGAGCGCCATGGAAGAGGAAGACCGTGGTGGTAATAAGAAGAAGCAGCGCAAGCGCTAGATGACGCCGTGGTGTGAACCTGCGACCAAGGGGCACTGGTTGGTTGCTTCCCCATTGTACTAAAACATTCAGCTTTTTCTTTTTGGTTTTTATTTTTTATCAGTAGGCTTCAATGCTCCTTTGGTGGGACAACATGAATAGCAAAGTAGCACACCTAAAATAGCTATTTTGGCCAGAGGATGGTGCTCTTCCCAGTGTGTTTCGGGATGATGAGGATCGGGCAAGGACAGATGTATTAGTCAGATTAAGATAAGATAATTTATGATTTTGAGCAACCTTAGACAACATTCTTTTGTAAGCTACTTTGTTGATTGGTGGTGAGTTGCCATACGCGTGTATTTGGTCGTATTCCAGGCTCAAGGGTTATGGTAATTATCACGCTGTCGAGAGATCATTTGTAAACAGTTCAATTCATTCTATCCATGATTCCGAGTCGCAGCGCGCCCAAACTCCCTACCCATATAAAGATACGTACGAAGCACACAATCCACGCTCTTTCTCCATCCCATTTTCCCAAACTCTTGAAAGCATAGGAAGGTTAGACACCACTATCTCATGAGTTGAGGGGCTATTGATGGAAACAGGCCTCTGATACCCTTCCAATGCCAAAAACAGAACTGCTGGAGACTGCAATAATGAGTAGTCGCACAGAACAAAAAACAATGCGCCACGTGAGCGACGAAAGCAAATATCGATATCCAAAAACCCAAATGTGATTCAAAGCACTTTCTCTCGACTTTAGTAGCCGACGCAAATTGCTCAATTCATGCACCCCCCTTCGACGAGTATGCAAGAGGCAGAAACGCATCGCCCGTTGCATCAGGCGGGGATCCGTGAAACGCAGAACCTGGTCTTGAAGCATGCTCGAGAAGAGCGCGAGAGTCGTCGCGAGCTGACTAGGCCTCGCCAGGACGGAGTTCGCGACCCGAAGCCACGGCTGTACTGGGGCCCCCAGACTTAGCGCCAGGGGCATTGTTCCACGAAAGATAAGTGTGATCACCCAATTTTCTGTTGTCAAGTTAGTACAAAGAATGGTTGGTGTAAGATAGGGGACAAACCTGGGTCGGATAAGGTGAGTGACCGTGAATACAGTACCAAGAAGAATGCAAACACCACCAACAACAACGTAAGCTATACCGAGGAAGGGGTTGCGTCCTCCGACAACGGTTCGGGTAGAGATAATGATGGACTTGGTACCCTTGTACTCCCGAGTTGGGAAATCTGATTCGGGGTTAGATAATACCTACACAAAGAACGATATAATGGCTGACTTACGGTCATCGATGATAAGATCATAAGTTCCTGCCCACATAGCTTGAGTGTTGTTGCGCTGATACAACTTGCTGAAGGTGGGGAGACCCGCAGTTCGCATCCAGACCTGGAAAGCCTCCCAATTCTTCAGGTCCGGAGGGGGAGTGTCCTTGGTGTATCCATCAGGGAAGCGCTTCTGCCAGTTGGGAGGCGGGACGATTTCGTCGTAGCTATACTTAGTCTCTCCGTAAAGGTCCTTGTCACTGTCCCAAGAAATGCCCGAGTTGTTGCTCATACGGTACTCCCATGTCTCGTTGCCAGTACCGCCCGCGGGGTTTGTGAGCACAGGGCTGGAGAAAGTGTCGTTGAACATGGAGTTGGCGATGAGACCACAAGGGTAGTAGGGCTTGCTTCCTTCGCCATAAAGAGGAGTACAGTCGGAATTGCGGATGTCGCTGATAGATCGCTTTTCGCCCTTGAGCTGATCCGAATCGAAAGAGAGAACGTATCGGCGATGGTTCTGGTAGAAGTTGGTGAGGTGGTAGTAGAAGAGGACTGGGGGGCCCATCTCCTCAGGGATGGTAAACTTCAGGTGGCATCGAGGGTTGTAAGTTTCGACGCCGTTGTCGAGCGTGGTGCTGACGTTCGCCTCCCGCGCCCATTGAGCATTCACGGAACTGTTGGAACTCTTGAATGCAGTGCTAACGGCGCTGCTAGGCATTCCGGTAAAGTTACTTCCACCGCGGCTCATATCCGGAGCATCGACAACACAGTTGGTGTAATCAAGTCGAATCTCTTGAACCTGGGTTTGCGCATTAGAATGGAGTTGGCAGTGCTGGATTGGTGTTTCAAGGAAATTGTACCTGAGCGCTCGCGTACAACAACAGGCCACCGATGGGAGCGAATATGATTCCGATGGCGAAGAAAAGAGGAAGGACGGTCTTTGGTGTGAGAATAGGCCTGTCGCAATTGTATCAGTATCGAGGGGGCGATTGAGCGGATGGAATAAGGGTAGCAATGACATACTGCCAGGCCTTTAAACGCTGTTGTCTAAAGGCAGTATCTAGAAAGCATCAATTAATATGCGTTCTCGTCCCGCGTATTTGCGCATAACCGGTGTGTAGAGAGCGCATTCTTTCGAGGCAAACTCACTCGCAGGGCGGCGACTCTTCTTCTTGTCCGGCTGCTTCGGGCCATCATTGGAGTCGAGGGAATCAGTGTGGTCGATGCCACGGGGTTGTTCGTCGGTCATTGTGTTTTGGTCAAAGTCGATTCGTCTCGTCTCGGTGCGCGGGATGTGTGGGTAACTTTGTTGATGAAAAGGGACTCGAGTTTGCGAGGGCAGGAAAAATATGCGACCCTTTGGTGAAGCTGACGGGGATAGAATGGAACGGTCGCGCTGTGGCTCGTGAAGCCTTACGTGTGTATTGAAGGAGTACGTACCCTTCTCTCCTTACCTCTACGGGCTGTATGCACTTCAAAGGCAGGTGGAGAATGGAGGCTGTACAGGCCCATGGAGGAGTGGTTGGCGGGGAGTGACCTGAATTAACCAACCGCCCCAGTGAAAGGTCCCCTGAAACATGCCCTGCCTTTGAAAGTCCGATTTCCATCCATTCCTTCAGCTTTACGAACGTAAACCGATGCAGCACGGTTAGTTTATGTACATGCTGAATTACACTTTGAATTACACATGTTTGATTGAGTTTCTCCAAGACAATTGATACATCGTTCCAGTTGTGAAGCACACGTTATATTTATGGCTCGCAGCTCAGTCGCATTAACTGATCAGCAAAAAGATACTAATTTGAGCACACCAAAAAAGAAACACCGACGCAGGCCTGATTCGAACAGACGCCTCCGAGGAGAATAGATTTCTAGTCTATCGCATTAGACCACTCTGCCACTGCGCCTAATTGGATGAAAGCTGCTGCTGTCTTGGAGTCTATGAAGTCAAAGCGCCCGATTCACTTGACCAGCGATTATTCAAATCGAGAGAATCCATCGTCCTTCATAGTGTCTACATCCGATCTTGATTATTACATTTTCTATTTGTGTTTTAACTGACATTCATAAACCTCTTCAGAAAGTCACATATATGGGACCAGCCGTGTATTGTCAAGTGACAAGTTTCTGTTCTTCCTTCATCAAAGTATTATGCGCATATATATAATTACATGAGTATATAGATACGCCTCTTCTCCTTCTTCCCGTCTTTGATCTTATTCTGATTCACCCTCCTTCTACCTCCTCTTTGACTGCTGTAGTTAAGCCGCCCCCTTCCATACGGCCAATATCTAGCAACTCCAAATGCATCATTGACTTGGGGGATAGAAACTAAAAATAGGTCAAAACGTGTACGCCTATGTGTATGTACGGGCTCAATGACTGTATGCAGTGGCCAATAGAAAAAAAGAAAACATCCAAACTAGAGTGGGAAAAGATCACAATAGTTCTGGAAGACATGATAACAACCTCCTGACCTAGAAACACAAGGTGGTTGTTTTCTTCCTGATATGCATCAAATAAACAAAGAAAATGCCAAACTCCGAAAAAAAGAGATTTCCTCCCGCTAAACTTTTCCGACATGAAACAAATAAAGGGTTGTATGTGAGATAAAATGATCTCGAAGGGATATGCGCCCCTGTAGTAAGAGCGTGTTAATAGGTGTGTGATCGTTTTGTCGACGTCCCTCACGGGCTGCGGCTAATACTGTATATCTCCAATAAGAGCATCATCCGTGTTTCTCCTTCGGTGCGCCGTTCTCTGCCTCGTGTGGGTGAACGGCATGCCCGTTTACTCTCATCTTTGGCTTAAGCGAGGAGGAACGCTTCTCATTCTCCGGCTCCTCGGGAATCGTGGCAAACTTCTTGAGAACTTGCTTGAGAGCCGGCCGTCGAATGGGTTTAGCAAGAAACTCATCCATACCAGAGTCGATGCATTCTTTGACGTTACTCTCTTCGGAGAAAGCTGTCAATGCGACAATAGGAGAAGTGTATCCCATCTCACGGATGAGTCGGGTACTTTGTAGTCCATCAACATTGGGCATCTGTACGTCCATAAAGATTACGTCGAAAGACTGATTCTTCTCCATCGTTGCTTTGACTAGGTCGTATGCTTCCTGACCATCTTTTGCAATGGTCACATCGTAAACGTCCTCAAGTTTCAGCATGCGGCTGACAACCTCGATATTGGTCGAGTTGTCATCTGCAACCAAAACACGCACTCTCTGGCCGCTCTTGTTTGCCACGGCACGGTCGATTTCGGCTATTTTTTGCTGAGTACTCTTGACGGATGGCGGATCGGCAGCGAAGTACGGCTGGCTTAAACCAACTAATCGAGGTTGGGGGTTGAGAGCTCCAGCCGATTTGGTTTCGGCGGCAGGCTTGGGGGTATTAGGTGCGGTGCGTTGTGGTTCCAAATCACTAGCATCTACGCTTGTGGGTCGGGATTTGACACTGCTTGAAGCAGTGCTGGAAGTCCTGGATCTAATTATTAATAAGGGAATCCACATTGTTTATGAAGAAAACTTACCGGTCTTTCACGTATTTTAGCGGAATCTGCATAGTGAAAGTTGTGCCTACGCCCATAGAACTTCGTAGCTTGATAGATCCCCCCATAAGGCCGGCCAACTGGTGACAGATACTCAAGCCAAGACCAGTGCCACCAAACTTCTTGCTCAAGCCCAGATCTCCTTGTACAAAGGGTTCAAAAACCTTTTGTTGCATGTGGTCAGGGATACCCGGCCCAGTATCTTGAACCTCAAACTCGAAAAGATACGACTTGGCACCTGGAGGAGGCGGCGTGGGCGATCTTTCGCGAACCTGCACATGAGGTGTCGCTTTCGGGTCCATGGGATTGATCGAGAGTGCCGTTCCAGTACCGCTGAATTTCTGTGTCGAGTTCCGTCCTGAATTACCCGAATGTGCTGAGCTGGCGCTTCCACGTTGCCGAGGGCGTCCTGTCCGGGAGTTGTTTCTTGAATTCTTCGAAATTGACGATGCCCGGCTGTCGTTTTCAATAGCCGTCTCTGTTTCTCCAAGACACTTGATGCGCACTGAAACACTGCCGTTATGAGGCGTGAACTTCAGGCTGTTACTCACCAAGTTGATAATAACTTGAAGTATTCGGTGCTGGTCACCCCACAAGCACATATCCTTGAGCCTTCCAGTTCCGTAGGGTCCCAATGCTGGTAACCTCGTCTCGCCATTCGTTCGGTCTGGGCTTCTGCTGATGTCGACATTATCAGAGCTGATGAAATCTACTGAGAAGTTGATCTTTCCTTCTCGTACTTGTTTGTCGAAAATGGTCAAGATCTGTGATCGGATATCGGCCAAACGGAACTCTCTCAGCTCGAGGTTGAGCTGCTGGCCAATCTGATTCTTGGAAAAACTCAACAAATCCTCCAAGAGATGCAGCAGCAGGTCGCCTGATTTGTAGAGCGTCTTCAGCGACTGCTTGATCCTCACGATATCGTTCTCCTCCATGCATACAGCGCACATGCCAAGAATACCATTCAGAGGCGTCTTGAGTTCATGAGAAATATTAGCAATGAACAGAGTCTTGCTTTCGTTGGCTGCCTCGGCCGCCTTCTTGCTCTCCTCCAATTCTCTAGTACGCTCAGCAACCTTGACCTCGAGAGATAGGTACTGCTTCACTAGCTCGTCACTCATGTCGTTGAAAGTTCGCGTCAGTTCAGTAAGTTCGTCTGTGACAAAATGTCTTCGATCGTCGACCTTGGCTGGGATCTTGAACATGCGTCGGGCCACATCTCGGTTCGAGCTGGGCCCGTTCGATTTGCCTTGGAGCCGTCGGATGAATTTGGCTATAGGTCCCTTCTTTCTCGAACGCCGCGATATGCCCCCTGAGCTTGGAATATCTTCCCCAAATTCGGAATCCGAGTCAATAAATGAGTCTTCATAGCCCGGAGGGTTGATCGACTTCTCCGTGGCAGCCTTGAGTTTTCGAATCGGGAGAACACTGACGTGGGCGCAAGGAATGATAATTAAGGCTATCAAACCGACTGTGCCGAAGACAGTTCCTAGAAGAATATTTCGCAAAGTGTTGATCGGTTTATAAGCCTCCCATTTGGCTTTCTCGACGATGACGGTCCAGTTAGCTAGAGGAGTCTGAGTTCGAGCAAAGCCAACAGCAACACGGGCGTCTTGCTCGTTGTGAGTGTTCAATAGGGCACTCGCGTTGTTGACCGTATCGTAATGCTTAGTAAATGAATCAAGGGCAGCTGGGTAGTTCTTGACTGGAAATGCCCTATTGCCGTATTCGCTGACAAACTGATGGACGTCATGGAGATCCTTTTGTCCTTCTGGGCTCTTTGGTGGGAGGACGAATTTAACCATAACATTGCCAAATTTATCACGATCGGGGGTGTATGTCGCGTTGCTGGCCGGCTGGGTCTTGTTGAAGCGATTAGATCGATCCGTTGGGCCGATAAGCAGAACTGAACCTGTTTCCCCGAGTCCTTCACGAGATTCCTGAACCGCAGTGAGTGATTGAGCAAGGGTAACCACGCTCATATAACCCAGAATGAAAGTGTCATTGTTGTCTCGAACAGGAATGGTCACGGACAAAAGTGATGCAGACTCATTGAGGACTAGAGGGCCGAGCAATAAACCCCCATCGCGAGCGATCCTGACATCGTCGAAGGCTTCAGCAGCATAAACAGTAGTATTGTTCCGTAGAGTACTGGTTCGCTCAAGATCGATAAATGTAAGATTAGGAAAAAGGCTCGGAGGATAGCCCAGCTCAGAGTCGCCCAGAACGACGTCGGTTCCGGAGGAATCTTTATAGGGGAGTGTGATCATTGGTACGGAAAGAGATGTCACATTGAGTAAAACACCGCCTGGCGCTCCTGTGCCGTTTCTCGAATATAGCCTTATCTGCAGTAAGCCTGAGTTTATGCTAGAAGAAAGTGCGCTTGCGAGATCCTCACGGGCATCTGCCCAGTCAGCATCGTCAATACTGTCGTAGTGGTTGGTGAGTGCAGTTTGGACCAGGATTCGAGACGAAATGGTCACGGCAATGGTCTCAACAAGGTCGAGCTCTGCCGAAATTCGGGACGCCTTGAGGGAAGCTGTGAGCTGCAAGCCCTCGCGCTCAATATCGACGACAAAACGGTTGACGTAGATCCATGTTGGAATGGAGACGATGGCGAGAGAAATGAGAACGGCGAGAAGGACGAGGGCCGCAAGCTGCTCACGAATGGCGATGCGCATGATAGGCAGGCTAGAAAAAAGGATGCGATGGTCGAGCGCGACGACGCGGCATCGTCAATTCCGTTGGAAGTGGTCAGTCAGTTCAAGACGCAGACGATGAAATCGGAGGAAGTCGAGCTCGAAAGGTAGATGCAATTCAGACGGCACTTAATTACGGCCAAGATGAGGCTCGTCTCAGCGCCTGGACCTTGAACGAAACTGGGTGGATGCTCCGTTCCGGTGTCGTCCCCTCTTGTCGTCGATATCGCCGCTGCCCAGTCGCCAGTATATCTCGAGGTACCCGTCGCGGAGAGACGTTGTGGTTGTGGACCGATGATCGACAGCACAGCCAAAGGAGGCGAAAGCGTTCTGACCGTGGTGTGCTGACTCGGCCTTTCCGGGGACAACAACCGCCTCAGCAACAACCAACAATGGAAAAGAAACTGAAAGGTATTCTGATAAATGCCCCGATGGTTCGCGTATCCTTTGACTCGCTGTGGTTGTGAGTGATCGATCTTGTACGGGTTGAGTCTGAAGGAGCGAGCGAGTCGTGCGAAGTCGCAGCTGCAGCTGACGGGAACACAAAAGAGTGTCCGGGATTTGGGATGTAAGAGCTGGGGAGGTGTATGGAGATTGAGAGGAGAGTGTTGTTTGAAAGGGCAGCGATCAGCGGAGGCTTTGGGGGGTCTGCGTGGGACACTGGGACTAGAGCTGCCCTGGGCTGTGAGTTGGTTGGAGTGGAGGGTACTGTAACAGTGATAAAGCTTGGCCCTTTAGAGAACCCGACACGGGGAGGGAGAAGTTTGCCCGGGGGGTATTGAAGAACGAGGGTAGTGCCTGTAGGTATGGGAGTTGATTTCAGTACCTAGATATCGTTCAATGATTGTATTTCTTAGCATAGATAACCCTCTCTGATACTTGACAATCCGACTGTGATGAGAAAAATGGGCAATCGTTTTCAAAATGGAACTGGAGATGGGACAAGTCAGAAATACCGTCCCCGTCGTTACCGGTCCGAGCGGATTGCGTGGAAATGGATATAGCCAATTGAGTCTGGCGCCATGGGGCGGGGAGTTAATGGACCTAAGGTAAAGTACCTATGGACAGTAAGCTGCAGACGGACAGCCTAAGACCACAGTGAGCTGGTAGGCCGATTAGTGGATTGTGGCTTGAATTTCAATGGCAGCCAGTAACGGGCAGTAACCCAGATGGCCATCCCAGTTGCTCCTAGAGAAGGAGGAGGCTGAACTAAAAGAAAACGCAGGACAGATTCATATCATGGATAGGAAACAGGTGTATTGAGGTCAATTCATCTGATTCTCAACACCAAAATTGACTCGATACTATCAATAGGTACTGTAGTTGCTGGGTATTGACAATCAATAGTGCTTATTCTCATTCGACTTACAACAAAAACAAACTCGAAACTAAATTGAGTTCGGCTACGGGTGATGAACATCGATACATCGATACAAGGATATAAAAGGCAACGATCGTCAGCAATATGGCCGATCGCGTGCATCGATCAACAGACAGAGAAGAAGAAAAAAAGAGGGAGAGAACAGAAAAGCACAGACAAGGCACAGGACAGGGACGGTTGAATACGGGCTGAATTGCAAACGAATCTAATATCATTCTTTTGCTTTTATTTATGATTGCGGGATTTTGTTGAATGCGACAAGATACGCGACGGTTGTTTCCGTTCCATGGAGTAGTAGTAGTACAAGTACAAAGCCAGCTGAAGAACAGATTAGAGCTAATGTCAGTAATAAAGTTTACTTGATCTACTTTAATGCTATCGCCATGCGCAGAAAGTTTATGTTGCGGAGAACACATCTGGGGAATCCAGTATGTAGTGTGCACCTGATAGAATGGACGAGCAGGACGAGTAATTATTTACTAGGCATGAATTCATCAAGAATAATATTAACGATATTAGTTACGCCTTGTGCTGTAATTAGTCTAAGTACTCTTTGAAACGTCGGGTCTGTCTGATCCACCCCGTTTCCCAGTGGCAAAGTCGTTGAACTGTCAAATGTCTCTGGACTGATGGTTTACCTTAGTAGTCAAAGACCCTTGTGCCTTAGACTCATCTTTAGTCAGGGCACTTTTCCATAGACGGCAATAGTTGTTTTACAGGTGAACTCTGATTCATCAAGACGAGAATTAGAATTATCTTGTCGTCTGAACGTTGAAGCATAAGCATAAACTCTGTTGGCCTCGGTATCCATCTGTATACCAGGCGTTTATTATAAGCGGACATTACTCCCTGGTAGGAGTCGTGCTCCGTTAATTTAATTTCCTCGTCCAAGGAGACCTTCAGAAAGAGTCAAGGCCCCGGGTAAAAACGACAATTAGCGGGGCTTCATCCACGCCAAGCTTTCTTTACTTCTCGATCTGATTTCCATCAACGGATCGACAACAACGAACAGAACTCGCGTCTAGGTACGTACTTGGACTCCACTTGGAAGGCAACCTTTAAATAACATGATACGACCTTGGAGTTCTAGACTCTCAAGCAAAACAAAAAAAAGCATCACGACCTATCAGAGCTCAAGTCTCTATTGACCTATTAAACACAATGAATTATTGCAGCAGTTCTTACTCGGAGAGGCTGACTCTCAAACACATTCCAGCGACACTCAGAATGGAATGAGGCAACATAAATTCCTCTTCATTGTCACCAGCTTAAAACATCCATCCAATTCCGTCTCTCCATGTTCCATTTTCCATTCCAGCCAAGAAACCCCCTCTCATAAGACAACCACCAACTAAGCAACAAGCTGTTCCATTAGTCCATTAACCCAAACATCGACTTCTCATCATGCATCATCCCTGTCCTTCTACCGTTATGCCCAGTCTTGCGGATCTCGCGAACACCCTGTCCTTGTAAAGAAAAAGAGGTGCCCCGTCTCCAGTCACAAGTCACAAGTCACGGTCCTTATGCTGTGTAACTGCACTGCAGCGTTGTTTCAGCTGACAGGGAAGATGTGATTTGCAAATTTTTTATCCAGACGCCAAGTTATCGTTTCGATTCGGTTCTTTACACTAAATCATGAATTAATCGATTACCGGGTGCTTGGAGAGTAGATAATGAGATCAATGTCTCCGCTTAGATAGACGAGATCACTCAGTATCGCTCCATAATCCACTGTGCCCGCTCTTCATCACCCAACTTCTCCAAGATAGCTGTCTCGGCCTGCTTGATCTCGGTATATCTTTGAACCACCTCTGAGCCAATCAGGCCAATCAACTCCTCATCTTGGTGCAGGGCTTCAAGAGCCTCTTGTATGCTCCTAGGCAATCTCACGCTCATGTTGAGGTATTCTCTCTCAGAAGCCGACAGTAATGCGGGATCCTTTGTGCAATCTCCCAAGGTCAACGTCTCGTTGTCAGCGACTCCCTGGACTCCTGCCAAAATGATGGCCGCGAGTGACATATACGAGTTGGCGATTCCGTCAATGCACTTGATCTCCCAATGGCTGCCGTCAACTTTACGTAGTGGTACTTCACGGTTTTGTGTGCCCCATGCAACCCAAGTGCCACCGGCCCAGCAACCATCAACAACTCTGTCGTAACTAACCATGCTGCTGTATGTAAAAGCGGTGATAGCTCGGAGATGTTTCAGAATACCAGCATAGAATGGTTCATAAACTTCCTTCAATGAACCAATGGGCGATGAGATGGACATGTGCATGTGCGCCGCTGTTCCACACGATGTTGCGTATGGCTTGGGATGAAGCGTCATGCGGAATCCCTTTGCTGTAGCGCAACTACTGATAACGTCTCTTGTAAAAAGTAGATTGTCCACGGCCTCGAGCGCTGGTGCTTTGGGCATCACGAACTCATACTGTCCCTGACTACTCTCTGGGTGCATCATCTCGATGTATATGCCGGCAGCGTCAAGCTGCTCGATGGCATCTTCAAGGACCTCAATCGCTACTTCATGGTCCAAAGCACGGCTCACTGACCACGCGTGTCCATCGGAATTGAGAGGCTCGTACTTTTTGTCTTGTCCCTGGCGGAAGAGAACAAGCTCGATCTCAAAACCGAGCATAAACTCAAGGCCTTGCTGAGCTGCTTGGTCAAGTGTCCTTTTCAAAAGAGTTCGTGTACAGAAAGATGCAGGGGATCCGTCCTTCTCCTTGAAGTCACCCATAACGGTAATGTGCCCCTTTCGAGGACCAAGTCGAAGAGTGCTTAGATCTGGATGCAGTCTATACTCTCCTGTTGGAGTAACACTCGGTACGGGGTGGTCCCTCTGATCAATGCCAAGGCCAGCTTTGGTAACACCAAAAGTAAGGTCCTCTCCACTCCTTAGTAAAGACCATACACGGCGCATAGGGACCGCTCTCGCCCTCGTCATGGCCGTAAAGTCGGTCCAGGTCACCCTCAAGAACCTGGGCTCTTCCTTGTTTTTAAGGAACCGGGATAAGGTTGCGATGTTACTCTGCTCCGAAGACTCAAGGCCATGACCAGAGTTGACGAGCAATGGCTTGAGTTCCAACCCAAGGTCATATAGCTTGTTTGCGTTGTTGAAGAGTATATCCCGAACTAGCCGTGCTGCTTGTGTCCAAGAAAAATCTCCCTTGTTGACATAATCGATGAGGACAGTCTGCAGGACTTCTTGAAGCTGATCCACAGCTATGATATATGTTTCTGGAAAGAAATGCCCGTCGGTGCTCCAAAGGATCTTTGATGTTGGGCAGAGTTCCAGGATTTGACGAACGACTCCTTCTTGTCCTTCGCGACTGAGGAAGGGGAACACTTCTCCGATATCAGCATATACGTTTGCATAGACGGTTGCTAGATATCCCAGTTCACGAGTGAATGGATAACTGGCGTGAAGCAGGACAATAGGGACATCCGGGTACGTCTTGATGAACTCCTGTAGATGGGCGGGTGACGACTTGGATAAAGTAATGTCATTATCTCCGAGCCCAGTATGGAACTGGATGGGTTTCTTGTGCTCGTCCTCGCTGTTTTGAATCAAGCCTGCCAGGATGTGAAGAAAATAGTCATTCAGAGGCTCATGATTAAGCCTCTCAAACACTTGAGCTCCACCCTCCTTCCTGGTATCAAAGATGAGTTGGAACTTTTGCATAATGATGTCAAGATCCGTAACCTGAGTAACGGCAAGGCCCGTTCGATAGCAGATAACTGATTTGAAGCCAACAATCTCCGGATCATCGAGAGCATCATAAATGGCGTTCATGAAGTTCTCGACAGATCCCGAGAACGCCTCAGATGGGTGCGAGAATTGTCCACAGGCCTTTTCAATACAATCTGCTGCAACCTCTTCAATTCTAAGAATGCGCTTGTTGGGGCTTCTCGTGTAGGCATCAAGCGTATGATAAGGCTCGACATCAGCTGGATCGCCCAGAAGATCATCAACCAATATGTTCTCAATTCCAGTGAGGCATGTCTTTATCCATTCGTCATAGTTGCCTTTTTGCTTCCTCGTGATGGCAGCCTCGACCGCATCCCAGGTGGGCTCAGTGCCGAGATGGTTTGCAAGGAGTTTCACAGCACGAAGATGTGCCAAGCCGGTCTTTGAGTCCTCGATAGCATCTCCATTGGCTTCTGTAGCTATTGAGAGAAGAGGATGTTTTCTTATAGCGCTGAGTTTGAGAAGAGGGTGGGCGTGATGGTCAATTATGGGTGTAGTTTTAATGACCCGACGGAGGGCCTCTTCTGTGTTGATTGTTGGACTTGCCATGTTTTATAATCCCATATAAGGTCTTTCAGATGTTGATTTGTTCGTGAGGTATTATCAATCTCTAAGTAACTCAAAATAGAGAGTGGACTGATTATGAGAGATTCGGGTTATGACGTGATATAAATATTGCTTTTTAAGGCTGAAATCTCAAACCGGAGAGAGATTGAGACGAAACGAATAATTGATGTTAATCAAGGCATTCAAACACGTAGAGGAGTTTACCGTACGATGGGGGTTAGATGCCACGGTAGACAAAGTTGCATCGTGCAGCAAACCCAGGCCAAGATATTTTATACCCTGGCCTCTCCTCGTTTCACTCATCTTTCGATTCGATAAGGGCATCCATCTCAACTGAGACAAACGTGACAAGACCGAATCAATTAGACTTTGAACAACAAATTCACTTCACTTCACCGTACGGATAATGGGTCTTGTATGTACCTCGACAAAAAGATCCCGAGACTTGCAGTTGTTGGAGCCAATTGGATGCTTTGTTAGTGGTCCATCTTGCAGACGATCACGGCATACTAATGCAGTATGTACTTGGTCTTTACTCATTGTCACCGGCAAGGTCTCACAGTACAGTAAGCACTCATGAATCTAGCCTTTATGAAATACGATGATCTGCAGCAGAGAAGTTAGGTCGATTGTTGTTATCCACAAGAGGGTCTAAGGTCAGCTGCGGTCTGATCACACTTCGAATGTCCACAGCTCAACATCACCGTGAACCTGCAAAACTAACGCTGTGCAATGGATCCGACGATGTGTGGCAACCATCACTTCTTTAAGAAAATGATGTTTTAGGACAATAAATTCACAAGCAGCTGTTCTAAATCTAGATGTGCACGGTAAAAAGCGTGTGAGTTGGACTGTGAGATGCTCCAGGGTAATCACATGCCTATCTTGTCCCTCTATCATAACTCTTGAAATGTCTTTTATAGACCTATCTAAGCACACGCTACTCGTGTGAGCGACATATAGTTCACGCCGTGCATACTTGTGCATCATCAGTCGTAAGCAACCTCGTCGGAACCAGCCAGGTTGTTAGGGTTATCAAGAACGCTACCACTGTTGCCAAACAAAAAGGCATCCCTATCCACGTCCTCAGTCCAACCCCAAACAATGCCCCCATACTTGTCTCACTGGCTAGGAATCCTAGAATTTCTCCCACTGCCAGCATTCCGAAGAGAGTCCCAGTACGGCCTTCATCAATCATTCCGACTAGCATTGCACGGCATAGCGTTGGTAAACCTGAACCTAAAGCTGCAATGGCCAGACCAGCGAGCACAAAAGCTTTGTCTGTGACCATCATCATGCAAAGACAGCCGGCGAAGAAGAGAAGAGAACTTGAGCGAGCTAGCACGGAATATTGAGAGTGAGCTGACAAGCGGGTAAAATTGGTCCATGTGTAGGTGATGACAGGTAGTAAGATGCATAGAGTGAGCAACGTTACAAGGCTCCGTAGCGATACGATAAGGACAGAACGGTCGAGACGCCAGTCGAATTGCATGGGCATCAGCCGGATGATGATATCGGTTTGTATGGTCGCCAGTGGTATCGTCAAGACGGCACCGGGCAGAAGCCAGATCAGAGGCCTGGAAAACATTGTCTTGACCGTCTTGAGTGCTGACATTTTCTTGGGTAACTCGAAGTTGAGGGCGTCCGACTCGAGACCGTAGGTATACGGGTCAATTCTTGTGATACCATGGTCTTGAGGTTGTACTTGGTTCAACGTTTCCGGTGTGAATGCGATGAGAAGTAGACCACCAGCAAATACTAAGCCCAGGGACAAGAAGAGCGGCGTCCATATTGATGACTGAACTAGCTTGCCAGACAGCACAGGCCCTACAAGTTGCGCACTGAGAACAGACGCGACAACCCATTGAAACCACGTTGATCTGATCAAAGCAGTCAGCAAATAGTGTCATTCATTGTGAGAACAAGACTTGCCGCTTGCTTTCGGGTAAAATATCCGTGATAATGGCAAACACCATAGCTTCAGCAACACTTCTGCCTCCACCAAAGAGCAACGGAGCACCGATGCCCCATATCGCTTCTAGTGGTATCGTTTCTGATTGCCAGCATATGAACATGGCGTAACCTTGAGAGAGGAGCATGCTGAAGATGCTTGCGCCGAGTACAGGGAGACGGCCGATTCGATCTGCGAGAAGCCCCAGAGGAAAGGCGACAAGAGTAGCTGCACAAACGTTAGCACCAAGTACCCAGGTGTATCGCAAGTATGTAGTCGTACCAGAAGCTGTATCAGCAACTTGCATCCCTATAATGATAAAATTGAGCCTATGCTGTACTTTTTCATCTCGACATGATTCTTCAGGCAGAAGCGCTGGGTTTTCGATCCGATCAACTTGTTTGCATACGATATCTTGCATGAGCTTGATAGATGGAATGTCGCTTATCGATAAACCGAGCTGAATGACGAAGAGACATAATGACAGGAAGGGGAGAAGGTATCTCCTTGGTAAAGTGAATGGACGAGACCACATCGTGAACTCAGCAGTGGTCTAACGAAGAGGTTTGCTTGTACATCAAGATGGAAAGAGGACCAAAGCAACAAAGGAGATTTGTTTGATGGTGAAGTTCTACGAAGATTGCCCCTCACATTGTTTTATTCAAAGTTTTTGTTTTCAATAGAGGCAATTGAACTGCCTAACAAGCGCAAATAGAGTATCCATTATCTTGCTTGGCACTGGCAGGCAGCCGAGTGATGCAAAATTGACCTGGCGAGTCGTAACAGCTAGGATTGCTAAGAAAGAGAATCAAGATGTCTGTTGATTGATGGTGAATTCCATCGCCTGGTATGTTTCATCGGCTTACTGAATTGGACGAGCTATCAGGTAGAATCTTCATAGAGTTAAGACAACCTTACAACTCAGCGATATTTCGACAGTCAATGCAAATGACTACCAAGAAACCCTGAAACCACGTTTTGAGGCTGCTTTGTTTCTAAATTGAGTGTTCGAAGTTGACTAGACAAAACATGGTGGTTGTTCTCCCGAACAAAGAACTTGACTGGGGATGAATAAAGCAACTCACCAACAGAACAAACGCAACTAGTGACTGAAACAAGATTAAAATAGTAACTTGGAGCATTGTAGGCAGAACAAGAAGTACTTATAAGAGTATAACAACGTCTGTTCTGCTGCACTTGAGTGAAGAACAGACAACTTGTTTTCCTGCTTCACTTTTTCACCGAGCCGGCCTCAGTATAACATTGCTTAGAACACTGGCTGTTCAACAAGTTTATTCCAAGGAACAGTGAACTCATTCTACTTCAAGCCATCTCTGGTAGGGGCATTTGTTCAATTATTCTTTACTTTATTTACTCTATTTAATCGCGTTGATCCCATTTCATCTCTTGCCTGGTTGCAAGATCATCTTCATTTCGTCCAGTAACCATAAATCTTCCACAAACCCAGCCAGTAAACCATCTCCTATGCCTAGATTAGCTATTGAACAGACGCTAACTTCCTCAACAGACATGTGTCGAGGTGATAACGTCCAATGCAAGGAGTGCTCACGAGTGAGAAAGCGACTCGTCGAAGTCTGCATCCGCGGCGAGCAAGGCTTCTGCTCCGAAATTATTTTCGAAGGTGTCTGCCTGGAACGGGAAGAATGCCTTCTGTGTAGATACGGTAATGCCAATGGTAAGGTCATCATGCCTTCGTCGATATTCGTGATAGCTAACAATTATGACAAGGAGGCTTGGAGGGCTTCCAAGGAACAACTCCTACCGAGGTCAGTCCAGTATCAACACCCGGGCTTGAGGTATCGAGTCAGTTATGATTCCTTCCTCAGTAGTGGGAGTGAAGCATCGCCTTGGCCAACATTAGCCGAAGAATCGCAGCTGTTTGACGACTTGTCAACTTCACAGCAGTCAGATCCATGCCAAGAGATGGACCCGGAGAGTGTAAGAGTTGTCTATGGCTCTATGGTTCAACAGAAGCCACATGGGAAAAAGATTATAAAAAAGACTCTGGTATTAGCAGTGAACATGTTGAAGAGATGCATCCGTTGCCGGTGCAGACGGGACAGATCAGCCTATTAGTACCACTTGTGATAAAGACATTGGGATATCATCATTCACATAGGCACTTGTTAAGACTCTGAAGAACTAGAATGTATCTATGAGATAACTCTGCACTGGACCCCCATCTATATCTCTATACATGCTTCGTGTCAGTGTATAAGCCACGACTGGACGTAGATCTCGTGCCCAGCAAGATACTGACTGTTTTCTGAACAGATGATACGCATTCTCGCTGTAGATCGCAATTATTTATAGTCTTTATTGCGCAAGCCAAGGCAACTTGCATACGAGGCGCCATACCTTATTACTGTCAATATCATCCAATAATGAGCTGGATGTTGGCAGCAAACACCGACGCCATTGCCTGTCCCAAGGGTCAGGATGGGCTATTAATCAACACTCCATGAGGAAAGACCAATTCAGTAGGAGCCAGGTTCATATTGCGATAGCGAGTAAACACGCAAGATGGGGATATCCTTAGGTACTGGCAAAATGTGATGTATCAATCCTCGTCCCCAGCTTGTATTTTACCTGCATATGCACGCAATATTCAAGGCACACCAATAAGCAGTCCGGACGGTCATCTCCACCAGCTTGACACTTGAACTACGTCCGCGTTAGACCAGAAATGGTTGGCTGAAGGAGTTGAACTGAGCTGAAGCTGACAAGCTGCAGGGAAGGAGACTAGGCTCCGAGGTAGTGGAGACTGCAGAGTCGAGAGATCTCTTATAGATTTGGTGACCACGATACAAATGTTGCTAGTAACTCAAGAAGTGAGACTCGGGATGATGTCTCAGACAGGGACGGGGACAGTTCCAAGACACGACAGCCACTAAGCTTCTCTGTGGCCTGATCCATGGAACCGGGAACCATCAGGTCAGGTCAGACCTTGTTCAGCTTCTGATCCGTTCGGCAATTGAAGAAAATGCCCGACTAATGTAACTGCAATTGTCTCTCAGAGTCTCTTTGTCTTGATCGCTTAATCATTTAAGAATCGAAGAAGAAGCAGAGTTAAAGAGGAGACTGCTGAGGGGCACAAAGAAAGTACTCAAAGTCAACCAACATATTAGAATATGAGTCGAGTCGAGATGATCCCCAGCTGAGTAGTCCGTTTTTGACTTTTCCTTCAACTGCAGCCACGTCTCCTTTCATTGTGTATAGACTACGTATTTTGTTTCTGATAATAGGACGGAAGTGAGCTCAAGAACTGCAAGTTGCCGCTCGACAGAAGGTGGTGGTGTAACATCATGACGGGTAGCGACCTTGACAGTCTCCTTCTCATTAACCATTCGGTTACACAACGAGATTGGAACCTTGCTGAGTTTACAGTGTAAAATCGATATCAATAGAACATATGTTACAGTTGGTGGTGGTATATCGTAATTGGCAGTCAAACGATTTCTTCTCTCCCTTATTTGATGAACCTTGCTGATAACAGACAAACGGGAGTAAAGGCCCGAACAGTAGCTAATGCAGACTGAGATGATTACGGATACCATGCTGTAACTACGGATAACGAGTGTTGATCGCTACTCAGCACGTGGAAAGCTCAGACTGCCGATCATGGCACCAGAAGTGTCTACACGCACACGTACCCGACTGTAAACGGGAGAATTGCCGCAATGGATCCCGCTACGTTTTATGTTTTGGATTCTTTTCTGCTGTACGCAGTCCTGTACTTAAACTATGTAAAATGGGGATTAGGATTGTCATTATCTCGCCTCGCTCCAGAAACCTCCTGAGCATGAGTGTCCCCATGTTCCATCGTATCGTGATACTACACAGAACTAGGACTAGGAGCAGCCAGCATTCCAGCGACCCGCGTGGCTTGTGGAGCAGGGCCTAGGCTAAGCATAGCATGGGCCAGCTGCAAGTTTGCGGTGGCTGCCAGCTAAAGTGGTCTTGTCTTGTCTAACTTGCAGCTCTAGTAGGAGACAGAGCGTCGACAGCTGGGACAATGGAGACCGGAACTCGAGAGCTAATAAGCTCGAGCAGCATTGTGAGCTCGGTCTTGTCCGTGCGAGAATGTGTATGGAACGAGAAGAATGGAGGTTAATAAAGTGACATCAAGTACGGATATTCTGACTCTGTAGTACTTCATTGCTTGGACCTCTCTGTAAGAGGAATTCTGGACGACGAATTCTAGAAGATATTTGAAACGAGAAAAAAACTTTAAAGAAAAGAAGGAATCCCAGTACGTTTCAACAGCAACTTGGAAAAAGGAAACACAATCCGAGATATGATATGATAATCCGATTTACTTACTTAGGCAAGGTTAGCAGTTAATGCTTGGTGATCGATATGGAAAATCATTAGAGCTGATCCAAGTGAGCACGATCAGAAACATGCATACCTGCCTGGGTGATCCTCTACGCACAGGTCACTCTTTGTCTCTTGGAGGAGGGACATTGGATATCAAAGACATTGACCAACCACTCGACGGAATTGTAGACTTGCAGTACGTAAGTTGGCCAGCCAGGCTAGACTCGAGATCAAGATGGTCTATGCTGTGAAAAGGCATAACAAGTGCGTGCCATTTGATGCCATAAGACGGACGGTCTTGCCGAGAAACCACAAAGAGGCTAGAAAGGTTAGTCAGAAATATCGCGGAGAAGCTATCTGACTTGGCTAGACTAGTTGATTAATTTGCATTGATTGCATTGCATTCACTGCAGAATCGAGGCGAGGCTCTAGCCACGCATAGACAGAGGCAAAAGCCATTACCTAGAATAGTCTTTACGGCCCTTGCTCCGAATAAGGTAGTACGCCTACCTATAGTCCCTAACAGGTGGTCAATGTATACTGTATGTAATATTTCTTACAGAAACTTTTCATCCTTTGACGCAACGTTAATCAATTCAATGCACAACAGTGACACCATAAAAACTCCTGAATCCCTGAATCCCCCCAAAAAA